TACATAGCTGCAGCAGCTGCAACCAAGGAAGCAGCGTGGCTAAAGGGACTTCTCCAGGATCTACAAATCAACACGGGCGTGGTCAAGCTATTGTGTGACAACCAGTCTGCAATAGCTTTGACCAAGAACTCCAGGTTCCACTCTCGTACTAAACACATTGAGCTGCGCTTCCATTTCATACGAGAGCAGATCCAGAGAGGAATGATCGAGCTGGAGTTCTGCCCGACAAACTCCATGCTAGCGGACATGCTAACAAAACCATTTCCTCGTGTTAAACATGAAGTCTTCACGAAGGCTCTTGGGCTGACTTTAGACGTTGGCCTTGAGGAGGAGTGTGGGAGTGAACAAGACCACGTCAGCACACAGCCACGTGAGCGATCCAGACGCCGCCACGGATCGTCACGATAAACCCATACATTTAACCATGTATCAACCGTCATAATAATAACACAACACCGTTTCATAATACCACACGCATCTCTCCTTTGCTTGCGCGATTGTTTTGCTGTGGAGCTTGGTTTTTCTTGCTTGGGTGCTTTCTTTCTCCTCTTTGCCGCAAGAAGGCGAAGAGCTCGACTAGATTTCCCACGCCTCCAGCAGCCCACCGGACAAAGTCCGGCCCGACCTGGGGACATCCTGGCTCGGGCGTTTTCCTTTGGAGGCGGCGCCTCCAAATGGGACTCGTGGGTAATTTGCAAGAGGGGGCTGCCGCGCTTGTGGAGGTACTCGGCGAGCGCCTCTACCAGGCCACCGTGGCGGCCTCCACAAATTCCTTAAATCCAAAGAAGCACACACCACCTTTCGCGAGGTGGTCACTTTTCTTAATTTCTACGAGTCTGAATTTGAAGAAAACGCTCTGCTCGTGAGTGAAACTTGACTTTTCGTTTTCTTCAAAGAGCGAAGAAAGGTAGTCCTGAAAGACGACAAAGTAAATTCCAAGCAACTCCATAACTCCAAGATGGAATTACAGTGTAAAGGAGAATGAAATCCATGCAAGGTTGTGCAGCATAGGCTTTCAAACCTGGTGCTGCGAAGCTTCAGACACAAGCGGCGGCCTCGGCGCCAACAAGTCCTCCCATCGCAGGTGAGCTCCCGATCTCTATTTCTCTCGCTCGATCGAGAATGCATGCGCGATTTCTTCTCACTCCATGTCTTGCAGCTCGCCTTGTCTGGTTCCAATGGCTGTCATCGCCAACGTTTGCGCGACTCCCATGAGGAGCGCTCTCATTCCCAGCCAGGAGATCCATCTCGCCAAGCCAATCAAGGTCTCTACTTCGGTGAGGAGCGGGAAGGTACCAGCGATTGCGATGACTGCTGCAGCTGAGTATCGATCGCTTTGTTTTCTTTTCTTCTTCCATGAAAGCTTGGATTCTTTTTCTCTCTTTGCATGCACAGGGAGACCGTCGCGAAGCAAGACAGCAGCAAGACTTCGCAGATCATGCACTCGCTCTCTCCCGAAAAGATCGAGATGTTTAAGTCGCTCGAGAGCTGGGCGGAGTAATCCATCCTTCCATTCCTCCGGCCGGTGGAAAATGTTGTGGTGTAAAAAGGGATCATTGTGTTCGACTCTTTTTACATGACTCAAGGGACATGACTCATGACCACGTGGACATGCCACGTCAGCTGATCGAGACTGACATCTCGACACTCCCACTCTGGCTGAGAGGATGGACTACCCCTCCCACTCAGCCGAAACAGATGGAGAGCAGACTCCCAGTGCAGCGCGATGGCGTTCAAAGGAGTCTCGAGCCAAAGCCTTCGTGAGTATATCAGCCACCATTGCCTCTGTGGGGCAATATTCCAGCAACAACTTTCCATTTTGGACTTGTTCCCACGTAGTGGAAACGAATCTCGATGTGTTTCGTCCGAGAATGGAAGCGTGGATTGGCGACCAGTGCAAGAGCACTTTGGTTGTCCGAGAACAGCACCATAGGGCCGGTGCAAGCAGGCATCTGGGGCAGGTCACGGCAGAACTGGGTCAACCAAATCGCTTCTTTGCTGGCAGCGGTTAGGGCAATGTACTCTGCCTCTGTCGAGGACAGAGCCACCAGCGGCTGGCGCTTACTGCTCCAGGACACAGCAGCCCCATGGAACAAGAACGTATACCCGGAGGTAGAGCGCCTTGAGTCCTGGTCGCCCGCCCAGTCCGCATCCAAGTACCCATGAAGTTCCTGTGACACAGCAGCGCCATAGTGAAGCTGCAAATGCAAGGTACCTCGAACGTAGCGGAAAATCCGCTTCACAGCTTGCCCGGGGTTCTCGAGGAACTGGGAGACCATCCCAACAGCATAGGTGACATCTGGTCGCATTCCCAGCATCAAATAAACAAGACTTCCCACAGCTTGACGATATGGCACTGTGGCCATGTACTCTTGTTCTTCCTCCGTGACAGGGGCCATGTCACGGCTGAGTTTGTGATTGACCTCAAGAGGTGTGGCCACGGAAGAGCAGTCCAGCATATTGAAGCGTTCCAAGATCTCCCTTGCATAATGAGCTTGTGTCAAACTCAAGGTGCGTGCTCCTCGATTGCATATAATTTGGATGCCAAGGAAATGGCAAAGCTCGCCCAGGTCAGACATCTCAAATTCTTCACTCAGCTTCTTTTTCATCTCGTCCAGCAGGTGGCGGGTTTTTGCACCGAGAATGCAATCGTCAACGTACACAGCAACCACCTGGATTCGTCAAACCTGGTGAGGAACATCTTGTTTGCAAGCTGAATCGCACCCTGTATGGGCTTAAACAATCCCCGTGGGTTTGGTTTGAACGCATTGATGCGTTCTTCAAGAGCCTGGGGTGTGTTCCTCTTGCAGTGGAAGGAAACGTGTACCTGTACAAGTGTGGTGACGATTTTCTCCTGGTTGCTGTGTACGTTGATGACTGCATTCTCGGTGCAAAAACCCGCCACCTGCTGGACGAGATGAAAAAGAAGCTGAGTGAAGAATTTGAGATGTCTGACCTGGGCGAGCTTTGCCATTTCCTTGGCATCCAAATTATACGCAATTGAGGAGCACGCACCTTGAGTTTGACACAAGCTCATTATGCAAGGGAGATCTTGGAACGCTTCAATATGCTGGACTAGGTCAATCACAAACTCAGCCGTGACATGGCCCCTGTCACAGAGGAAGAACGAGAGTACATGGCCACAGTGCCATATCATCAAGCTGTGAGAAGTCTTGTTTATTTGATGCTGGGAACGCGACCAGATCTCGCCTATGCTGTTGGGATGGTCTCCCAGTTCCTCGAGAACCCCGGATCTGCACATTGGCAAGCTCGAATGCACATTCGATACACATTCAGCCATTAGCCCTCGAATCCGTCCCACGTACACAGCAATGGTTTCACCCGTTTCCATGTGAAGCGCCAAGAATTGTTGATTCAGCAGCATGGAAGAATTTGCGGCTTGGGCCACGAAGATCGTGCGAAGCGACGTCCAGATTTCAGCAGCGGTCTTGGTGAGATCAATCAGCGGCAAGAATTCATCGCTCAATCCCAAGCCAATGACAGTGATGGCTTGCTGATTGCGAAAATCCCAATCTGATTGTAGCGTCTGCTCAGTGGGACGAGGCTCAGTCCCATCAACGATGTTCCACGCTCGTTTCGCAGAGAGGATTCTTGTCGCCCATGTGAAGAAATTCGTGGCACTGAATTTCTCCACCTTTTCTGTGGAAGCCACAAGAACTTGAGCAGCAACCGGCGGCGGCGGCAGCAGCGGCGGTGGTGGTGGGGGCGGCGGAGGTGGTGGTGGGGTTGAAGCGACCATGACAGCAACGTCAAATCAACCAACCAGGATCGTCCCGAAATCCGATACCATGTTGTGGTGTAAAAAGGGATGGACATAACACTCATGAGCTCGTTCATTGTGTTCGACTCGACTCAAGGGACATGACTCATACCACGTGGACATGCCACGTCAGCTGATCGAGACTGACATCTCGACAGAAAAATGCTGGCAGCCCCAGGACTATCTCCCGGAGCCATCCTCGGAGAGCTTCTATGACGAGGTCCGTGAGCTGAGGGAGCGAGCCGAGAGCTTGCGCTTCTGCCTCGTCGGGGACATGACCACCAAGGAAGCGCTGCCAACTTACTTGACGATGCTCAACACTCTCGATGGCACCCGCGACGAGACTGGTGCGAGCCCGAGTCCGTGGACAGTGTGGGGGCGTGCCTGGACTGCCGAGGAGAATCGCCATGGTGATTTGCTCAACAAGTATCTCTACCGCACTGGACGAGTTGACATGAAGCAAATCGAGAAGACGATCCAGTACTTGATCGGTTCTGGAATGGTAAAGAGCCAGAGTTTCTTCTTTCTCAGGAACTCCAAAGTTCGCGTTTCCATCCTTGCAGGATCCTCAGACCGAGAACAATCCATATCTCGGGTTCGTCTACACGTCCTTCCAGGAGCGAGCCACCACCATCTCTCACGGCAACACTGCTCGCCACGCCAAGGAGCACGGAGACCACAAGCTCGCGTGTTTGCGGCCTCATCGCAGCCGACGAGAAGTGGCACGAGAATGCTTATACCAGGATCGTGGAGAAGCTGTTTGAGATCGATCCCGAGGGCGCAATGCTGGGGCTGGAGGACATGATGAGGAAGATCTCCATGCCAGCTCATCTCATGTACGACGGCCAGGACAAGAACCTGTTCGAGCACTTCTCTTTGGTGGCACAGAGGACGGGGGTGTACACTACCAAAGATTACGCAGGAATTCTGGTCAAGAGATGGAACGTCGAGTCCATCACTGGATTGTCTGCTCGCGCGCTAAAGACCCAGGATTTCGTGTGTGGTCTCCCTCCTCGGATCTTGAGACTGGACGAGCGAGCTCAGAGCAGGGTGAAGAAGGGCCCCAAGACTAACTGGATTTTCAATAGGGAAAGTCGTTCTCTAGGCGTAAAAGGTAAAAGGTGTACATTATGAGTTAATGTTCCAATAATTTGCTTTAAGGCTTTGCAAGAATCATTTTTGAATCTTTTTTGCAAATTTGAATTTAGGGCATGTGCAATCATTTGCACTGCTGAGGAGCAAAGGCTAGGTGGCTCTTCTGCAAATCAAATCCAATCCGGAAGCTCTGCTGCTGGATGTTGCCGATGATCCCGAGCTCCATGGACGTGGGAGCAAACGCCAGGCAGAAACTCCCGGCGGTGTTGATCGGGATCAAGTAATTCGTAGGAGGGAGCTGGAGATCCGCCCCATTCTCGAAGTGGAGTACCAGCGCAGGCACATCCACGCTCGCCTTCCCGGAGAAATTGTAGCACGTATCGAAGAGCGAGTAGCGTGGAGCCGACGGGAGGTTGGTCGTGGCATTCCGGAACGCGTCGCGGATGGTGGCGTAGACCGAGGTGGGGAACCGAGTGACCGAGGTCCCAGAGTCGATGATCACGCCCCCGCTGCCACTCTGCGAGAGCTGGAGGGATTTGAGCGAGATGGGGAGCTGGGCGCCGCCAACGCTCACCCCGATCATGGCCGCGTAGTAGAAGGTGTCCAACTTTGGGTTCTTGAGCAGCGGCGAAAGCGCGGCGGTGGACGGGATCGCGGCGGCACCGAATATCAGGCTGCTGGACGAGCGCGTCATTGGGTTGCTGCGATCCACGAGGCAGTAGGAGAAGGAATTCGCGGTGGAGGAGTTCGTCGAGGACGCGAATATCTGAGATGGGAAGGAGAGCTTTCCAGCGCCAAGGCCGAGGAGGCCAGCGGCGCCAGCGAAGAGCCCCTCGTTGTCAAACCCGCAGCCAAACGCGACGCTCATCGCTTTGCTGCCCGTGCCGAGCGTGAAGAGATCGCTGGAGAAATCGCCCACCGAGAAGGATCCATCGCCATACGCGACTTGGTACGAGCAGCGGCTGGTGGCACCGCGGCTGCCACTGCAGCTGTGGATCTCGAGAGCCTTGCAGAGCGGCGAGAGGCAAGGGATCCGCTGGAAGGAGCTCGAGTTCCTTGGATCGAAGATGGGGTCGGCTTGCTTGTAGCAGCTCTTGCATGGCTGGCATTGGAGCCAGGGGAGATCGCTGCCGGTGTCCACCACCATGAAGAGCGATCGAGCCGGAGTTCCAACGCCGAGGCGAACGAAGTACTCGCCACTTCCATACAGCAGGCCGGAGGTGACGGGTCCATTGAGATCGGTCGAAGAAGCCTCGTCCTTCTTCTTCCCTGCGAGCTGGGCCTTGCTTTCGATCCATCTCACTCGCTGCTCGTCCCTCTGGAGCGTCTCGAGCAGCAGCTGCTCGTGAGTGTGGAGCTTCTCCTTTGCTTCCCGGAGGAGTGAGTTCCTGTGGATGAGTTCCAACGACAAGGTACCACCATCTCGCGGGGAAAGCTGTAGCTTGTTCTTGACGGGGTGGCGGAGCTCTCGCAAAAGAGTGGCGACATCGAGCGTGTTCCAGTGGCGGGGAGTCGGATCTGCGGAGACGAGCAGCGCAATTGTGAGCGAGGCCAACACAAATCCAAACGCGCGCATTGAAGAACACCACATTGACACCAGAGAACCAAAGCCACTGGATGGAAGAACGAACGAATCACGGGCCCAGGAAACAAAAGGCTGCCAATCCAATCCGGTCAAGCAATCATCAAAAGCTAGAGCTCTCACGCGACGAGAATTCCGGACACAGAGGAGAAAAAAGAGCTTCTTAAAAGCTCCACTCACCAGGGAACAAAGAAGGAGAAGAGCTCCTCTCCTCGCTTTCTCGCTTTCGTCCTCCTCCTTGTCAATGGCAGTCGCACAGAAACAAAATTTGCCGGAACAAGAGCCGGGGCTTTCCCCGTGACTGAACAGCGCCGCTCGTGACGAGCCTATCAGATCCTCATCCCTGCCGCTGAACGCCGCCCCCGCCTCGCCCCATTCCCGTGAGCTCCTGGGGGAAGAACCCTAGGACAGCGCTACAGAACAAAATGCCCAGGAACCCTAGAAGTACTTCCGACTTGGCAGCATTGCATTTTGCCACGTGCTTAAGCTTTCGTACTTCCACGTGGCATCATTTCATTTTGCCACGTGTACCAGACTCTAACCTTTTTACTTACGTGTGCGTTAAAGGCTTTTGGACAGTATATAGCGAAGCCCTTGTGATTATTTGCAAGCTATGGAGAAGAAAGCTAAGCAAACCCTTCCAGAAAAGGCGGTGGCATTTGATTCGAATGGAAATTACTACTACTATCCAACATGGGAGGACATCGCAAAGCGCACGCCTGGGGATTCGCTCCAGACCGTGAGAGCCAGGTTTGAGGATGGTTACTTTCGCATGGTGGTAAAACCCACGTTTACCATGAGAGATGCTCGGGCTGGCATCAGCCCAAGGATCGCTGGAGTGGTAAAATTCGCGAAGGCATTGCAGGATTTCCCCGGGGAGGATTTGCATGGATGGATCGATCCCGACGTGAATGCCGTGCTTTTCAAGGGAGTGAAGAGAGGGGTGCTAAACGAGGAGCGCGGGCGAGGGATTTGCAGGGATGTTCTTGGGCGAGAGGTTGTCAAGGATGCCAAAGGAGAAATCGTGTTAAGGAGAAATCCACGGCGCAAAAGGAAAGAACATATAAAAGCTTATTAAACGGAATTGCTGTTTTTAGGGTTCTTTGAAACGAATTAAAGGGGTGCTCTGGTTTTAGCGTTCTATGTTTTAGGGTTTATCAATCTAAAGAATCTTTCTCTACCACTGCAAGGGGACCTCAAAAAGATAAGGTACATAACCTAGTTCTTTAGGACCGCAATGTCTAAAAGACAGGTGCACCTTTAGCCAGCTTCGTGTATAAGTTCGCCGGAGCTGAAAACATTCCAACTATACGTACTTTAAGGTAGATTCCAGATTTTGTTCACGTGATATGGGGCCAGCCAATTAACGCTTTCCTCCGAGTCCGAAGAGATTCATTCACAATGCACCAGCACCAACTTGATCAACACGTCCCGTTTGGCTTGATGGCAACTGCAAATCAAAAGACTACCTTCATCTCTGCAAGGGACTGCCAAACAAACAAAATAACAAATTATTTTTTATAAAATACTGTTAAAATTGACTGACCAAAGAGCAACTCGAGGAACCTTTCCTGCTCATACGAAATGGTTGCGACCATTTGGCACAGGAGCTCGAAGACTTGACTTGTTGGATGGACACCTGAGACAAACAAGAAAACGAACCAGAGGCGATGAACCATTCTTGAGTTTCACGGGCTCCACTCTCCTTAGATTTCTACAGCCAAGCAATACATTCTAGTGATCGCTCTAAACGAATTTCCTGGAGACAGAGAAGAAGAAGTACCTTGATCCTATCGCTGCAAAACCACACAGGGATAGCCCTCTTGGAGAACTTTAGTTTCATCCTCGAGGACCTTGAGTCCAGCACAGCTCACAACTTCGGGAGTCCGCCGGAATAGAAGTTCATCGAAAAATAGAGAGAAACCTTAGTAACAATGTAAACAAAAGTTTGCTACCAGACACAAACGCTTTCAGCGTCAAGAAACGTCCAAAGCCTTTTAAGATCGACACAGGCAGCTTTCTTGCGCTTCTAGAAAGGAGCTTCTGAGGAGCAAGGCCGCATCGCCCCTGATAAAAAAACTCGTTAGTTCCAACTCTTCTTGCTTACCATTCACAATAAGGTCGGACGACTTTGGAAAGAGGCCAAAGCTTATCGATGTTATGCTGGAGCGCAACGATCCTCCAAACCCGATCAAAAGGCACAGTACTACTGCCAGATTGCATGCCAATCCAATTCCATGCCGGCTTGCTCTTGGAAGCAAATGGGATTCGTACCTCGATCGCGAGCCATGATCTTGACAGGCTTGCCAGATCCCATCGATCCCCCACACGGCGCTCATCACTAGCGGCAAGATTAGTGGCGACGAGCTGGACCCGGCTCTGCCGTGCTGGGGAAAGAGTGATCCGATTTTGGGCGCGCACTTGATCCGCCCGGCAAGGCGCCCACCCAGAAAGAAAACGAAAAAACAAGAGCTTTATTCTTTTGATTCCACAACGTCAACCAATCGCAGCTGTTTCCTCTAAAACCCTCTTCCTCTTCAGCATTGACAATGTCAGTAAGAGCTTTGAGCTTCAAGTCAGTATCTTGGGGCTTCCTTCTTTTGAAAAGAAGGCATTTGGCGCTCAATGATGGACGTAAGAAGTGTAGTCTTTTGCCTTTTATTGAAAATAATGGCTTTCCAGTAAATTTGTTCTTTTTGCCATGTTGAACTTTATGTGGCAAAATAGAATAAAAAAAGTGGCAAGCATTGCAAAAATTATAAGTGTAAAATTTTTGGCTCCTGTGGCTTGGTTAGTTTTAAGTCATGCTTGTTTCGTGTGACCTAGGGCCATTGCAAATAAAATTTTGTTTTGTTAATTTTTATTTGATGTCTAAAAATTAACTTCACCTCACTTCTTATTAATTTCAATATACTAGAATTCCAAGTAATTTAAATGATTTCAAAAGTTTACAATTATGATTATATGTATTTTCTCTAAAATTTTCATCCAAAAGGCTATAACTTTTAACCTTTTAAAATTATCATTTGAATCATTTAGTAAGTTTCACATAAAATTTTTTGCTTTAGGCTAAAATTTTATTTTTACTTTTTCATATGAACAGAAAATACCTTTAAAAAAAAGGAAACATGCCTTTCAAATTTAGGCCTTACTCATGCTAAACATACTAAAATGCTAAAAATTCTAACACTTTAGCATTAAAAATGATACTATTTAACCTCATGTTAAATTTTATCCTCTTTTGCCACATTGAAACTTTAGTGGTAAATAAGACAAAAAAATATGGCAAGTGGGAACAAATAATATAGCTAAGGGTTTATACGTGTTAGCCACACCCACAACTTTCAAATAAAAAACAAAAAATAAAAAATTTAAATATTATTTATTTAAGCAATACATCACTATATTTTCTATTTTTTATATTCAGTTATATATCAAATGGTTTATTTCAATCGACAACCTCACGTGCATTTTCATATAAAGACATTAATGTATCTAAAGTCTTTAAATGAAAGTTTATACATATCTTAAACTTTACATTATTTTATAACAAAAATTTATATTTGCAAGGGGTTGTATTTATTTGGATAACTACACAAAGTTGTTATTATCCATACAATTTTAATTTTGTTATTTCTTTTGATGAATTATTATAACTTATGTTCTTACCAAATGATCATTTGTTTGAGTATGAAAAACTAAAAAAATTTATTTACTTGGAAAGTTATAAAATCTTCTTTTATGAATATTTGATATTATAACTTCAAAACAATATTTGCATTTGATAACTAAATACCTTGGAAAACAAAAATTTCTTAAATGTACAAAAAAATAAAATTATATACCATCAAATGTTTTTTGAAAATCAACTTATAGATGGTGTAAAATTCATTTTAAATATCTCAAAGAGTTTGAAAAACTATTGTAAGAAAGTATATCTTTTTTTTTCTAGTAGCCTCAATACCAAAATATGTTTGAAGTTTAAGGCTATCATATTTTGTAAGCCTTTTCTTTTCATTTTAACAACAACAATAAAAATCTATTCACTAAAATATTATTTTACTAATAATATAATGGAAAAAAACAATTTACCTTTAGTCACTTTATTTATTTCCTTCCATTGTTGTTGCACCACTAAACATTTATAATATTTAAGAAATATCTTTTTATATATATATATATATATATATATATATATATATATATTCTATAAAATAATATATGAAATTATGTATTTTACTTTCTTTGTTGAAAAGTACTTTTCCAAAAATTAAATTTCATTTACAATGTAAATTCAAATTTTACTTTATTTTAAAATGTAAAATTATGATTTAAAATTAAATCCATTGGCAGATTTATGCTTTGCACTTATATTCTTTTATAAAAATGATTAAAATAGTGAAGTTATTGATTGGAATAGAGCATTTGATGTATGGATTAATATGAAAAATAAAAAAAATGGTGATGCATTACTTAACTAAATAATAAAAAAGCTTTTTTGTTTTTATATCTTTCATTCGAAAAAAAAAAATTATTTCCACATTTTCAATTAAAATGTTTTTTTTCAAAAAGAAACATACATTCCAAATTTATGCCTTGATTAGTAAAGTAAAACTATAAATATATTTAGTTATATATGTAAGTTTTTATTTTCATTTTGTTTAAAATCGTTAAAAAATGATGAAAAAATCATAAGGATTTATGTCAATCTGTACTTATCAATAAATATCAAAATTTAAATAGTAGGGGAAGGTCGAAGTATTTTTGCAATCTGTAATATTAATATAGGGACTTTAGTAATGTATAACATTATTTTTATCTTTTTTAAAAAGATGGATAAAAACATTCCCTTGCCTCTCCTTCAATATTTGGGTGATATTAATCAACTCCATGACGGTACAACTTGGGAATACACTACTTTTTTAGGTTTTTTAACTATGATAATGATAATGTTAAATATACTAAACACATGTGGTAGACTAATGTGTTTGTGAATATAAGTTTTTTCACTTTCAATTTTTCATTTTACACTTTAGCTTTAACAAATTTTTTTTTATCTCTAAAGTTATAAACTTATTTTTTGGGCGGTATACATTTTTTATTAATCATTTTTATAACATACATACTTACGTGATGTATTTAGTGAACTTCACTAATTTTTTTGTGAAGACAATGAAGACTATTTTGTTAAAAGAGAAATTTTTATGGTATATATTAACTTAGTTGTGCCTAGGTATAAATTTGCCAATGGATTTAATTTTAAACTATATTTTGCTTTCAAAAAAATTAAAATTTCAATTTACATTATAAATTAAATGTAATATTTAGAAAAATGCCTTTTCACAAAAGAATTAAATTTTTTATATGTCTTTCATATAAAATACAAAAGTAAAATACATAATTTTATATATTATATAATATTTCATATATTATTTTTTCCTTTGATTGGATACTACAACTTGTATTGCTATCAAATAATCTTTTTTTTTGAATATGAGAAATCAACAAATTCATTTAGTATATTATGGAATCTTCTTTTGTAAATGTATTTAACTTTTTAGCTTCTAAATAATTTTTGCATTTAATAATTAAGTATTTTAGAAGATAAAATTTTCTTAAATTTATAAAGAAATGAAATTACATATTATTATAATTTCTTTGAAAATCAATTTATCAATGTTGTGAAGTACATATGAATTTTAAATATCCTAAAAAGTTTAAAGAACTGTTGGAAGAAATTATATTTTCTTTTGGTTTAGTAGCTTTAACACTAAAAGAATGTAAATTTTTACTATCTTGTAAAATTTTTTCTTCTTTTTTTTTCTTTTCAAAAGCAACAGTAATAACTTTTTCTTTAAAACACCATTTTATTAATAGCATAATGGACAAAGAAAACTCACTTTTTTCCCTTTCCCCATTATAAACAATCTTACAACGTGAAGTGAGTGGGAAATTCAAAAGTAAAATCATCTCATAGCACAGGACCAGGATTGGCCCAACACCGTCGGATGCACTTGCCCAGCACCGTCCGATGCAGGTAATAACCATAGAAATCAGTCAACGAAAACCAGTCTGCCTGCCTGTTCTCAGCGTACGCATGTAACCATCGTCGTTGTCTGCACTCAAAAACCATCCGAGAGCTTCGTGAAGGTCCTGCGCAAAATTGGACTGAGCCATCCCTTCTCACTTTCGCAGCTAGTGTCCGATCGTTTAACTCTTTCATGCAAGACACAGCGGGAGAAATTCTGTAGAAAGCTAGCAAACAAGTGCAGCTCGAGAAAACGAACTTACTTCCAAGGACGCCTTTTTGGCAAGCTTCGCGTTGGTTGCTGTGGTCTCTTCGCCTGTTGCAACGGTGATGCAAACCTTTTGAAACAGTCACCTTACGTTCGAGCGTCAGCTTTCCATCTGTGAAAACAGAGACTACATCCAAATTTTGCAGCCTGTAAGAAACCCTTTCAGCATCTAGACTGCCAATCAAGCTGTTACCGGAGTCGAGGTTACGAAGTTGAGGCTTGAAAGCAACAACAAAGTTTGCTCAAAATTCCCACACGATCCAACCGGTTCATGCTCCACTTGTCTGACGATTGGCGATTTGTTTCTCCAGTGAGACAATGAGAAAAAGGCCTCGATGGTAACGAAGCATGGAGCTGCACGAAAATTAACGAGAAAAAAAAGAGGTTTTTTTTCTACCACGACTCCACGAAATCACACAAAAGCGCTTGCTCAAGAGAATCACTTTGATTCTTGTCGGGATGCCCCCACACGCCGGCGCAGCGGCCCTGCCACAAAAAAAATCGTGTTTTAGAAGCAATGAAACGAACCAGAGGATGAATTCAATGAAACGCATTTGCGGCTGAAGTATGTATGTGTTGCGGGGTGATGGGGAGGTGGACAGGCGGAGACAGTCGCAAATGCGACTGAGGGGCATGCTTGGAAGAGGAAGAGAGCCTCTCAAAGGGAACAACAACCTCTATCTCAGGCTAGCAAGGCAAGAAGAAGAAGATCACCCTCCGGAGGAAGAGAGTTGCCTGGTAGCACTCGATCCGGCGCTGTGGAAGGGCCTGCCGGCGCTGCTGCTGCTCAAGATCCTTGTCGACCATCTCCCCTTGGATCGCCTCTTCCGCCTTGCCGACGGCGACTGGGAGCTCACCGCCGCCATTCTCGCGCAGCCCTTGAAGCGCGACAAGTATGCGCTGCTGCTCCCGAATCAAAGCCTCGTCTTGCACAACTTTGGTGGAGTCGAGGAGAGCTCTGCTTCTACTCCTCGAGATCTGCCGCCCAGGTGGAAGAGGTTCCGAATCAGACTCGATGAGAGGGATGGTCAGAGCTCGTCGCAGAGGCGCCTCCTCGCCGTGTCTCCGCGCGGGCTGTTGGTTCTCTACTGCACCACAGGTGAAGGCGACGCGGGAAATCGTCACTCCCTGCTCTGCTACAGCCTAGATCCGGAGCAGCCGCAGCACCAAGCTTCCGTTTTGCTTCCAGCAGAGTATGATCATGACGGCGGTGGCGTCCAAGCTTGCCAAGTCGTGCATCCCGGCTGCAAGGATGATCAGTGGTGGTATCAGATCGTCATCTTGTATGCGGCAGGGAGCAAAGCTCTGGTTTTTGACTCGCGCTCCCTCTCCTGGAACACGGTGCGCACGGCGAGCGCCGCGGAAAGGGACGTCTTTATCACTAGCAGCTGCGAGGCCATCCATCTCCCCACCAAGTCAATCGCGCATGTTGTGCTGCCTCTGGGGCTCCATTGCCAGCTCCCTGAGGCGATCCAGACCCAAGACTCCACCTATTTGTTTCTTGTTGCAGCAATCGGCAAAGCCACAGGTAAAAAACACTTTTTTTTCTTTTCTGTTCTGATGAAGCTGCCAAATCTCTGCAGCCGACTATCGCTGGGCGAGAACCCCAGCTTTGGATGCTGCAAATGGTGTGAGCTACTCTCTAGTTTTCATATCTTCTTTCTCACAATGTGTATGAGCAGGCATCCATGAGAATTCCCCAGTGGTGCTCGGTGGCTTGAGGATGGATGGGGAGACTGGAGACTGGGAACTCCTCCCAGGTCCTAGGGACGAAGTGTGCCGAGCTTTGGTGCTGCCGGAGCTGTGGTGCCTGGGAGTCGCGGGTTGCGTGGGCGTTTTTGTCGACTCCAAGAAGCGCTTGCTCTCGTGCTTGGTCGATCCGTGGAGCTGGTATATCAGCAGCTCCGTCAAGAGCTGGAACCTGGATGGCAAAATCATCCAGATAGTCTCTCCATGATCTTTTCTATTGTAAAGTGGACCAAGAGCCACAACAGGAATTTTACTCACAGATATAAGTATTTTGTTCCTTCTAGAAACGATTTGAATTCAAGTACTCCACTTCTTGGTGCTGTGTGCTACACGAAATCTCAAAAGAATTGGTTGTATAATGTGGCCTCGGCCACGAAAACAAAAACATACCTTGGAAGAAAGTTGGACGAGGCGGCCGTTTCATCGAAAGAGAAGCAGCAAAGGAAAACTCACAGGAAATTCTTCGTGTGTAGAATCTTCCCCAGAGCCCATGAGGCCTGCCGCCGATCCTCTCGGTCGAGTTTTCCAAGTACTCGTTGCTACAGGTAGTAAATCGTCTTGAAGCTGGCCTCGAATTGGTCAGCTCCAAGCAAGATAAGCTCCAGCAGCCGGACGCTGCTGGCAATTAGCTACGTCGTTGGTGACTTCGTGTATTAAAGGCTTTTGGACAGTTTATAGCGAAGCCCTTGTAATTCTTTCCAAGCTATGAGGAAAACCCTTCCAGAAAAGGTGATGGCCTTTGATTCCAAGAAATCTATTACTACTACTATCCAACGTGGGGTGACATAGAAAAGCGCACGCCCAGGGATTCGCTCCGGACGGACCGTGAGTCGCTGGAGTGGTAAAATTCGCGAAGGAGTTGCAGGGCAAGATTTGCATGGATGGATCGATCCCGACGTGAATGCCGAGGAGCGGGATTTGTAGGAATGTTCTTGGGCTCAAGGATGTCAAAGGAGAAATCGTGTGAAGGAGAAATCCATGGCGCAAAAGGAAAGAACAGATAAAACCTTATTAAAAGGAATTAATAAAAGGAACTGCTAGTTTTAGGGCTTTTCGAAACGAATTAAGGGGGGAAGATAAAAGTGCTCTGTTTTTAGGGTTCTTTGTTTTAAGGTTATCAATCTAAAGAAGAAATGGGGGTTCTTTCTCTGCCTTGCATTGCGTGTGTCGCGTCTAGGTCACAAGGCACGGCCCTTGCGCCTCACAATCGCGTGGCGGGATGCAGGAAAGAGAGGCGTGGCGCGCTCACTGTCGTCGCTTCGTCTCCGGGAAGTGATGGACACTCGGCTCGTCGCGAAATTTCAGCTCGGGAGGGATATTTCAGGCTTTTCTCCAATGTCAACGAAGCTACGTTGAAGCACGAGCCAGGTTTGTGGACGATTTCTCTGAGAATTTCGTGTTTTCTACATAGCTGCTGTAGGGAGCCTAGTGAGTGCCATTTTTCTCGTTGCGGGGACAACAGTAAGAAATATTGTCACAGCCTATTCAAGGCTGATTTTTTTTTCTTTTCTGTGATTGCTGTCAAAGATTGGAGCTGGAGTTTTGGCTATTCCTGCCGTAACAGAGGAGTCTGGGTTCGCAGCATCATCTCTAACTTGCAGCATTTGCTGGCTATACATGGTATGGAAGATTTCCATTATTATTCGACTGGTTGAGTGGAAGATTAGTTCTCAGGTTGCTACGGGATTGCTAGTAGCAGAAGTTAACGTGAGCACTATGTGTGAACTTGGCTCCGGTGGCGTATCGATTGTAAGCTGTTTTCCAGTTCTAGGACATGTCTGCTGATTGCCGATTGCTTTCAACAGGTTTCCATGGCTGAGAGAACTTTAGGAGCGATTGGAGTTCGGTTTGCCAGGTTTCTATCCTTTAATACGCACCATTCTTTGAGCTCACCTTGTGTTACTGGCAGCTTGGCATACCTTTTCATTCACTATGCTTTGCTGGTGGCTTATGTGGCTCGATCTGCTGATATCATATCAAACGCCAGTGGTGCTCCTCTGTGTGTCACTGTCCGTAACTCTTCTTTTTTCTTGTCTTTGACTCTTGTGCTTGACTGCTACTTTCTTTCAGATGGGCTAGTGCGCTACTCTTCACTGGAATATTTGGCGGGCTATGCTACAGTGGGAGGTGAAAGAAGCTCGTCATTATAACATTGCTCCAACCCGGTCCCTAATTGCAGCCAGCGTATAATCGGGGCGTTTAATGGAGCTTTGGTACTTGGAATAATTGCAAGTTTTATCTCCCTTGTGGTAAGGTCTCATATATGGTATGGTTTACTAACGCTTATACAAAGACAATTGTGGCATAGGCTGTTTCAACAGGATATATAGAGCCTGAATTACTCCTGCGAGCCAATTTTGCTGCAGTGCCTAGAAGCGTTCCTGTGATTGCATTGGCATTTGTCTACCAGGTACTGTTTTGTCTTAAACTTGGTTGCTATCATATTTTTACGTGACAGAATGTAGTTCCTGTTATTTGTACCAATCTTGAAGGGGACCTCAAAAAGATAAGGTACACGGGGCTTTACTTTCTTATGCATTATAGAACTTAGTTCCTAAGTCTTTAGGACCGCCATTGTGGCCGGGACTGCCATTCCCTTGGCAATGTTTATTGTATGGGATGCCGTTATTCTTGGCAGCGTATACCCGGGAGCCGGAAACTCATCTCTTTCAGATCCATTGATGCAATTGCGATCACAAAGCGGCATCATAAGCGTACGTTTGTGCTGTTTCTCAATCGTTGTAAATAATTTCGTTTTTGTAACAGCCTCTGGTGGAAGTATTCTCGCTGCTGGCCATCACGACGTCTTATATCGGTTTTGTGCTTGGTCTGTCGGACTTTGTCGCCGATTGTAAGTGCTGATTGATTTCCCGAAAGCTTATGGTAGCTTCTTGTTAGTGCTCAAGCTCCCGGGTGGCGGATCCAGAAAACCTTTACCATATGCCGTGACTCTGCTTCCTCCAGCAGCACTCGCGTTACTATCTCCGGACATATTTTTCAAAGCTTTGGATTTTGCTGGTGCCTACGGCGGTAAGCTGTTGGACAAAAACAAGATGCTTCGCCTTATCACTTTTTTGTTTCTCTTTTTCACTGCAGTGCTAGTCTTGTTTGGTATTTTGCCGGCATCTATGGCCTGGTCACAAAGATACTCGACATCTTCTTTACCTGCTGTTCCTCCTATGGTTCCTGGAGGTCGTTTGGCACTGGGTGTGATGATAACAGGAGCTGGCTTCATCATTACTACACAGTTTTTGAGCACATTCTCGTGAGCAAAATGCTTTATGATCGATCAAAGTATCAGCTTTCCAAGCTCTATCAGATTACTTTACGATAAGTCTATCTTGAGAGTGAGTGTTTGAATTCGATGCAAATTGCTAGCTGAATAAACTATGACATAAAAACTTTCATTCGAAATTTAGGGTCTTCTTCCTTGCACTGCTGGGATGGAGCGCACTCGTTCATGTCCCGGAAGCGATGGAGGGGCTCTCCAAATCCTATCGTAATTTTTCAGTTCGCCAAGCTACATTCCCGGTTTGTGGACAATTTTGTAGAAAACTTTCGGATTTTCTGTATGGCTGTTGTTTAGTTTAGCCACAGGAATGGTGCGGAAGGTATTACTACTGTGGAGCTGGAAGTATGCGGACTGTCAGCTTGGCATACCTTTCACAGTCAGGGGGTATTTGATGGAACTTGGAAATAGCTAAAAGTTCTATCGCTCTTGTGGTGAGAAGTTCCGCTATGTATTATTTCACACTTATCGCATGGACTGTTTCAGCAGGATTTGTCACTCTTGCGAAGCCAATTGTGCTGCTGCGTCCCTGCGATTGCATTCTACCAGGTAATTTTCATTGTAAAACTCTCATATCCAGGTGCTGGTCATCATACAATGAGCTTCTTTTTTCAGTGCTCTCAAGCAAAAGCTTTCTCATATCCCGTGACACTCAAGAGCACTCTCTAGATTTATTTTTTTGGGAGCACTGCTGTAAGTTCTTGTCATGAAAAACCAGATGTTTGTCTCGTGATTCTACTCTTTACTACAGTGTTAGTAATTTTGCCTGGGGCCTCTTTGAATTGCTAAACAACGACCAAAATTTGTTGTGGGCTTGGAAGTATCAGATCTTCATCAAAGCCGAGTTCTCTCAAATCAAGAGCTTATTCAAAAATGTCTCAATGTCAGTAGGCTGGATTTTCCTATTGCTGTTATTCTGCATAAAAGGTAACGAGTCAGATTGCTTATGATCGGTAGTCACAATTGTTACTTACCCTTGGTTTTGCTACTAAAGCAGCTCGAAAGCTATTCTCTGTCACTGCCGAGTCTATAGACGTGACCGACAATCCTAAGCTCCACAGGTAGTTGAGCAGCTGAAGCATAACGTCCTGACGCTGTGGTCTTCTTCTATATATCCGGATGGCAAAAGTTCCTTCAACGTCGAGAGCATTCACAGACAACTCATCTCGATCGTCACTGGTTGTAAGTTCTGTCTTGATTGCCCCGATCTCTGCTCCTGGGCCGGCCGTTTCTTCTGTTGTTGCCTTGCTGTTCTCTAACTGTGCTACCCTTGTTTGTAGGTATTGCCTGTGATCTATTGCTCCTTGCAGCACAGATAACTTATCCTGCGAGCAAAGAATGTAAGAGCTTTCATCGATCTCGGATTGATCTTACTTACCTTCGTTTTGAATGGGATCAACGACCTCAACCTCGAAATGCTGTCCTTGTGCCTCCTCCTTCGGTTTCGCTCGGCGTCTATGTGTATAGTTCGGGTACGTGCATCTTCTCCTCCTGACATAGTTTGTGTTGGTCCTTGTGCTAAGCCACGTGCTCGTTTTCTTACTTCTTCTATTTGAGCTAGTGCTAGCAGCATCCTCTTGATCATTGCCTGCGAGGTAGTGGGAATTGCCATGCTCTTCTGCTGGAGCGGATCCCATTTTCTAAATGCCGTGGCTGAACTAGTGTCGAATTGCGTTCCTAGGCTTGAAGTTGCTTGATAGATTGTCGTCCAGTCTGACGTCGTGTAACTTTGATGATGCAGGCCAGGGATGTCCAGCGATGCCTCGGAAGGAGATTGTGAGAAAATGGATGACGTCGAGGTTGAGGGATGTTCCGTGGATACTGGCAATGCAACAGGAGCAGCATACAGGAATGTTCTTATAGTCTGGAGCAAGGAGTCGGTCTCAAGAATCTACAAGGTGAACAAGATTAGAAACGACTCTAAGCTTGGATTGTCTTACAGTTTCCGTGGAACCAATTTCCAGGACGCCATCCAGCAGCGGGATGCACAGGAGGCTCTGGATGATTGTGGCCTAAAATGCAGGTAAGGAAAGGAAACAAAGCTTGCTTCAGTTTTGTCAAAGTCAAGGACTTACTTGCAGGAAATCTCTTTGCTCGAGCACTGAGGTGTTCGTGACATTCACGCCTGTGACCCATACGTGCTCGCGTCTGATCGCTGCTATACCGGCATGCCTGAAAGGTGAAAAAAGCCTTTTTTTATTCAAACTTCGCGCTGAAAACTCTCAATACCCATGTCCGAATGGAAACTGGCAGGACTTGTAAGCTGTGTAGAACAGCGCTTGCTGGAAACTGCAAATCAAAGGAACGCCTTCATCTCCGCAAGCGACTGCCAAACAAACAGAATAGCGAATGATTTTTTATAAGATACTGTAGAAACTGACTAGCAACTCGAGGAACCTTTCCTGTTCATACGAAATGGTCGCGACCATTCGTCACAGGAGCTCGAAGACCTGACTTGTTGGATGGACACCTGAGACAAACAAGAAAACGAACCAGAGGCGATGAACCATTCTTGAGTTTCATCCCTTGTGCCTGCGGGCGCCACTCTCCTTAAATCTCTACAGCCAAGCAATACATTCTAGTGATCGCTCTAAACGAATTTCCAGGAGACAGAGAAGAAGAAGTACCTTCGTCCTATCGCTGCAAAACCACACAAGGATAGCCCTCTTGGAGAACTTTAGTTTCATCCTCGAGGACCTTGAGTCCAGCACAGCTCACAACTTCGGCAGTCGGCCGGAAAAGATGTTCATGGAAAAAATAGAGAGAAACCTTAGTAACAGTGTAAACAAAAGTTTGCTACCAGACACAAACGCTTTCGGCGTCAAGAAACGTCCAAGGCCTTTTAAGATCGACTCGGGCAACTTTCTTGCGCTTCTAAAAAGGAGCTTCGGAGGAGCAAGGCCGCATCACCCCTGATAAAAAAAACTCGTTAGTTCCAACACTTCTTACTTATCTCTGCTTACCATTCACAATAAGGTACTTTGGAAAGAGGCCAAAGCTATGCCGCAGCGCATCCAGGCTTCCAAACCCGATCAAAAGGCACAGTAGTGCTGCCAGATTACATGCCAATCCAATATTCGATGCCGGCTGTTCCACAGAATCGAAAACAAATGCGACATGAGGAAAGCAAACAAGTTGAGGAGCTACGCCCTCATTCGATCGATCAGATCAGATGGGCGGTCCCTCTTGAAAACAAATGGGATTCGAAAGAAAACCCAACGAAAGAACAAAGAACTTTATTTTTTTTATTCCACAAGCAACAGAGCAGCGTCAACCCTGTGATTCGCGCATGCGAGCTCGCACAATCGCGGCTGTTTCATCGCAAGGGCAAATCTTGTCCGCTACTTCGAGGTAGAACTCCCACAGGCCCAATTCTAGGGCCAAGATCCCGAGCATAGGATACACCACACCTCTAAGCCCTTCTTTTTCGGCGGCATTCACAATCGCAGTAAGCGCTTCGAACTTCCGATCGGTATCTTCGGGTGTTCTCTCCTCTTTCTTTTCAAAAGAAGAAGCGTGGGACTCCAAGAGATTAGTGATAGTTGTGGGAAGCGTGTCTTCCTCCTTGCATCGAGAACAGTAGCAGCTTTTGATTCCAAATGGTCGGAGCTCCTGGTGGCGCTGGAACGCTGGCGCGAGCACGTTGATATATGCAATTGAGATTTCGTCTCCAGCGGAAACAGGCTTCGTCGTCCTCACGCAAAGGACGGTGGAGTTCGCTAGGTAGGCCACGTAGGCGTTAGGGCTGCAGGAATGATTGATGAGAGATGTGTACCGCCCGAGGACATGGGTTTGTGACGCTGAAAAAAACGAGAAGTATGATAAGACTGTAAGAAGGGGAAAAAAAAAAAAAAAAAAACCTGCATTCACAAATACATTCGTGTCCCACACGCGTTTAGCATGTTCCGGATCGATATCCGCGATTGCAGCTGAGAAATCCGGAGGAGTAGAGTATGCACGGGTGGTACCGTCATGAAGTTGACTCACATCCCCCAAGCATTGAAGAACGTGGATAGGACTGTCTTTTCCTATTTCTTTTGCGGAGAGAAGAGCACTCTCGAGCAGTACTAGAGTCCCTGGATCTATATCGCAGATCGCACAGATACCGCGACCTTCCCCCACTGCTTGGATTTGGACATCTTCCGACAGGTACGGACTAAAAGAGATGCCTATCATTCTTTCCTCTCTTTCTAAAACCCTAGCAAAGTTTTCCATGACAGAATGAAAGCAAAGGAGCACGGATTCAACCAAATGTATTTATAAGTTTGCTCCGCAAATCAGAGCGCAAGACTAGGATGGCAATCTTAGCCGTTAAATTTCCCTCAAGCCAACGCCAATCACAGCGCAGGACGAGGATGGGCAATCTTAGCCGCTGAATTTCCCGCTCAACTTTAAGCCGACGCGACGTTGCGCCAATCACAGCGCAGGACCCGGATCAACTCTCAGCCAATCACAGCACAGGACCGGGATGGGCAATCTTAACCGTCGAATTTCCCGCTCCGACGTTGAGCCAATCACAGCGCAGGACCAAAGGCTTAACCATTGAATTTCCCGGACGCGAGGTTGCGCCAATCACAGCGCAGGACCGGGATCGGCCCCAGCTACCGTCCGATCGTTTAACTCTTTCGTGCAAGACACAGCGGGAGAAATTCTGTAAAAAAGCTAGCACACAAGTGCTGCTCGAGAAAACCAACTTACTTCCAAGGACGCCTTTTTGGCAAGCTTCGCGTTGGTTGCTGTGGTCTCTTCGCCTGTTACGAGGGTGATGCGAGCCTTTTGAAACAGCCACCTTACGTTGAGTGTCAGCTTTCCATCTGTGAGAACAAGCTGAGAGGCCGCCATTTTGAGCACTGAGACTACATCCAGATTTTGCAGCCTGTAAGAAACCCTTTCAGCATCTAGACTGCCAATCAAGCTGTTACCAGAGTCGAGGTTGCAAAGTTGAGCCTTGAAAGCAACAACAAAGTTTGCTCAAAATTCCCACACGATCCAACCGGTTCATGCTCCACTTGTCTGACGATTGGCGATTTGTTTCTCCAGTGAGACAATGAGAAAAAGGCCTCGATGGTAACGAAGCATGGAGCTGCACGAAAATTAACGAGAAAAAAAAGAGGTTTTTTTTCTACCACGACTCCACCACGAAATCACACAAAAGCGCTTGCTCAAGAGAATCACTTTGATTCTTGTCGGGATGCCCCCCACACGCCGGCGCAGCGGCCCTGCCACAAAAAAAATCGTGTTTTAGAAGCAATGAAACGAACCAGAGGATGAATTCAATGAAACGCATCAGGACCAGAGGATGGAAGATCGAAAAAGAAACCGACGGCAGGATTTGGGTGCTGCTCCCTGTTCTAGGGTTCTTCCATCTAAGGTTGTGAGGGCCTTGGCAATACTGAAGTATGTATGTGTTGCGGGGTGATGGGGAGGTGGACAGGCGGAGACAGTCGCAAATGCGACTGAGGGGCATGCTTGGAAGAGGAAGAGAGCCTCTCAAAGGGAACAACAACCTCTATCTCAGGCTAGCAAGGCAAGAAGAAGAAGATCACCCTCCGGAGGAAGAGAGTTGCCTGGTAGCACTCGATCCGGCGCTGTGGAAGGGCCTGCCGGCGCTGCTGCTGCTCAAGATCCTTGTCGACCATCTCCCCTTGGATCGCCTCTTCCGCCTTGCCGACGGCGACTGGGAGCTCACCGCCGCCATTCTCGCGCAGCCCTTGAAGCGCGACAAGTATGCGCTGCTGCTCCCGAATCAAAGCCTCGTCTTGCACAACTTTGGTGGAGTCGAGGAGAGCTCTGCTTCTACTCCTCGAGATCTGCCGCCCAGGTGGAAGAGGTTCCGAATCAGACTCGATGAGAGGGATGGTCAGAGCTCGTCGCAGAGGCGCCTCCTCGCCGTGTCTCCGCGCGGGCTGTTGGTTCTCTACTGCACCACAGGTGAAGGCGACGCGGGAAATCGTCACTCCCTGCTCTGCTACAGCCTAGATCCGGAGCAGCCGCAGCACCAAGCTTCCGTTTTGCTTCCAGCAGAGTATGATCATGACGGCGGTGGCGTCCAAGCTTGCCAAGTCGTGCATCCCGGCTGCAAGGATGATCAGTGGTGGTATCAGATCGTCATCTTGTATGCGGCAGGGAGCAAAGCTCTGGTTTTTGACTCGCGCTCCCTCTCCTGGAACACGGTGCGCAAGGCGAGCGCCGCGGAAAGGGACGTCTTTATCACTAGCAGCTGCGAGGCCATCCATCTCCCCACCAAGTCAATCTCGCATGTTGTGCTGCCTCTGGGGCTCCATTGCCAGCACCCTGAGGCGATCCAGACCCAAGACTCCACCTATTTGTTTCTTGTTGCAGCAATCGGCAAAGCCACAGGTAAAAAACACTTTTTTTTCTTTTCTGTTCTGATGAAGCTGCCAAATCTCTGCAGCCGACTATCGCTGGGCGAGAACCCCAGCTTTGGATGCTGCAAATGGTGTGAGCTACACTCTAGTTTTCATATCTTCTTTCTCACAATGTGTATGAGCAGGCATCCATGAGAATTCCCCAGTGGTGCTCGGTGGCTTGAGGATGGATGGGGAGACTGGAGACTGGGAACTCCTCCCAGGTCCTAGGGACGAAGTGTGCCGAGCTTTGGTGCTGCCGGAGCTGTGGTGCCTGGGAGTCGCGGGTTGCGTGGGCGTTTTTGTCGACTCCAAGAAGCGCTTGCTCTCGTGCTTGGTCGATCCGTGGAGCTGGTATATCAGCAGCTCCGTCAAGAGCTGGAACCTGGATGGCAAAATCATCCAGATAGTCTCTCCATGATCTTTTCTATTGTAAAGTGGACCAAGAGCCACAACAGGAATTTTACTCACAGATATAAGTATTTTGTTCCTTCTAGAAACGATTTGAATTCAAGTACTCCACTTCTTGGTGCTGTGTGCTACACGAAATCTCAAAAGAATTGGTTGTATAATGTGGCCTCGGCCACGAAAACAAAAACATACCTTGGAAGAAAGTTGGACGAGGCGGCCGTTTCATCGAAAGAGAAGCACCAAAGGAAAACTCACAGCAAATTCTTCGTGTGTAGAATCTTCCCCAGAGCCCATGAGGCCTGGCGCCGATCCTCTCGTTCGAGTTTTCCAAGTACTCGTTGCTACAGGTAGTAAATCGTCTTGAAGCTGACCTCGAATTGGTCAGCTCCAAGCAAGATAAGCTCCAGCAGCCCGAGCCCCGAAGCACAGGGACGCCGCTGGCAATTAGCTACGTCGTTGGTGACTTCGTGTATTAAAGGCTTTTGGACAGTTTATAGCGAAGCCCTTGTAATTCTTTCCAAGCTATGAGGAAAACCCTTCCAGAAAAGGTGATGGCCTTTGATTCCAAGAAATCTATTACTACTACTATCCGTGACATAGAAAAGCGCACGCCCAGGGATTCGCTCCGGACGGACCGTGAGTCGCTGGAGTGGTAAAATTCGCGAAGGAGTTGCAGGGCAAGATTTGCATGGATGGATCGATCCCGACGTGAATACCGAGGAGCGGGATTTGTAGGAATGTTCTTGGGCTCAAGGATGTCAAAGGAGAAATCGTGTGAAGGAGAAATCCATGGCGCAAAAGGAAAGAACAGATAAAACCTTATTAAAAGGAATTAATAAAAGGAACTGCTAGTTTTAGGGCTTTTCGAAACGAATTAAGGGGGGAAGATAAAAGTGCTCTGTTTTTAGGGTTCTTTGTTTTAAGGTTATCAATCTAAAGAAGAAATGGGGGTTCTTTCTCTGCCTTGCATTGCGTGTGTCGCGTCTAGGTCACAAGGCACGGCCCTTGCGCCTCACAATCGCGTGGCGGGATGCAGGAAAGAGAGGCGTGGCGCGCTCACTGTCGTCGCTTCGTCTCCGGGAAGTGATGGACGCTCGGCTCGTCGCGAAATTTCAGCTCGGGAGGGATATTTCAGGCTTTTCTCCAATGTCAACGAAGCTACGTTGAAGCACGAGCCAGGTTTGTGGACGATTTCTCTGAGAATTTCGTGTTTTCTACATAGCTGCTGTAGGGAGCCTAGTGAGTGCCATTTTTCTCGTCGCGGGGACAACAGTAAGAAATATTGTCACAGCCTATTCAAGGCTGATTTTTTTTTCTTTTCTGTGATTGGTGTCAAAGATTGGAGCTGGAGTTTTGGCTATTCCTGCCGTAACAGAGGAGTCTGGGTTCGCAGCATCATCTCTAACTTGCAGCATTTGCTGGCTATACATGGTATGGAAGATTTCCATTATTATTCGACTGGTTGAGTGGAAGATTAGTTCTCAGGTTGCTACGGGATTGCTAGTAGCAGAAGTTAACGTGAGCACTATGTGTGAACTTGGCTCCGGTGGCGTATCGATTGTAAGCTGTTTTCCAGTTCTAGGACATGTCTGCTGATTGCCGATTGCTTTCAACAGGTTTCCATGGCTGAGAGAACTTTAGGAGCGATTGGAGTTCGGTTTGCCAGGTTTCTATCCTTTAATACGCACCATTCTTTGAGCTCACCTTGTGTTACTGGCAGCTTGGCATACCTTTTCATTCACTATGCTTTGCTGGTGGCTTATGTGGCTCGATCTGCTGATATCATATCAAACGCCAGTGGTGCTCCTCTGTGTGTCACTGTCCGTAACTCTTCTTTTTTCTTGTCTTTGACTCTTGTGCTTGACTGCTACTTTCTTTCAGATGGGCTAGTGCGCTACTCTTCACTGGAATATTTGGCGGGCTATGCTACAGTGGAAGGTGAAAGAAGCTCGTCATTATAACATTGCTCCAACCCGGTCCCTAATTGCAGCCAGCGTATAATCGGGGCGTTTAATGGAGCTTTGGTACTTGGAATAATTGCAAGTTTTATCTCCCTTGTGGTAAGGTCTCATATATGGTATGGTTTACTAACGCTTATACAAAGACAATTGTGGCATAGGCTGTTTCAACAGGATATATAGAGCCTGAATTACTCCTGCGAGCCAATTTTGCTGCAGTGCCTAGAAGCGTTCCTGTGATTGCATTGGCATTTGTCTACCAGGTACTGTTTTGTCTTAAACTTGGTTGCTATCATATTTTTACGTGACAGAATGTAGTTCCTGTTATTTGTACCAATCTTGAAGGGGACCTCAAAAAGATAAGGTACACGGGGCTTTACTTTCTTATGCATTATAGAACTTAGTTCCTAAGTCTTTAGGACCGCCATTGTGGCCGGGACTGCCATTCCCTTGGCAATGTTTATTGTATGGGATGCCGTTATTCTTGGCAGCGTATACCCGGGAGCCGGAAACTCATCTCTTTCAGATCCATTGATGCAATTGCGATCACAAAGCGGCATCATAAGCGTACGTTTGTGCTGTTTCTCAATCGTTGTAAATAATTTCGTTTTTGTAACAGCCTCTGGTGGAAGTATTCTCGCTGCTGGCCATCACGACGTCTTATATCGGTTTTGTGCTTGGTCTGTCGGACTTTGTCGCCGATTGTAAGTGCTGATTGATTTCCTGAAAGCTTATGGTAGCTTCTTGTTAGTGCTCAAGCTCCCGGGTGGCGGATCCAGAAAACCTTTACCATATGCTGTGACTCTGCTTCCTCCAACAGCACTCGCGTTACTATCTCCAGACATATTTTTCAAAGCTTTGGATTTTGCTGGTGCCTACGGCGGTAAGCTGTTGGACAAAAACAAGATGCTTCGCCTTATCACTTTTTTTTCTCTCTTTTTCACCGCAGTGCTAGTCTTGTTTGGTATTTTGCCGGCATCTATGGCCTGGTCACAAAGATACTCGACATCTTCTTTACCCGCTGTTCCTCCTATGGTTCCTGGAGGTCGTTTGGCACTGGGTGTGATGATAACAGGAGCTGGCTTCATCATTACTACACAGTTTTTGAGCACACTCTCGTGAGCAAAATGCTTTATGATCGATCAAAGTATCAGGCTTTCCAAGCTCTATCAGATTACTTTACGATAAGTCTATCTTGAGAGTGAGTGTTTGAATTCGATGCAAATTGCTAGCTGAATAAACTATGACATAAAAACTTTCATTCGAAATTTAGAGTCTTCTTCCTTGCACTGCTGGGATGGAGCGCACTCGTTCATGTCCCGGAAGCGATGGAGGGGCTCTCCAAATCCTATCGTAATTTTTCAGTTCGCCAAGCTACATTCCCGGTTTGTGGACAATTTTGTAGAAAACTTTCAGATTTTCTTTATGGCTGTTGTTTAGTTTAGCCACAGCGGAAGGTATTACTACTGTGGAGCTTGCGGACTGTCAGCTTGGCATACCTTTCACAGTCAGGGGGTATTTGATGGAACTTGGAAATAGCTAAAAGTTCTATCGCTCTTGTGGTGAGAAGTTCCGCTATGTATTATTTCACACTTATCGCATGGACTGTTTGAGCAGGATTTGTCACTCCTGCGAAGCCAATTGTGCTGCTGCGTCCCTGCGATTGCATTCTACCAGGTAATTTTCATTGTAAGACTCTCATATCCAGGTGCTGGTCATCATACAATGAGCTTCTTTTTTCAGTGCTCTCAAGCAAAAGCTTTCTCATATCCCATGACACTCAAGAGCACTCTCTAAATTTATTTTTTTGGGAGCACTGCTGTAAGTTCTTGTCATGAAAAACCAGATGTTTGTCTCACGATTCTACTCTTTACTACAGTGTTAGTTATTTTGCCTGGGGCACAGTCGGGACCTCTTTGAATTGCTAAACAACGACCAAAATTTGTTGTGGGCTTGGAAGTATCAGATCTTCATCAAAGCCGAGTTCTCTCAAATCAAGAGCTTATTCAAAAATGTCTCAATGTCAGTAGGCTGGATTTTCCTATTGCTGTTATTCTGCATAAAAGGTAACGAGTCAGATTGCTTATGATCGGTAGTCACAATTGTTACTTACCCTTAGTTTTGCTACTAAAGCAGCTCGAAAGCTATTCTCTGTCACTGCCGAGTCTATAGACGTGACCGACAATCCTAAGCTCCACAGGTAGTTGAGCAGCTGAAGCATAACGTCCTGACGCTGTGGTCTTCTTCTATGTATCCGGATGGCAAAAGTTCCTTCATCGTCGAGAGCATTCACAGACAACTCATCTCGATCGTCACTGGTTGTAAGTTCTGTCTTGATTGCCCCGATCTCTGCTCCTGGGCCGGCCGTTTCTTCTGTTGTTGCCTTGCTGTTCTCTAACTGTGCTACCCTTCTTTGTAGGTATTGCATGTGATCTATTGCTCCTTGCAGCACAGATAACTTATCCTGCGAGCAAAGAATGTAAGAGCTTTCATCGATCTCGGATTGATCTTACTTACCTTCGTTTTGAATGGGATCAACGACCTCAACCTCGAAATGCTGTCCTTGTGCCTCCTTCTTCTGTTTCGCTCGGCGTCTATGTGTACAGTTCGGGTACGTGCATCTTCTCCTCCTGACATAGTTTGTGTTGGTCCTTGTGCTAAGCCACGAGCTCGTTTTCTTACTTCTTCTATTTGAGCTAGTGCTAGCAGCATCCTCTTGATCATTGCCTGCGAGGTAGTGGGAATTGCCATGCTCTTCTGCTGGAGCGGATCCCATTTTCTAAATGCCGTGGCTGAACTAGTGTCGAATTGCGTTCCTAGGCTTGAAGTTGCTTGATAGATTGTCGTCCAGTCTGACGTCGTGTAACTTTGATGATGCAGGCCAGGGATGTCCAGCGATGCCTCGGAAGGAGATTGTGAGAAAATGGATGACGTCGAGGTTGAGGGATGTTCCGTGGATACTGGCAATGCAACAGGAGCAGCATACAGGAATGTTCTTATAGTCTGGAGCAAGGAGTCGGTCTCAAGAATCTACAAGGTGAACAAGATTAGAAACGACTCTAAGCTTGGATTGTCTTACAGTTTCCGTGGAACCAATTTCCAGGACGCCATCCAGCAGCGGGATGCACAGGAGGCTCTGGATGATTGTGGCCTAAAATGCAGGTAAGGAAAGGAAACAAAGCTTGCTTCAGTTTTGTCAAAGTCAAGGACTTACTTGCAGGAAATCTCTTTGCTCGAGCACTGAGGTGTTCGTGACATTCACGCCTGTGACCCATACGTGCTCGCGTCTGATCGCTGCTATACCGGCATGCCTGAAAGGTGAAAAAAGCATTCAAACTTCGCGCTGAAAACTCTCAATACCCATGTCCGAATGGAAACTGGCAGGACTTGTAAGCTGTGTAGAACAGCGCTTGCTGGAAACTGGAGCCTGCTGGCCATAAGCCTTGTTGCCACACGAGATCACTGCAGTCGACGAAAAGCGAGGTATTTGGTTCGTGAATTACTTGATAGTATCAGAAGTGCAAGGCCTCATTTCATAATATACACAAAGAAGATCATCAACGTGCACTCCAGAAACGAGATAAAGAGATTGGAAATCTCAGCTCTCCCTTCTGGAGAGAAAGGGATAGAGAGAGGGAGGAAGAAAAGCTCAAACGAGATACGATTCTCCAAAACTCACCGTTGTGGCAGCGACCAGACGACGATGTAAGACCAGCCAATGTAATTCACGAGCGCTGCCAGTCGCTGCTCGGAGACGCTCAGCACGGAGAGAGGGAGGATCATCATCCTGCTCGCTTATCCATCGAAAGTCGAGCAAGTGAACACCCACCCTCTCTGGTGGTGTTCAAGTTTGATTGGAAACATAACACTTTCCAAATGGACAGGGCAAAAATAAAGGTAGATCTTAGTCAACACCACGGACATTCTCGAAAGACAGTTAGCTGTGCAGATCTAGAAAGACTGCTGCCGCGCGAAGAAGTTTTCAAACTTGGGAATATGCATGGGAATATGCCGCATGCTTTAAACATCAAAGAGTGAAGAGGACTTGGACAACATGCATGGGAATTCAACAGGTAGACATTTTGGAAACTTTTCTTGTGTCTTCAGGTACTTGAAGAGAGCCATTCTTCACCGAGTCACCCCAATCTAATGTCAGTGGTTACTTCTTTGAAGATACTGGAGATAGTTCTTGCGACCGCCCAACATTTTTGACTTCGCTGTTAATCTACCTTCGAACAAACAGAAAAATTCAAGCCCTGAGCTCCACATTTCAGCTGGGACAGGACCACGAGCTCAAACTCAGCAATAGTCAAACTCAACTATCATCTATCTTCGAACAAACAGAAAAATTCAAGCCCTGAGCTCCACATTTCAGCTGGGACAGGACCACGAGCTCAAACTCAGCAATAGTCAAACTCAACTATCATCTCTCTCTCTCTCTCTCTCTCTCTCTCTCTCTCTCTCTCTCTCTCTCTCTCTCTCCCTCTCTCCCTCCCCCCCCCACCCCATATTTCCGATCTCAAACATAAAATCTCAGCCATCAACTGCAGGATAAAAAAGAAAATAAAAATTATAAATCTAGAATCTAAACTGGACTTCCATTGACTATTGAGCTCAACTCAACTCATGAGTTGAGCTCAATTTCTTGGGACAAGCTAATCACACTTCTGATTCTAGCAACTTCAGTTTGATAAGGTGGACCCTGAGCTTTTGATTTAACCGTCACTCACTTCCATAGCTTTCTCAAAGATGTGTTCTTCTTGGTCTCCTTCTTCATCACTTTGGCCACTGCCATGTTGAAGTATTCCTGGGTGACGTGAACGCGCCTCTCTCGCAGAGCAAACATTCCAGCCTCCTTGCAGCACAGATAACTTATCCTGCGAGCAAAGAATGTAAGAGCTTTCATCGATCTCGGATTGATCTTACTTACCTTCGTTTTGAATGGGATCAACGACCTCAACCTCGAAATGCTGTCTCCGTCTTCGGTTTCGCTCGGCGTCTATGTGTATAGTTCAGGTACGTGCATCTTCTCCTCCTGACGTAGTTTGTGTTGGTCCTTGTGCTAAACCACGAGCTCGTTTTCTTACTTCTTCTATTTGAGCTAGTGCTCGCAGCACCCTCTTGATCATTGCCTGCAAGGTAGTGGGAATTGCCATGCTCTTCTGTTGGAGCGGATCCCATTTTCTAAATGCCGAGGCTGAACTAGAGTCGGATTGCTCTCCTGCTACAAGAGTTCCTAGGCTTGAAGTTGCTTGATAGATTGTCGTCCAGTCTGATGTCATGTAACTTTGATGATGCAGGCCAGGGATGTCCAGCGATGCCTCGGAAGGAGATTGTGAGAAAATGGATGACGTCGAGGTTGACGGATGTTCCGTTGGTACTGGCAATGAAACAGGAGCAGCATACAGGAATGTTCTTATAGTCTGGAGCAAGGAGTCGATCTCAAGAATCTACATGGAACAACTCTAAGCTTGGATTGTCTTACAGTGTCCGTGGAACCAATTTCCAGGACGCCATCCAGCAGCGGGATGCACAGGAGGCTCTGGATGATTGTAGCCTAAATGCAGGTAAGGAAACAAAGCTTGCTTCAGTTTTGTCAAAGTCAAGGACTTACTTGCAGGAAATCTCTTTGCTCAAACACTGAGGTGTTCGTGACATCCACGCCTGTGACCCATACGTGCTCGCGTCTGATCACTGCTATACCAGCATGCCTGAAAGGTGAAAAAAGCCTTCTTTTATTCAAACTTCGCGCTGAAAACTCTCAATACCCATGTCCGAATGGAAACTGGCAGGACTTGTAAGCTGTGTAGAACAGCGTTTGCTGGAAACTGGACCCTGCCGGCCATAGTTGCCACACGAGAGCACTGCAGTCGACGAAAAACCGGGGTATTTATTACTTGATAGTATCAAGAGCACCCATGCAAGGCCTCATTTCATAATATACACAAAGAAGATCATCATCGTGCTCTCCAGAAACGAGGATAAGAGATTGGAAATCTCAGCTCTCCCTTCTGGAGAGAAATAGATAGAGAGAGGGAGGAAACGAGATACAATTCTCCAAAACTCACCGTTGTGGCAGCGACCAGACGACGACGTAAGACCAGCCAATGTAATTCACGAGCGCTGCCAGTTGCTGCTCGGAGACGCTCAGCACGGAGAGAGAGAGGATCGTCATCCTGCTCGCTCGCTCGTTCACTGATCCATCAAAAATCGAGAGAGTGAATAGGCTCTCCGGTGATGTTCAAGTTCGAATGGAAATATAAAAATTTTCAGATGGAAAGGGCAGAAAGACCCAGATCTGAATCAACACCACGGACATTCTCGAGACAATTTGCTTTGCAGATCTAGAAATTCTGCTGCCGCGCGAAGAAGTTTTCAAACGTTAGAATATGCATGGGAATATGCCGCATGTTTTAAATATTAGGTCCTTTGAAGATACTGCCGACATTTTTTACTCCCAACTGTAATTAGAGCATCATTTGTGTCTTGTAATCTGTCTTTGACCAAACAAAACATTTTTACTAAAAGTCAATGGGAGGCAAAAAAAATCAATTACAAAGTCAATATAGTGAATGAAAGTCCTCGAAAACTGACTACCATCGACTTCAAGGATTGACTTTTGAGCTCAAGAGTTGAGCTCAGTTTTTTGGTCTATTAAACTAATCATTCCGTCCAAACGTATAAAGAGCTCCATTTTAGTAAGAGATTTTGATTTAACTCACTTCCATAGCTTTCTCAAAGACATGTTCTTCTCGGTCTCCTTCTTCATCACTTTGGCCACCGCCATGTCGAAATCTTCCTGGGTGACATGAACGCGCCTCTCTCGCAGAGCAAACATTCCAGCCTCCGTGCACACCGCCTGGAGAGCAAAAAAAAAAAAAAACACACTCCGTCGTCAAGGACCAACTAAAGCGCGAGCATCACAAACCTTTAGCTCCGCTCCCGAGGCACCGTTCATCTTCTCGGCGATCTTCTTCAGGTCGATCCCCCGCATTAGATTCATCTTGCGCGAATGGATCTTGAGGATATCCAGACGGGACTGGAAAAACGAGCGCGTGAGGAAAGAACAGAAAAAAGGACCAGGAAATACCTCTTCAGTTGGGTTTGGAAACTCGATCTTGCGGTCTATTCGTCCGGGCCGGAGGAGAGCGGGATCAAGGATGTCGATCCTGTTTGTAGCCATGAGAACTTTGATCTTGTTGGAGGCCTCGAAACCATCCAGTTGATTGAGCAGCTCCAGCATTGTTCTCTGCACTTCACTGTCCCCGTTGCCATTGCCAGACTCCATACGGGACGAGCCAATGCTGTCAATCTCGTCCATAAAGATAATGGATGGAGCATGCTCTCTAAGAAAACACAGAAAAACGTAACTATACTAGGATAGAATATGGATATTACGATACCTTGCCATGACGAAAAGCTCTCGCACCATTCTCGACCCTTCTCCGATGTATTTCTGGACTAGCTCGGACCCCGAAACTCTTATGAATGTACAGTCCGTATGGTGAGCCACGGCCCGAGCCAGCAAAGTTTTTCCAGTTCCAGGAGGACCATACAGTAGCACTCCCTGCGCAGCAGAAGACAAGAATAGATGCTGGTACCAAAAGCCAAACTTTTGTTAGCAAAATTTTACCTTCGGCTGTGCAATACCCAGGCTCTCAAAAAGCTCAGGATGCTTGATCGGAAGCTCAATAACCTGAGAAAGAAATGAAATAAGAAACTCAACTTCGAAGGGAAAAGCATAGCCAAAACTGACCTCTTTGATCTCTTTGATTTGCTGGTCAAGCCCACCGATCATATCGTACGTGGAGTCCGGGACCTTCTCAACCTTCATCAAATTCACGAGAGGATCCACTTTGCTGGGAAGGATCAAGTGCAGCACATAGCTATCGTTTCGAAGAGCAACTCGAGTGGTGGGAGTGATCTTGCTCATGTCGATGCTCTTGTCAACATCTACGACATACTTTCCTTCTGGGTGCACCTAAAGTTCCACCAAGAAGAAAAAAATACTCTAAAGTGCCAGAAAGGAGGAGAAAAAAAATTACATACCTTCACAAGAACTTTGCTCTTTCCCATCACTTTGACGACCTCACCAACATAAGATCCCGGCTCTTGCAATAGCTGTAGCTCCTCTCGAAGCATTCTAACTGGAAGAAGGAAATAAAAACCTATGGATCACGCTTCTCGCGAGATTTTCGATTCGGTACCTTTGGAGTTGAGATCGTTTCGCTGCGCTTCCAGGCGCGCGAGATTGTTGCCCTTGATGCGCAGCTGCTGCGAGGCATCGTGGATCCGAGATGTGTAGTAGTCATGGAATCCCTCGCCACACCGCCCCATTCCTTGAAAACCCTAGCCTCGAGAGAGCACAAATAAAATACTATAGTACCTCGATTTAGGGTTCTAGAGCTCTGCTGCGCGATGGGTGAGTGGAAGCGCCATTCTCATGAATGCCGCCAGATTACGAGCTCGATCTTTCTGCAGGTGAGAAGAATCGGCCCAGCAAGAAGCAAAAGCGCGGCAAGGTATGGCAAAGGCGCCATCGATATCGCGCGATGAAATTTTCGTTTCTTGCTCTCTAGGAACCGGAGTCCTCGGCTCCCCCCCAAATTCCTGCCGATGACGACATGGAAGAAGACATCGTCGAGGTCTATGAGGAAGAGGATGAAGGTTCGTCTCTCTACACTTCTTTTTTTCTTTCTAGTTCTTTCTAAGGATGGGATTTGTTGTGTATGTAGTCGACGAGCATGAAACCGCGGGGAAAATGGATTTTAGCAAGCTCGAGCTAAAGCCAGACCACGAGAAGAGACCACTCTGGGTTGGACCTGATGGCCATATCTTTCTCGAGACGTTTTCTCCGCTATACAAGCAAGCATACGACTTTCTCATTGCCATTGCCGAGCCTGTGTGTCGGTAAGCGTCAGGTCTCGCTGATATGAGAAGTTGTTACACTCAAGTATTTTTCTTTGAAACGTTGTTCCAGGCCAGAACATATGCACGAGTACAATCTCACGCCACATTCTTTGTACGCGGCTGTCTCCGTTGGTCTTGAGACTCAGACAGTCATTACGGTGCTGGAACGGCTGTCGAAAGCAAGGCTCCCGCAGGAGATTGTGAATTTCATCAAAGAGTCGACTCTCAACTATGGCAAAGTAAAACTAGTTCTGCAGAAGAATCGTTATTTTGTAGAATCTTCTTATCCGGAGGTATGGTGCAACTTTGATTGGTGAAACTTACTTTCTGTCGTGCAGATTCTGGAGAGGGTTTTAAAGGACGATGTCATCTCTCGAGCCAGAATTTTTTCGGAGGCATGTGAAAGTTTTTCTTTCAAATCCTGTCTAGCTTTCTCACGGCAAAATCTTCTAGGCAAGTGCGGAGCACGGTTTTACGGTCAACAAGTCGTTGTCCAATGCTACCACAGAACAAGACTTGCTTGCCGGGGATGAAGTTGCTGCTGGAGAAGAGAAGGATGTGATGTCTTTTGAAATTGATCCTGCTCAAGTAACTATTCTTGTATTGGTTAAGTCGGTTTGGCTCACACAGGAACTTGTCAGGTAGAACATGTGAAGCAGAGGTGCCTGCCAAGTGCTTTAAACTATCCGATGCTCGAGGAATACGACTTTAGAAACGATTCGGTAATGTCTTTTGTGCACAATATTTTTTTATCTGTTTTTCGTGTTTTCCTTATCATGCAGGTCAATCCTGACTTAAGCATTGAATTGAAACCTCAAGCTCAACCTCGACCTTATCAAGAAAAGAGCTTGAGCAAAATGTTTGGAAATGGTGTGTATAACAACCACGTTTTGCAAGTTTTTGAGTACTGACCTGTACTCCAGGACGTGCGAGGTCTGGAATTATCGTATTACCTTGTGGAGCTGGTAAATCCTTAGTGGGAGTTTCAGCCGCCTGCCGCATTCGCAAAAGCTGCCTTTGCTTAGCCACCAATGCAGTGTCGGTCGACCAGTGGGCCTTTCAGTTTAAACTCTGGTCTACTATCCGTGACGATCAGATTTCTCGTTTCACATCAGACAGTAAAGACAAGTTCAAATCAAACGTCGGTGTCGTTGTGACCACCTACAACATGGTTGCTTTCAAAGGCAAACGATCAGAAGAATCCGAAAAAGTCATTGAATTGATAAAAAGCCGCGAGTGGGGCTTACTTCTTATGGATGAGGTAATACGACTATCTTCAAAATAGTACTACTGACCGTCTTTTTTCCTTGTAGGTGCATGTTGTGCCTGCTCATATGTTTCGTAAAGTTATTAGTATCACCAAGTCTCACTGCAAACTTGGACTCACTGGTAAGCAGCTATTAAATATACGGCTGGGACTTACACACCCTGTGAGTTTCTTGCAGCCACACTTGTCAGAGAAGACGAACGTATTACCGATCTGAATTTTCTAATTGGTCCAAAGCTGTACGAGGCGAACTGGCTGGATCTTGTGAAAGGCGGCTACATTGCCAATGTTCAATGTGCTGAAGTCTGGTGCCCAATGACTAAAGAATTTTACGCCGAATACCTGAAGAAGGAGAACAGAAAGCAACAGGTAAATTCCTACTTATTCATTTCCGTAATATTTACCACCGCTTGACGTTCCTGTGCAGGCATTATACGTAATGAACCCCAATAAATTTCGGGCTTGTGAGTTTCTCATCCGTTTTCACGAACAACAGCGAGGAGACAAGATTATTGTCTTTTCTGATAATCTTTTCGCCCTGAGAGAGTATGCCACAAAATTGAAAAGGCCTTTCATTTACGGTCCGACCAGGTAAAAGAGACTTCTTAGACATTTGGCGTTGAAACTTTGTTTGTTGCAGCCACCATGAAAGAACAAAGATATTGTACGCTTTTAAACACAGTCCCGATGTCAACACAGTTTTCTTGTCAAAGGTATTTGTGTCAAAGGTACTTTTCTCATGTCTTATTCTTGTGCACCTGCTTCTCTCAGGTCGGTGACAATTCCATTGATATACCCGAGGCAAATGTTATCATCCAAATCTCTTCACATGCTGGTTCCCGGCGTCAAGAAGCACAACGACTCGGTCGAATATTGAGAGCAAAGGTTCTTAAGAGTTTCTATGGAGACCAAGAGAGACACTAATTAGAGATCCTCTGATTCCAGGGAAAACCCAAAGATCGTGTAAAAGGTGGCACCGAGGAATTCAATGCCTTCTTCTACTCGCTGGTCTCCACGGACACTCAGGTTCTTTGCTGGCCAAATAAGAGTATCACTTCACTTCATTTAAATCTTTCATTGTGTAGGAAATGTATTACTCTTCCAAGCGGCAGCAGTTTTTGATCGATCAGGGATACAGTTTCAAGGTTAGGAGCTGGAACGAGCTTCTTTTTCTTTTTCCGTTCTAAAAACTCTACTTCTCCAGGTTCTTACGAGCTTGCCGCCGGCTGACAGCGGCGCGGACCTGAGCTTTCACAGGCTGGAAGATCAACTGGACTTGCTGTCCAAGGTATTTCAATCTCTATTCTCGATTTCTGGAAGATTTAGATGGCGTCCAGGTTCTCAATGCCGGCGAGGACGCTGCTGGTGTCGAGCAGCTAGAACACGACGCTGATGATATCACAAACTTAAGAGCTCGCCGGATCGCTGGCTCGATGAGTGCTCTCTCGGGTGGCAAAGGGCGATCTTACATGGAATTTAGGTACTCTTTTCTTCTCTACGTTTTTTCCTGATCGATGATCTTTGTGAATTTCGATTCTTTAGTATTGGCGGACGAGGACGGGGCCAACAAGCGAAGCCACGCGATCCAAACAAGCGGCATAATCTATTCAAGAACAGATATAGATAGATAGAGGCCATTCATTTGAGACTATACAAAAATTTGTAAACAATGGATAGTAGAACTGATAGAGACCATTTGAGACTATACAAAGATTTGTAGACAATATGATAGCGCCACGTGTCTGTCGTGAGGGTTTACGGCACAAATGGGCAAGGACGCTGCCAAGGATGAGGCGCTCGAGCAGCGGTAGGCTATCGATCCAATCCCTGGAGCTCCAAATTCTCCGAGATTTCGATCGATTTCTTCCATGGCAGGCACAATATGTTGTCGCCGTTCACGGCGGGATGGCAGATGGTGAAGGTGGAGCCTCTCATCATCGAGAAATCGGAGGTATGCGCTTGGATTGAGCCGATCTAATGAGATTTCGGTTTGATTGTCTCGTGTTCTTCGAATTTCTTAGGGGATTTATGTGTATGATACGAATGGAAACAAGTACCTGGACGCCCTTGCTGGCCTCTGGAACAATGCGCTTGGTATGAGATCTTCTTCTTCTTTTTGTTTCATGCTTGCATGCATTAAATTGTTTTAGGAGGAAACGAACCTCGCCTTGTGGAGGCCGCGAAGAAGCAGCTCGATGTTCTCCCGTACTACCACTCTTTCTGGAACCGTACTACTCCAGTCACGCTGGTACTCTTTTGCTTTGGATATCTCATGAATCGCCGTTACGTATGTTTTGTTACTGGCAGGAACTTGCCAAAGAGCTTGTGGAGATGTTCACGCAGGTTAAAATGAGCCGCGTGTTGTTCACGAACAGTGGCTCCGAGTCGAACGATTCCCAAGTGCGTGTCTAGCTTTTTTCCTTCTTTTTTCTACATTTTTCTTGCGATGCAGGTGAGATTGGTTTGGTACTACTACAATGCCATCGGGAAGCCCCACAAAAAGAAGTTTATAGCACGAGAAAAAGCGTGAGAATCTTACTATGATTGTATCTTTTTGTATATTTTCTCACGCTGCTTCTAATGTAGCTACCACGGATCTACGTATGCTTCAGCCAGTCTCTCCGGGTACTTCTCTAATTCTCTTGCTCTTTCTATCGGAACTTAACAAGAGTTACACTTGTTGTCCAGTTTGCCGAACCTTCATAAAGGTTTTGACGCACCAGCATCTTTTGTTGTTCATACTGACTGTCCGCATTATTGGCGAAATCACTTGCCTGGTAAGCTGTATAGTTTTTCTTCTGCTCCTAATTTTTTTTTAAAAAATAAGGTGAGAGTGAGGAGGATTTTGCCACGAGATTGGCTGATAATCTGGAAAAGCTCATCCTAAAGGAAGGACCCGAAAATGTAAGCAACCAGGTTCAGAATTTTTTTCGCAAGTAAGCCTGTTTATTGAAGATTGCTGCCTTCATTGGAGAGCCTCTCATGGCTGCTGGCGGTGTCATGCCTCCTCCAGCTACATACTGGGACAAGGTATAGGAGCCAAACGCTTGTTTTCCTGTTTCTAACTTCTAAGTTGCAGATTCAACCCATTCTTAAAAAATACGACATCCTCCTTATTGCTGATGAGGTTCAGGAATTTGTTTTTAAATCTGAAAGTTGTTTCTGATTCAATTTTGTTTCAATCAAGGTTGTTTGTGCATTTGGAAGGCTTGGAACAATGTTCGGTTGCGACTATTACAATATAAAGCCCGATCTTGTTAGCATGGCAAAGGTATGTATTTCGAGACTAGTTAGAAGGAAGCGCTGATCCTGTAATTTTCTTCTCTTTTTAAGGCCTTATCTTCCGCTTATATGCCCATTGGAGCTGTTCTTGTAAGTGAAAAAATATCAGATGCTATCTTGAAGTTCAGTGACCAGCATGGTGAGAAGTTTCCACTTTGTATTTCATTTGCTTTATAAAGGTGGTTTTATGTGTTCTAGGCTCTCTTGGCCATGGATTTACATATTCTGGACATCCCGTTCCTTGTGCGGTTGCCTTGGAAGCATTGCACATTTACAAGTAAGCAAGCTCAATGCAACTCTGTCATCCACTTTTCCATTTCGACGTTTGATTTTTTCAAGGGAGAGAGACATTCCCGGACATGTTGCAAAAGTATCTCCCCACTTTCAGAAAGGACTGCATAAACTATCCAGCAGTCCAGTCATCGGAGAGGTTTGTTGTGATTTGCGCGGCTTGCGGGCTTTCTAACTCTGCAATCAGATTCGTGGGACTGGTTTGATCATTGGAGTCGAATTCAAAGACGGGAAGCGTCCGGAAAACACCTTTCCAGCAGACTGGGGTAATGACAGATCCGAGTTTCTTATCCCGAATGCTAGACATAACTTTCACTTTGTTCATCCAGGAGTGTCATCATATTTCGCAGATAAGTGCAAAGAGGAAGGAATGCTGGTGCGCATCTCGGGAGACGCCATCTTCATGTCTCCAACGTTGACAATCACAATCGAAGAGATTGACGAGGTAAGCTTCCTCTTTCAAGTCGCACTTAGGCAGAGACAAAAACTTTTGGAAACTTCTTTTACTACAGCTCATCACCATGTTCGAGAAGGCACTCAAAGCCACCGAGAAATACGTCGAGTCCAAGAAAAAAAGTGGATAAACATCAGCGGCCTCTGGAATAAAATGGCGTTTGTTTCATTCTTTTCTTCTTTCGGTAAAGTGCTTTTTCTTTCTTTTTTTCTTCTTCTTTGAAGTATCAATATATATATATATATATATATATATATATATATATATATTACATTAGAGCTTTTATACACGTAGTGTTTGAAGGCTGCTCGCTCTTATACAAGACCAAGTTCCTATCATCTTGGAGCCGCGAGAATTGTGGAAACGAACTGGTGACAAAGGTGTTGGTCGCCCCATCAAAATCTTAGAATTTCTACAATTTGGAGAGGGCGAGTCCTCAATTTCCAGGGCTAGCTACCGATTCTCAGCCATGATTTTCAAACGCGTCGTTTAACGCTCCAGAGAATAGCGATCAAACAAGATCAAACCTGTTTTTGATCTGATGAAAGATCTTGTGCATGCAAGAACAAAGCTTCATACAAACGCAAAGCTTCTCACCTGGAAATTTGTAGATTTTTCATCATCTAACAGCAGTGTTTGAAGCCCACGCGGGGACCTGCTCGTCGCTCTTATACAAAACCAAGTTCCTATCATCTTGGAGCGCCAGAATCGTGGAAACAAAACGATCACCGGGGACAAAGGTGTTGGTCGCCCACACACAAACCTCATGATTGACAACCACCAGGTTCCCATCCTGCTGGACCAGCAAGAAGCAGCCGTCCGCCCTGTCCCTGGTCGGGGTGGCCCAAACCCGGTCGCCATCGTACAGTACAGCCTCGCAATGCCGCTCCATGGCCAGCTTGTACCGCTGGTTGGGCGACCAGATCGCCTGATTGGGCAGGAGCCGCGAGTAGACGCGCGCCCTTGGGCCACTTTGGACCATATTGGCGTACGGAAAGCAATCATCCGACAACGAATATACGACCCTCCGGGTGGAATCTAGGGCTCTTAGCTGCGCGGGATTTACTTCCTCCGCCATGCTGTACATGCCCTCCTCCATGCTGTACTCCATGCCATATCGCCCGTCGATCACAGTGATGTAGCTGTAGCCCCAGCGGAATAGATCGGTGGCGAGGCGGTCGTGGAGCTCGCGGAAGGCGGCGACGAGGATGAATCCGGGCAAGGAGTCAGAGGGATCGGGCGTGGCGTGGCAGTCGTCGCTGAAGAACCAGAGGCGGATGAAGATGCGGCCGGTCCCGAGGAAGATCGTGTCGGAGATTGAGCGTGGCGAGTAGCGATCTGACACGGAGATTGTGTTCACTAGCGTCGCGAGAGCGGCGCTCACAAATCCGCGGGCTTCATTGCTTGCGAGTAAGAATGGGACGCCGCGATCTACGACCTGCTGGGCGCTTGCGATTGCGAGGAGCGCGAGGAGGAAGAGGAAGTAGTAGAGAGCTATGGCATTGCTGATCTCGATCTTCGCGGGCAATGCCATGGGAGATGGAATGAGTTTCAATCTCCATAGCTTTTAAAAGGGGACATCCAATAATTTTTGGCGGGTCAGCGCTTTGGATATCTCGCAAGGATATTCCTTACAAATTAATTACTTTAATTGGCATTATTATTAAGACAACTGTACGGCTTCTTCCAACTTGTACGGATTGCCTTAGGGTTTATCATGGCTGGGCAATTTCGAGCCCGACGCTACGAGCTCGAGGGAGCCGCGGCGTCCCTGGATCGGCATCCGGCAGCTGCGCATCCGCTGCTGGATCATGAATGCGGCGCTGCGGCCGCCTCAATTCACTGCGCGGTTCTTCGGGTCAGTGGTGATGAATGCGTGGATTTTCTCTCTGACAGGGTTTCAGGACGAGAAGGAGCCGCTCTTGGCGGAGGTCGTCTTTGATGATCCGCTGAGGTCGGGTGGTTTTGCTGAGAAGGATTTGGCTTCTCCTCCGGCAATGTGGCACAAGTCCAAGACTTCCAGACGGGTGGTTTCCAAGAGTGTCATGGACGAGCAAGTGGAAAATGCCGCGGCGGATTGGGATGCTTATAAGCTCACACTTTCTCAGAGATTTGGATCGTCTGGCACCATGACGATGTCCTCGGTGAGCTTCGGCCTTTTTCTAGTGCATGGTTGAGAATTATGATTTCTTTCGTGTTCTCATTGCAGGCTTTTGATGTTCTTGCGAAAGATCACAAAGGTAACGTACGCACGTAGAATGACTGTCCAACAGATCATATCGTGTTCTGTTCAGCCGCCGGAACGAGCACACATCTCCAGCAGCTGGAAGATCCCGAGAGAAAGGCCTTCGAGGATGTCAAGATTCTCACGCAGCAAGAATGTGTGACGAGACTGAAGGATCTTAACGAAGAGATTGCTGAAGCTTGGAGGAGCGAAGAACGCGTTTCTGCTTTGAGACTTACCATCAAGGTGTGAGACGGTACCTGCTCGTGGCTCACTTACAAGTTTTCTCTCTTTTCTTTTTCGCAGGTAGCCAGGCTTTTGATGGACACTTCCGTGGCACACTTCTATCCCGTGTTGTTCGTGCTCGTAACTGATGTCCTGGATAATGTCGGCGATTTAGTGTGGATGCGTATCAAGAAAAAGGCCGAGACCGATGAAAACGGGAATGCCATTGAACTGCCAGGTCTTTCTGCGTGCATGGATTTTTTTCTGTGGGATTCATTCTTGTGTTGCAGTGGATTTTTCATCTAGCGACATCTCTCAGGAGGCGAAGGATACATGTAACAACTGGTTTTTAAAAATTGGGTCCATCAAAGAGCTCTTGCCTCGGATGTAAGTCCTGACGTTTACTATAGCCTTGCGGTGCTAAATTGCATCTCCTTTCTAGATACCTCGAAATTGCTATCCTGCGGTGCTTGCAATTTCTAGAGCGAGATCCTATCTCGACCATTCAGAGGTTGTCTTCGATGGTCAGAGGGTTGGGAAGTCCTTTGACGTCTGCCTATGCTTACATATACTTATCGCGTAAAGGGCTTGCACTTTTGCCGATGGAAAGAGGTAATAAAAATGCTGGGACTACTGTTACACTGACTATTACATTCTCTCAGGTTATCTGGTTAGTGGTATCCATGATTTTACAATGCTGTTATACAGATTAATTGCTGGGGAGTTCAATCAGAATCTTTTAGAGCTGCACATTCAGAAACAAACGTATGTGAGACTGGTCGAACCAATGTTCGAGTGGGTGCTCCACTGCATATTCAAGCTTCTAAAGCAGGTATTGTTTTTTTTAATTTTCGACTAATCTTCTATGTGATCATTTTGGCAGGAGGAAACACAAGAAGTTGTGGTTGCTCTTTGTGGCAAACGAGAGAAAGATGGAATGAAGCCTTTGTCAATATTGGTGCATTACTTGCTCAAGCAGCTTCCTGCCACATTCGTGGCTAACCATGCCATTGAGATCTCCAGATTGGTGAAAAGCTCTACCGACATTTCAATGCCGCAGGTTTCGCTTATTGCATTTGCAAGATTGGCATTCACTCACTTCAGTTTGTCATTTCTAGAGTGCCAGTTTTGTCACACTCGGAAGAAAAATGTGCGACTGTCCACCTCCTCGTGAATTTCGACTTCAAGTTCTCAGTGATGTATGGAAGGTATGCCACTGACTTCTCAAGTTGTGGATATGACATTGTAAGTTTCAGGCGACTACAAAGTACACGTCTTTAATAGACTATGTAGCTGTCGCCAACGCGTTTGTCGAATACATTCTTCAGTGTTGCTCAGTAAGCTATTCGAGTTAATTGTCCATGAATTTATAAACAGTGCGCTTTTCTTTTCAGGAAACAGAGCTTATCGTAGTGCTTCGTGATTTAAAGCAGCACTTAAGCGACGGGGAGATTGATCATGAAGTTATGGAGTTCCTTGAGTTCATTGCTCTAAAGCTGATTGACCATTACGCAGACTTTAAACACCTACTTGGTCTGGTGAGTTTTCAACTTGTCTCCAGGGACAAAATTCGAGAGTTTTACACTTTTTAATTGTAATAAACAACATCAGGAGACATTCATGGACATTCTTGATATGTTTCATGGGGATTTCCGGCTTAATGTCTACAAGTGTATTTTGAATTCGGTCTCCAGGTAGTGTCTTTTTATTTCTTTATTTATGCACAACTGATTCTGAATGTCAGGAATAACATGCCTGTGCTTGATCCAGTCTGCAAAAACTTTTTGTTTGAATCAACTAAAGTGCTCCATGATTCCTTAGACAGTTTTAGTAGTGATGACGATCGAAGGCAAATAGCTCGTCTGGTGGTCAGATTTATTCAACTGGTGCGTGTAAATCTGCTTTTGCTATTGGTCAGCTGGCTATGTTTTGCAGGCTGATTACGGGAAGAATCTCGAGACCCAGCTAGATTTTCTTGTTGAGTGTCGTGCGGCTTTTCCGAGGATGGACGCTGTTAGAGTGAGTTGAGAGGTATTTGAAATGTTTTTGATCTCAAAGACTGCCCTTACTTTTTTTCTTGTATTCCAGGAGGAAGTTGTCCGTGCTAGCCATGGCATAGCTATGTCGACATTTAAACTCTGGAAAGGCTGTCATTCCGAAGCGAGCATGGATTTTGTGAAGTCGTGTATAGCATTCAACGAGATCACTATACCGTCAATCACCGATGTTACTGTGCGCGTTCAGCTTTATATCACGACTGGTGAGGTAAGTCCTGGAATTATTTCCATTGCCAAATGCATTTTCTTCTCAGGTTGCTCTGATGAACGGCCTGCTATCTTATGTTCTGAATCTCTTGAAATCCGGAATACTTTGCTTACAAGAACTTCGTTCCGAAGGTAGCAGCCATGCATACGCTATCTTGTAACGGTTTCACAGTTTTCTGTTCAGATTCCAATAACGAAGATGAGCTACGACCTTTACTACTGAAGCTTTGTTCGTTTCTGGTAGTGGTGCCAGGTAATGGAAACTCTGGATCAATTAAAAAGATTTGAGGTTCTCTTGGTTTTTTCAGGGGATCCGGAACTCGGTGTGTTGTATTTTCCAAGAGGCCTTGTGAACTTGCTCGATGCCAAACCCTGGTAGGAACAAGCAGAGTATGGATAAATTTACTCTCTGAATTCTATTACAGGTTACTGAAAGGAAGGAAGAGACTGCAAGTCCTCCTCGGTATTCTCTCTACAGTCTCGACATTGTCTCAAGACGATCTTCCATACCATGTAGCAAATGAACAGGTCTTTTTCTTAAAAGTCACTCCGTGCCTTGCTGAAAAGTGGATGCAGGTAGATAGCAACGATACGTTGTACTTTGGAGAGTCGGGATATCAAGAAGAACTGCAGAGCTTTGGTGCTATGGTTCTGGAAAAAATTGTCGCTGTCGTCAAGCAAGAAAAGAATGCGGTGAGTGCAGATTTGTTCTTTCGGAAGGTTAAGCTCCTCTCTCTTTGTAGTTGCAACGCGGGTACATGCTACTGGATACTTGTAACACTCTTTTAATGGCGTTCGAGGTCAGTGATTTTTTTTTTTTCTTATTCTCAGCTGGCTGCTTTTGTAGAACGCTGATGAAATGGGAGCTCAAATGCTTGAAAGAGCGCGATCGCTGTTGCCAAAAGAACTAGGCTATTTGGAAGCAACAAAGCAGCGAGTTCTGAGAAGTAACGAGCTAAAACTTTATAGATTGTCTCTCTCGGCTAACTCCCTTCTATCAATCCAGGCTTTGGAGCATGAATCCAGTACGCTCGTCCATGTCACGGCATTTGGCTGGAGAGGCATTCCTCTCACGACCGCCAAACCTTCATCCAACCGGTGGAGCCTTCCAAACAGGTCCACAACACAGTTATAGTGCTCAATACCAGGAACGATTCCATACTCTTGCACCATTTTCTTGAAAATTCGTGACGCTTTATCGGTTGATCCAGCACGGGTGCAAGTAGCTAGAAGTGATACAAAGGTGATCCCATCGGCTGCTACAAATTCGGCCTCCATTGCTTGAAAGAGATGGAAGACGAGCTTTGTGTTTCCTTGGTGACTGTATCCTGCTATCAGGGCATTCCATGCAAGAATGGTGGTAGTTCCAGATGATAAGGAATCGAAAATAAGTTGGCTACTTCTCATACTTCCATTTCTTCCATAGAAATCCTGCAAAGAAACGACTATAGGCTCGAGAACTTCAATCCCACGCCGGCAAATCTCCTTGTGGATTTCTCTCCCGGTTTCCAAGTCCGCGAGATTGCTACAAGCTTTCAATGCGGCAACAAAGGTCCAAGAGTTGGGCTCGCCACCTTTTCGTTTGAAGCAAAAGAAGATTCTCAGTGCTGACTCGTTATACCCATTCTCGGCATATCCCAAGATCAGTGAGTTCCAAGTCACGCTATCACGAAACTCCATTCGAGTGAAAACTCTTTGAGCGTCAACCACGCTTCCACACTTGAGAAACATATCTATGAGTGAATTTGACACGAAAGTGCTGGAATGGGAGGATTTTTCTATGGCTCGAGCATAGATCGCCATTCCCTTCTCGAGGGATTCCATGGGAACGAGATTTTCATTGAAGTCCTGGCAAGATTCTTGTGTGGCGAGGATGGCGCAAGCTTTCGCGGCTGCTACGAAGGCCCAGGGATCGCCAGCCATGGCGTGACGATCGTGTTCGAGCTGGAGGAGCTCGAACAGATTGAGAGCCTCCCGCGCGAGTCCATTGTCGGCGTACCCATGCATGAGCGAGCTCCACGCCACGGCATTGCTCTGGATCATCGAGGAGAAAACTCGCTCGGCCTCGCGCAAGCAGCCACACTTGCAGTACATAAAAACCAAGCTGCTGGCCACGAAATCGTTGGAGTCGCAGCCCTCTCTCGCGGCCAAGCGATGAACAGCCATGCCCTTCTCCAGCGCCTTGATCTTGACAAATCGCCCATGATCGACCTCTCTCTCGGCAATGCAAGCGCAAGCTTTGATCGCCGCAAGGATTGTTCGCTCGTTGAGGGATTGGATTCCAGAGAACAACTCCAGAGCAAGCTCGGGCTCTCCATTCTCGGCATACCCGAGGATCAAAGCGTTCCATAGCGCGAGATCGCGGTGGTGGAGAGAATCAAACACTCTCCGAGCTTCCACCATAGAGCCACGCTTGGCATGCTTTCTCACGAGCTTGCTCGCTGCATAGAGATCTAAAGTGCTCGTCCCTGCCAACCAAGAACTTGTTTGCTCGATCATACTTCTTGTTTTCTCGATCATATTCCAAAGACCAAATACAAATGCTAGAAGTGTTATGGAGGAGTCTCGAACTTAACTCCATAGCTAACAGCTATGGGACTTCTAACCGTGTGCCTGTGATCCTTCCAAGTCATGGAGCCAAAGATGAACCCATGGACATGGAGGTCCGGGGTTCTAACTTTCCTCTCGAGCTCAAACCTCACCTCAAACGATTTCGTCTGTCGCTTGCGGGTGAACTCCAGCACCGACGGGGTGACGGTCACAGCAATTCCCGGAGGAGCTTCCACGCTCACTCGGTAGATCGATCGGTGGTCACCGACATTGGTCACGGTCCTCTTCACGGTGTAGCTTTCAAAGAGCTCCGGCACCGAAATGGACGGATAGTTGAGCTCGCTGACCGCTGAAAACGTGTCGCAATAACCAACAATGCCACAGATACGAAAGCGCTCGACGTACTCCTTCGGATCCAAATCGTAGACGAGACCCGGATGGGCTGCAGCATACGGGTTAAGGTGGCCGGCTCCATAGTCGAAAGGTGTGGCATTCACAAATCCGGGGCTCATGTAAGCTGAAAGATGGGGAAGCAAGGGTTAAAGACAAGTTGGCGAGAAGTTCTTACCTGTTGTTACCAACGCCGAATGGATTGCAGCGGGACTCCAGTCGGGGTGGTATGATTTCAGGAGAGCAACCACACCAGTAACGTGAGGGCAAGCCATTGAAGTTCCTGAAACTATATTGTAACTTCTGGAACCACCTATCCATGCTGCTATAATTTTAACTCCAGGTGCTGTGATATCAGGCTGCCAACCATCATAGTGTTATAACATGGTTTTAAGAACTTTTGTATGATGCGTACCTTGATCACTGAAGGGAACACCATGCTTGGACCTCGAGATGAAAATGCTGCAACCGCTGGTGGTCTACCCGTAATATATTCAGTTCTTCCTGGATAGATATACGCCATTGGACAGCTGAGAAGAGGATCAAAATAAAACAAACGTTAGGATCTTGAGATCAGGACAAAATCTGTGCAACCTCGACGAGATTATGTAGGAGAGGATCGAGAGGCCATCACTGGATGAAACGTGCACGGCAGGCACGACATGCGGATCTTCCTCCAGCTCCATTTCTTGTGATGGGTCTTCGTACAAAATCATCCCGCTTCCACCCGCTGCTAACACTTCTGCACTCTTGTTGACCCGGGGGATGCCGCCGCCGCGCATACAGAGCACGATCTTCCCCTTGGTTTTCATGGGATCCAAAGTTCCTTCTTTGCAAAGCAAGCTGATCATAGTATAGTATTAGTATGGCTAAACAACAATAATCTATCAGTGTTCACCTGTCAGCACTGGTTGAGTTCTCTGCCTTCACTTGTGCACCGGAAACAATTGGGCAGAACTTGCGAGTTCCATGAGCAGTCAATGTCCTTCCCTGTAATACAAACAGTTTGATGAATGCAAAGATGTAAGCCTATATAACACCTTAAAAGTCTTGCCACTCGCCAGAGAAACTCGCCCAGTGTTATCTCTGTCTATACTGCTGGCTCCCACCGTGATAAACCACGGCGCGGTGTTGTGTATGGATGTAAAGTCGGTGTTTCCGGCTGCTGCCACCACAACAACACCCTTGGCAATGGCGTAGAGTGCTGCCTGGGCTGTCTCGTCATAAAACTCCTCGTCGCCACCCCCCAAAGACATTGATAGAATATCCACTCCATCAGCCACGGCATCATCTATACCCGCAACAATATCAGCACCGGAGCACTGGTTCTCGTTGCCCCAACACACTTTGTAGACTGCAAGCCTCGCCTTTGGAGCTCCTCCGGCAGCGGTTCCACGCGCCAATCCATTGATGGATACATCTTTTACGTAGCGGCCGACTGCGGTTGATGCGGTGTGCGTTCCATGCCCTGTTTCGTCCCTTGCTGACAATGTTAAAAATTGTGTAGAATTATCTATGGTATCCAGGTATCCTTTATAGTAGTACCGCGCTCCAATCAACTTCCTTGAGTACATACAACATTAGTTGTTAGTTGTTACTAATTCTTATTAGTACCTGTTGCAATTGGAAGTGTTGAACAATTGCCCCGGCTGACATGTTCCCTTCCATCGTTTGGGAGCTTTGTTCATGCCGTGGTCTCGAAAGCTCTCAGATTCCGGCCAGATTCCAGAATCTATCAGCCCAACGATGACATCTTTGCCGTGCTTGCCCTGTTCCCATAAGGAGTGATTCGAGGGTATGAATGGATGCTTTGATTTGTCTCCGCTCACTCCCATGTAGTCCCAGCTTCTGGTCGTGAGGAGTTTGTATGTTCTGCTAGGATTGATCCTTACAACACCGGGATAATCTGCTCAAAGAAACGAAAAGACGAGGAAAAGTTATAAGGTAAGAGAGGACTTTGGAAACTTACTGGATATCTTTTCGGCTTGTTCGACGGTGAGTTTGGCAGCAAAGCCATTCAACGCGTGCTTGTAGCTATAGACAATATGATCCTTGGTTTCATGCCTTGACCTGAGTTGCAAAGATTCAGCTACAAACCTCCAAGATTTAGAATTAGTGGTTATACTTTCCCAAGGCTTCTCCAAGGATTGAATGGTGTGTCTCAGTCACCACATCGGGGTGTAGAGATTCGTCCCGAGCTTCCAGATGCACAATGTAAAGCTTGGATTCATTCTGCTATAGATCAAAGTGCGCTAGATCGTCGAAAAAAGATTAATTGATACTACTTACTGCAAAAGCTATAGAACAAGAGAGCAGCAAAACTAGAAGAACAAAATGCTCCATGGTCGTCGTCCTAATTTGAAAACTTTTATACTATAGACATCAAAATTCTAATATGGTTTGAAGGAATATATGGTTAATATTTAATAATAACAAATCAAATAAATAAATTAAGTATCTAAAGCGGGGCATTCCGAGAATCGAACTCGGGACCTCTCGCACCCGAAGCGAGAATCATACCACTAGACCAAATGCCCTATTTGTGATAGGTGACAGCCTCTTAACCCTTTACACCGGTAGTACTGTTCCAGCGTGGAACTCCACGTCCGCGCCACGTGGCAAACGGCGGCAGCCGCCAGCGGCGAATATTCTTTCAAGTGGTGGGCATGCCTCCGAGCATAGGGTTTTAAACCTGGTCCTAGCTCCAGGACACAAGCATCGGCCTCGGCGGCGACGAATCCTCCCTCTCCTCGCAGGTGAGCTCTCGATCTCGCTGCTCGATCTATCGGCATTTCTCTCGCTCGATCGAGAATGCATGCCCTTGCATGCGCGATTTCTTCTCAATCTCACTCCATTTCTTGCAGCTCGCCTTGTCTGGTTCCAATGGCTGCCATCGCCAACGTTTGCGGGACTCCCATGAGGAGCGCTCTCATTCCCAGCCATGAGATCCATCTCGCCAAGCCAATCAAGGTCTCTACTTCGGTGAGGAGCGGCAAGCTACCAGCGATTGCGATGACTGCCGCAGCTACAGCAACGTGAGTATCGATCGCTTTGTTTTCTTTTCTTCTTTCATGAAAGCTTGGATTTTTCTTTCTCTCTTTGCATGCACAGGGAGAGCGTCGCGAAGCAAGACAGCAGCAAGTCTTCGCAGATCATGCACTCGCTCTCTCCTGAGAAGATCGAGATGTTTAAGTCGCTCGAGAGTTGGGCGGAGGAATCCATCCTCCCATTCCTCCGGCCGGTGGAGAAATGCTGGCAGCCCCAGGACTATCTCCCGGAGCCATCCTCGGAGAGCTTCTACGATGAGGTCCGCGAGCTGAGGAAGCGAGCCGAGTGCTTGCCCGACGACTACTTCGTCTGCCTCGTCGGGGACATGATCACCGAGGAAGCGCTGCCAACTTACTTGACGATGCTCAACACTCTCGACGGCACTCGCGACGAGACCGGTGCGAGCCCGAGTCCGTGGGCAGTGTGGGGGCGTGCCTGGACCGCCGAGGAGAATCGCCATGGTGATTTACTCAACAAGTATCTCTACCTCACTGGACGAGTCGACATGAAGCAAATCGAGAAGACGATCCAGTACTTGATCGGTTCTGGAATGGTAAGAGCCCAGAGTTTCTTCTTTCTCGGGAACTCAAAAGTTCGGTTTTTCCATTCTTCCAGGATCCCCAGACCGAGAACAATCCATATCTCGGGTTCATCTACACGTCCTTCCAGGAGCGAGCCACCGCCATCTCTCATGGCAACACTGCTCGCCACGCCAAGGAGCACGGAGACCACAAGCTCGCGACTGTTTGCGGTCTCATCGCAGCCGACGAGAAGCGGCACGAGAATGCTTACACCAGGATCGTGGAGAAGCTGTTTGAGATCGATCCGGAAGGCGCGATGCTGGGGCTGGAGGACATGATGAGGAAGAAGATCTCCATGCCGGCTCATCTCATGTACGATGGCCAGGACAAGAACCTGTTTGAGCACTTCTCTTTGGTGGCACAAAGGACGGGGGTGTACACTGCCAAGGATTACGCAGGAATTCTGGAGCACTTGGTCAAGAGATGGAACGTCGAGTCCATCACTGGATTGTCTGCTCGCGCGCAAAAGGCCCAGGATTTCGTGTGTGGTCTCCCTCCTCGGATCTTGAGACTAGAGGAGCGAGCTCAGAGCAGGGTGAAGAAGGGCCCCAAGACTGGAGCGTTTAGCTGGATTTTCAACAGGGAAGTTGCACTCTAGATGAACAAGGCTTTGGAAGCTACCCGAGATAAAAGGTGTACATTACGAGTTTAGTGTTCTAGTGATTTTCAAATAAGTACGGGGTTTTTATTTTTTTTATTAATTTGTTTTGTGCTTCAAGTCCACACAAGTTTCTAGAGCTCTCTACAAACAGGTTGGAGCACAAAAAGGATTTATGGATGTTCGAATCAACATGATCAACACTAGCAAGACAATATTCATATTAGGATACGATATTAATATCAATATTCATATTATTTATTTTGTTAAACTATATCGAAGTCTAGAAAAATGCAAAAGCTTTGTCCTATTTTTTCTTTTTGGCTTTGGGCTTGCCAGGATTTTTCCCAGTATATTGCTCTTGTGCTTCTTCCTTTGGCTGGCCATTCCACAGGAACTGCGTGACATCGTCCACTTGAGAAAGCATGAGCAAAAGTGGTGTCAATCTCTCAAGCTCTGCATCATCTGCTTCTCCTCTGAATGGTTTGATCTCGATGCCATTGTGCGGGCACAGCCTGAAGTGGAACCTCTCATTGTCCACCCACACTAGCCTCTTCAACTCGTGCCTGACCTTTACCTTGCGCACATCCTTGATGAAACCGGTCCTCGTCCTGGTGCAATCCTCAATGCCATAAACGTCGGTTATAAGCTTTGCACTCGCCCCAAACCCTGCCACCGATTGATCCAGGTGCCTGGAATCCGAGACACTGAAGATGACAAGGGAGTAGGCCATTGCCATCCTGCTCAAGAACGCCTCCAGCCCAGGTCTGTTCACAATTGTGCTCGCGTCCTTCTTCCATACCAGCGTCTCGTTTAGGTCTAGCACCAAAACGGGTTTGCCTTCTTCCGCCATCTTTTTTAGGGCACACAAGTTGTGAACAAATTAGAAAGTAAGGTGTGGTGTTCTCATTTCCCTTTCTTCTTGGGCTTGGCCTTGCCAAGATTCTTAGTAGACTGCTCTTGTGCTTCCAACACCTTTGGCTGGCCATTCCACAGGAACTGCGTCACATCCTCCACCTTGGACAGCTTGAGCAAAAGAGGTGTCAATTTCTCAAGCTCCCTATCATCTGCTTCTCCTTTGAATGGCCTGATCTCGATGCCATTGTGCGGGCACAGCCTGAAATTGAGGCGAACATCATCCACCCAGACTAGCCTCTTCATGCTGCACGTAGCAAACTGTGACACATCCTTGACAAATCCCTGTCGGCACCTGGTGCAATCCTTGATGCTGTATACCTCACTGATCAGATGCGCAAATGCCCCAAACCCAGCCACACACTGCTTTGAGTCTGACGCACTGAAGATTATGAGCTTGTATACCTGCACCATCTTGCTGAGGAACTCTTCTAGGCCGGGCCTCTTGACGATAGTCGAGTTCTTTCTGCAAATCAGCGTGTCGTCTAGATCCAGCACCAGCACCCCTCTGTCCATTTCTTCCCGCAGCCCTAATCAGGATTAGCATCAAGTCTTTTTCAAACCGTTTATGACAATCATTATTAAATTACTTAATAAACTTCCATTTTCTCAAATCGCCAGTGCATGTGAAAGTTCTCACCATACTTGCATCCGAACATTCGAACGCAACCGGATTAGAACGGGTATCGAACGTTTAATACCCGTTTAGCTTTTTTTCGAACGGGTATAATGGTTTTCAGTTTTTCTCGAACCCTAATTTTACAGTTTTTTTGAACCCTGATTTTACATGAACCCTAATCCTAAGTAAAAGAAAGCATATTCTTTAGGGTTTTTAAAAATATTCTTGGTGTTTAAACGCCGTTTTAAACGCCGTATTATACGCGCGTTTTAAACGGCGTTTTTTATTAATCGTACCCGTTCGAATGCAAGTATGGTTCTCACAAAGCCTCTGTGCGGGCGCTCCAGATCACCACTATCAAAGAATTTATGGACCAGTATCAAACACAGCCTTGGAGTTCTACAAGACGAAGAGGTTTGGTCCAAGAGACCGCTGTTTGCCCGATCCAAGCAATCCAGGACTTAGAGAAGAGAGACCTTGTAAGAACAACAAAAGAGCATGCTTCTTTAGATTTTAGGACATTTGTGGAGGCCGCCACGGTAGCCTGGTAGAGGCGCTCGCCGAGTACCTCCACCAGCGCGGCAGCCTCCTCTTGCAAATTACCCACGAGTCCCATTTGGAGGTGCCGCCTCCAAAGGAAAACGCCCGAGCCAGGATGTCCCCAGGTCGGGCAGGACTTTGTCCGGTGGGCTGCTGGAGGCGTGGGAAATCTAGTCGAGCTCTTCGCCTTCTTGCGGCAAAGAGGAGAAAGAAAGCACCCAAGAAAAACCAAGCTCCACAGCAAAACAATCAAGCAAGCAAAGGAGAGATGCGATCACTCACCATGAGCGCCATCCAGATCCAGCTCCATCTACGCCACAAGCGAGAGAAATCGTTAGAAGGAAGAAGCGGGCACACAGGCAAGCAATCCTCCCGAGCTCAACCGCCAGAGGCCCCCAAAGAAAAGCCCTAGCGCCGCAGGTCTTGCATTTATATACTCCACGGACTGCGAATATTCTATTCGGCCCGGATTAGAATATACCAGTTAAAAACCATAGAATAATCTGCATTGCTTATTTGGATAATTTGTAATATACCTCTTAGTTTATCAGATTTTTTATGATTAAATAATTACAATAAGCGAATATTCTAATCGGCCGGATAATGTTTAGGGCAGTTTTAGCAAAACACGTTGACCACGGTCAAAAAAATCGACCGACGGAAATAAAAAGTTCGTTGACCAAGGCCAACGACCACTTTTCTTTTCCCCTCCTCAACTTATGATACACTCGCGCGGACTTCCGAGGCTATCGTCCGAGCTGTCCTCGTCCGAGTTCTCCGTGGATATGAGATTGTAGTAGCCTTCTTCTTCGTTGTGCTCCTGCGCGTCGTCTTGGTTCTGCGCCTCCGGGTCGACGAATCGGGCGCTCTGGAGATGGAGAACTCGCATGATGATCTCGGGCGTGAACGGGACGTTCGACAGATCCTCGCGGCTTCGCTTGTTCCTCTCCATGATCTGCACGAAGTTAAAGACAATGGTGGAGAGAAGACTCACTCGAAAACAGGAGAACTTACCTTGTCAGCATTTGGAGGAAATGGTTCTCGATCCACGCTGGTTGGAGCCCAGAGCTTGATCGTCTTGTCCATTCCGCTTGTCGCCAGGAACGCAGTGTGAGGATGAGGCTCGAGGCAATTCACGACCCGCCTGTCTCCCTTGAGCATCGTCACAAGAGCTCCTCCACGCTTCTTCCAGATGAAAATGTGACCACAGTCGGAGCCGCTCATCACGTACTCGCTGTTCGGCCCGTAGAAGTTGACGCCCTTCACCGTTTGTGCGTTCCTGTGGCCCCTGTAAACTTGCGGAGATCTTCCATCGTCGGCGGCGCTCGACTTCTCCTTGTCGTCGTCCATGTCGCCACTTTGATCTTCGTCTTCCGCGTCGTCGTCTCCATCCTTCTTCCTGATGCTTGTGTCGATCTCGTCGTCGCAGTCGGGGGTGTCGGAGTTTACTTCTTCGTCCGACGCCGAGTCGTCGTCGGGCCTCGTCTGATCCTGGACTTCCATGTCCCTCTGGAAGAGGTAGATGTGCTCGTCGCTATATGAGACGAGGAGCTCCTCTTGGTGAGAGTAAGCGACGCAGGTGATGTGTATGTGCGGGAAGCCGATGAGGTGTTTTGGAGTGTAGAGGCTGACTGGTGTGTCGTCACCGATCTTTCTCAGGTCGTAAACTCGGGCGTAGACGTCGTCGCCACCGACAGCGAGATAGTTTGGATTCCGGGGATTGATGACGATTGAATTCAGGCGGACAAGCGGGCCCCTGGATTTGAAGCGGTTCTGACAGCTTACAAGCTTTGTCCGCCTGTTGTCTCGCAGATCAAACTAGAAAACAAACACTACGTATCAAAACCAGGGAAAGACTCTAAGGATTCGCTTACATGTAGGACAATACCATCTTCTCCACAGCTGAAGAACGTTCGAGGACTTCCTGGCTCGACTGCAAGCTTGTGAGCAGGACCTCTGTGCTTGGCTAGTTTCTTAGTCTCAACTCTTCCATCCTCGGAGATCAAAGCATGACGCACCTACAAAAAGTTGGAAAGATTAGATTTTTTGTTCTAGGTGGTAGTTTGGTTGACGAAACACGATCAGGGAGAGAACTTAACGAAAATGGATGGAATGAACGACTTACTTGTCCATCAGCAGCACAGCTGACAACACTGCGATCATCCGAGAAAGGCATAATTCTCGCTTGGAAAACATTCTGCTCGTGACCCGAGTGATAGATGAGCTTCTTTCGTCCGGCCATCCAGTCCCAGAAGATGATCTGCTTGTCATCCGAGCCGGACACCAGTCGATCGCCGGAGGGATTGAAGTGAACAGTGTTAACGCATCCTCGATGCCCAGAAAGTCTGCGAAACTCCTTAAGTCGTTGTACCATGTCCTGGGAAAAGGAGAAGTGAAAAACGAAAAGTCAAGTTCCGACCAAAAAAATTTGATCATTCCCCAAGAGCGCAAAAAAGAATGAAGAAAAGAAATCCTGGAAAGATGAAGAAGAGGAAGAAATTTAAATCCAAGGAACTCCATATCTCCAAAAACGAAGAGCATTGTAAGAAAGCAGGAAAAAGAGAATGGGAATCCATGCAAGGAGGAAGCGACCAGACCTAAGAAGATGAAAACCCAGGCGATCGCTACACGCACCTCACAGCCGCCGATTCGATGCGCGTAGAGCGAAGGCCGCAAGCTGCCGATCTCGCGCTTGTAGAGCTCGAAGTGCCTACATTTATAGAGCTCCAGAGCTGGAGTGGAGCTCCGCGAAGACGAAGCGCCCTCGCAGTCCATCGCAGCGCGCTCGCTCGCAGCTCTCGTCTCCCGGCTAGGGATTTTCACGGGACGTCTCCCATGATACCGCGATTCTACTTAGGTCACAAAAGATTCACTGGGTTTCAAATCCCACGAGGAAGAGGAAGAGTAAATTAGGGCTTATAGGGATGGATGGGGGCGATGGCGACGACGATTTCCCGCTACTCTCTGGATCCGACGAGGACGAGCCCGTGAGGAATCCAGACGAAGACGCCGAGGCGCAGGGAGAGGCGGAGGATGGAGAGGCGGAGGGCGAGGCGGCGGCGGAGGTGGAGGCCGAGGAGGATGAAGATCAGCAGCAGCAGATCGAAGTCGAGAAGCAGCCGCGGCAGCAGCCGATCGTGGACACGGATAGAATCCAGTGAGTAGATCGAAATATCTCTCCTCCAGTTCTAAATTCTTCTCTTTTGTGTGTCCTAGGGAAGCTATGGGAAGATTTACTGCAGATCAGCTAGATCGGTATGAGCACTACCGGCGGTCGGGCTTTCCCAAGACGCAAATGCGTAGAGTGAGTGGTTCCTTTGCTTCTCTTCGTGATTTCGCTGAATTTTTCTTTCTTTTGATCTTTCTCAGCTTGTCCAAAACGTAGCAGGGTGTTCTATATCAGTGCCAATGTCGATCGTTATGTCTGGTCTCGCGAAGATGTTCGTGGGTGATGTTATCGAAACGGGTAAAAGTCCAAGAGCGCGTTCTTTTTTTTTCTAACTTCGTGGTCTCGCAGCTCGAATCATAATGTCCGAGCAACAGGAGGAGGGACCGATCCGCCCCCGTCATCTCCGCCAAGCGTACCGGCGACTGAAGCTAGAGGGGAAGCTTCCTGTTCGATCCAGACCAAGCCTTTTTCGGTAGAACAAGAAATCTCGAGGTGTCAGCTGCAAAGGCTCTACGAAACTTGGTATGTCTAAGTCGCTTTCGATTTCTCTCTAGGTACTTTTTCGCCGTAGAGGTTTGACAAAAGAACGTGTGATGTTGAATTCTCAGGGTCTCCATCGTACAAATGCGAAGCCGCCACTTTCGCTCGCTGGAAATCTCGATGAGTTTTACACCCCGCGAGAAGAGCTCCCCAGGTGATCTCGTCAGGGACAAAGGGCATTTGGTTTATGAGCTCCTCGGCCCTGTCAAGCTGCCCAGCTCTCGCGAGAAGATCCACCATGCAAGAGAAGTGTTCTATCCCGGGTCTAAGCAAGGGATCCTCGCTCATCAGCAAGAAGTAAGACCATCCTTGTTCCAATCGGCCTCCATGGCAACAGGCTATCAAAACTCCGAGGTATGAGATCTCGTTTGGTTTGCAGGAGTCCAGGAACATCAGCCCAAAACACTCGATCGCTTCTTTGTCATGTCCAGATTGAGCGTTTGCTACGATCAAAGTCGTGAAAGTTATAGTGTTTCTCTCAGGAGATTGATAGAACATCTTTCTTGCTTTGGCTGTAAGACCTTTGTGAGCATATGCTCCAATGATAATGTTGTAAGAGACAACGTTCCTCTTGGGCATATTCTCGAACGTAAGCCTCGCATCTAGAAGATGCCCGTTCTGGGTATATGCCGTTAGTAGGCTTGTCCACGTTACAATGTCGTGAAGAGGCATCTTATCAAACGTTGCTTTAACCTCGTTTAGCTGGGCGTGTTCACCAAGGATAAGAATCACTGCGGTACACGTGACAACATTATACTCGGGCATCTTTCCAAAGATGCTCATTACAGCCTCTAGATTCCCATCCTCGGCATATGCCTGTAGAAGCGTATTCCACGCGACCAAAGTCTTCTCACGCATTCTATCAAATACCTCTTTCGCACCGCGTAGATTCCTGTTCACAGCGTAAGCTTGCAGCATCGCAGTCCAAGCTACCGTATTATGCTCCGGCATATTCGCAAACATTCTTCTTGCTACCACAAGATCCCCTTCTTGGGCATATGCCGAGAGCATAGCTGTCATAGATACCACGTCGTGCTCTGGAATCTTTTCTCGTAAATACTCAACCCCGGAGAACTCACCACTCTCGGAATATGCCTGCAGCATCGTAGAGTACGTGACCACATTACGCTCGAGCATCTCGTCAAACATTCTCTTGACCACGTCCAGATACCCTTCCCGGGCATATGCCATAAGCAGGGTATTCCACGTCACGAGATTCCACTCGGGCATCCGGTCAAACACCGACTTGGCACCGGCGAGATTCCGATGCTGGGCATATGCCTGCACCATCGCCGTCCACGTCACGATATTCCGGTCGGGCATCCGGTCAAAGATTCCTTTCGCCTCGTCTAGATTCCCGCGGCGGCCGTACGCCGTGAGCATCAGCGTCCACAGCACGACATCCGGGCCGTCCATTCTGTCAAAGAGCTCCCGCGCTTGATCCAGATGCCCGTTCTGGGCAAATGCTGTCACCATGATGTTCCACGAGAAATAGTTTGGATCTTTGAGGTTATCAAAGATTTGCTTGGCGTGGAACACTTGCCCGCACCTTCCGTACATCTCGATCAAGAGATTCAAGAGCAGCGTGTTCTGGCCGTGCTGCCCTTTACGAATCGCTTCGTGTAGCTCGCGGCCCCGGGCGAGATTTCTAGATTCGCCACTGGATCGGACGAGCGAAGCTAGAGATTTCACGTCCATTCCATCAAGATGTTTAGAGAAAACCAAAAAATAGTTCGACTATTAAGGAGAACACTCCACGCATTTGTACTGCCCTGTACAAAAAGCCCAAGCTTGATCTTCATTGGAATCCCCCGGCGCCGCCGCGGAGCGCGAGAACGAGATGGAGCACGGATCCGCCCTCGATGTTGTAATCGCGCGCGGTCTTGTCGTCGTTCATCTGCTTCCCGGCAAAGATCAGCCTGCAAGAACAAAGAGTCATTCCATCTCTCCCAGAAGACACAAGAGATTTCTTTCGCTTGCCTCTGCTGGACGGGAGGAATCCCTTCCTTCTCCTCGACGCGCTCCTTGATGCGCTCGATCGTGTCATTGGGCTCGATGTCGATCTCGATTTCCTTGCCTGTGAGTGTCTTCACCTTGATCATGGTGCCGCCCAGCAGCCGGAAGAAGCCATGCTTGCCCATCGGAGCTCCCCCCAGTCCAGGAGCCCTAACCCTAGGCCTTTAAAACTGTACGGAATTTTTTTAGGACTGCATGGGACACGTGGCATCCAACGGCTCAGATTGGTCAGATTAGGGTTTAGGGTTACGGAAGGTTACTTGTTCTTCTCTCTCTCTCTGTGTCTCTCTCGTTATCTGGCTGTTTGATCGATCGATCGATCGATTCGAGCGATTTGTGAGGACGCAGCGCTCAATCCATGGTACATTTTATCACTGATCCAGCAGGGGAGGAAGAGGATAGCAAGAATTCAAACATGCAGGAAAGATCTAGTTTAAAAATGTATGGATCGGAGGAGGAGGAGGACGATCCAGTGGCATCCCAGGCAGGGCCGCTGCTCGGCGAGGAGGGATACCACGATCACAGCGTTTCTTCGTCCAAGCTCGGGTCTGGATCGCCGGTTTTCTCATCGCGGGTGGGGAGATTGCTCCGCGAGAGGCAGCTCCGGAGGGGCGAGAGCGGCGCCGGCGATATCGATGGGATTGGGGGCTCGGAGGGGATCATCAAGGACGAGCAGAGGCAAAGGCTGCTCGTCGTGGCGAATCGCTTGCCAGTGTCGGCTATCCGGCGTGGTGAGAATGCTTGGGCCTTGGAGCTCAGTGCTGGTGGGCTTGTTAGTGCGCTACTTGGTACGTGTTTTTTCCTCTTCGTTTTTCTTTTCTTCCCGGAGCTCTAGCTTGTTTTCTTTGATCTTGCATCTTTGATCCTCGCAGGAGTGAAGCAATTCGAAACGACGTGGATCGGCTGGGCTGGTGTCAATGTCCAGGACGACGTAGGAAAAGAATCTCTTTCGAGAGCTCTCGGGGAGGAGGTAAAAGCGTGATTTGTTCGAGTGCTCCTTTTGTTCTTGAGCTCATCGTTTGTGAATTTTTTGCCTTTTTCTTCCAGGGGTTTGTGCCGGTCTTTCTCGACGAACAGACTGTTGATCTCTACTACAATGGCTACTGTAACAACGTTCTCTGGCCGCTTTTCCATTACATTGGACTCACTCAGGACGATAGGCTGGCTGCGACTCGTGGTCTCGAGGCCCAGTTTAATGCGTACAAGCGCGCAAACTCGATTTTTGCGCAGGTTGTTCTCTCGCATTATCAGAAAGGGGACGTCGTCTGGTGTCACGACTACCATCTAATGTTTCTGCCGAGGTTTCTCAAAGAAGCCAAGAGTGAGATGAAAGTTGGATGGTTCTTGCATACGCCGTTTCCGTCGTCGGAGATTTACAGGACTTTGCCGCAGCGGTCGGAGCTGTTGCAAGCCGTGTTGAAAGCCGATTTGATCGGGTATGTGTTTATGTTATCCAGGACTAGGGGTAGCTGATGGTTCTAGTTTTTTCGCAGGTTTCATACATATGACTATGCGAGACACTTTGTCAGTGCATGCACACGTATTTTGGGCTTGGAAGGGACGCCAGATGGTGTTGAAGATCAAGGAAAGCTCACTAGAGTCGCAGCTGTACGTATGAAGTTCGGCTTTTGGTCTTTGGTGTGTATTGAGCTGTAGTTTTGAGCAGTTTCCAATCGGGATTGATGCGGAGCGCTTTGTGAGGGCCTTGCATACGTCTACTGTTAGAAATCATATTCAGGAGCTCTCTAGGCGATTCTCGGGACGAAAGGTACGAGGCTTTGAATGGATTGGCTTTGTGTTTCACACGTATTGTTTTGTCAGGTTATGCTGGGCGTTGATAGATTGGATATGATCAAAGGAATTCCGCAGAAGCTACTAGCGTTTGAAAAGTTTCTCGAGGACAATCCGATTTGGCACGACAAAGTCGTCATGGTTCAGATCGCGGTGCCTACTCGAACAGATGTTCATGAATGTAGAGCGGCTTTATCTCTCTTGTGCATTTTAACTTCGAAACTTTTGTAGATCAGAAGCTATCGAGCCAAGTTCACGAGATTGTTGGACGAATTAATGGTCGATTTGGAACCTTGACAACAGTTCCCATCCATCACCTGGTAGACGAAGTAATTTTATTCTTATTTGGCTTTGTCAAGTTTCAAAATAGGACCGATCACTGGAGTTTTATGAGCTATGTGCTCTGTATGCGATTACTGGTAAGCTTTAAAACTTCGTAAGTTTCTGGTTATACTTATGTCACTATTAGACGTGTTGCTGGTAACATCTCTGCGGGACGGCATGAATCTTGTGAGCTACGAGTATGTCGCATGCCAGGACCAGAAGAAGGGTGTTCTTGTCTTGAGCGAGGTGCTGAATTAAATTTCTTCAGATTGGAGCTTTTAAGTGATTCATGCTTGTAGTTTGCAGGTGCAGCACAATCGCTGGGTGCTGGAGCGATACTTATCAATCCTTGGAACATTGTCGAGGCGGCTTGTGCCATAGCAGATGCGTTGAACATGAGCGAGACTGAACGGCAAGAAAGACACCGTCACAACTTCATCCATGTTACATCCCATACGGCTCAGCTCTGGGCAGACACATTTGTAAGGTAGACTCGTACTAGGTTCTTCGTATCTCAAACGCTCTCATTGCTTTCGTTCCAGTGAACTAAACGATACGGTTGTGGAGGCAGAGTTGCGCATTCTGCGTGTACCCCCACCACTGCCGGTCGAGAAAGCAATTAGCAGTTATGCTACGTCGAAGAACTGCTTGCTGATTCTAGTAAACTTGTTATGGTTTTCCATCCTGTAATTGTGACTTACTTCCATGTTTTACTCTACTTCAGGGATTTAATGCGGCTCTCACTGCACAAGCAGACGCTCCTCGCCTTGATCGTGTTAGAGAAACTTTGCATCCTGCTTTGCATGAAACTCTTCGACATTTATGTGCGGATCCAAAGGCAACGGTTGTGATACTCAGTGGTAGCGAGCGCTCTCTTCTTGACGAGGTTACTTCTGATTGTTTCTCGAGAATTTCTGATTTCTGTCGGTAGAGTTTCAGGCTTTTGGCGATTTTAAGTTATGGCTTGCTGCGGAAAATGGCATGTTTCTCAGACACACGTCTGGTGACTGGATGACAACAATGCCCGAGCACCTCAATTTGGACTGGGTTGAGAGCGTGCAGGTACCATCAGAAGCTGGTTTTTTTTGTAGTACCGCAATGGTTTTAACAAGCGCTCCAACAGCTGGTGTTCGATTATTTCAGCGAGCGCACACCGAGATCATATGTCGAAGCTCGTCAAACTTCTCTAGTGTGGAACTTCAAGTATGCAGGTTGGTACCTTTTGTGTGTCTCTTAGCTGCTTATATTTTACTTTTCTTCTGCGCAGATCTTGAGTTTGGAAGGGTTCAAGCGTGGGATATGTTGCAGCACTTGTGGACAGGACCAATCTCAAATGCCGCCGTGGATGTCGTCCAAGGGAGCAAATCGGTGGAAGTTCGTCCTGTTGGAGTTTCGAAGGTAAGAAAACCATCGATATCCTTTTCTTTTTCCTCTCGTAACAGAGAAAATCCTACAGGGTGCCGCAATCGACCGCATTCTTGGAGAAGTTGTCCACAGCAAGAATATGAGCGTGCCAATAGACTACGTGATGTGCATTGGACATTTCCTCAGCAAGGTTTGCTACAATCAGCAAAGATACGATAAAAGTTTTGAGCGTCGTCTTTCCAGGACGAAGACATCTACACGTTTTTCGAGCCGGACTTGCCTTACCAGAGAGTGAATATAGAACCCAAAGCAGCGTCTCCCCCGAGATCCAAAGCAGCACCATCAACAACAAAAACAGCGCGCTCGCGGGATCATCCGATTGCTCCCCAGGAATCGTCAATGATCCAAGGTGCGTCGGTTCTGGATCTCAACGGGGAGAACTATTTCTCGTGCACTGTTGGAAGGCAGCGATCTCTCGCGAGATACTCTCTTACAGGCAGCGAAGAAGTTGTAGCGTTTCTTAGCTCTTTGGCGAAGCCAAGCAACTGATAAACCTTGAATCTACGCCGTCGGAGTGGCTAACATCCGACGGCTGTGAACAAGCTTACTTGGATAGTAAATGTGACATATTCTAATTTCTAGCTCTAGGGTTTTTGCGCTCCATGGCCGCGTCTACCTGGCTCACCAAGTTCCAGAGCTTCAAGATCTCCTCCGAGAGCTTGATCATCGCAAGTAAGTCGCATTTTCCATCCCTCAGATCTGATAATACGCTCCCGCCAGTCGATGATGTGAGCGATTTGTGGCCGCTCGTCAAGGATTCCTTCGAGGCTCGTACTCCGCTCAAGAAGACGCTGCTCAACAACAAGGCTCGCAATCCCGTCGTCGTGGAGAAGCTGCCGGTGGAATTTGTGCTCACTACAGATCCGCGCCTTCGGTCTCGATTTCCGTTGGAGCAATCGCCCTTTCTCTTCCGGCTCCCCTACGCGACCATTGTTTTGGTGACATGCGAGGTACTGTAGCTCCATTTCTTTCTAGAGTTTTTCTCCTTTTGTGTTGTTTCCTTTCTAGTTGCTACAAAGCAATGTGGGTGGCTTGCGCAGGACATTGACGATTACAAGGCCATTTTGAAGCCGCGAATCAAAAGCATGGTACAAAACGATGAGCGAGAATGGTTTATCGTTTTTGTATCCAAGGCCAATCCCAATGATCCGACCGGGAAGCAGGCGAAGCGCATCTATAGCAAGCTGGAAGTTGATTTCAGCAGCAAGAGACGCGAAAGGTTTTTCTTTTTTATTTTTCTTTTGCTCGTGTTATTTCTATGAGCTGTGAGAACTTATGCCAGACGAGTTTTTGTAGATGTTGCAAGCTGGATTTAAGTGCCTCGGACGCAGCCTCGTGGGAGGAAATTGATGCTCGCACTAGCGAATGCATCCGCAATACGCTAGAGCGTCGGGTACAGTCTTATGATGAGGTCAAGCGGCTAAACGAAAATCGTTCGATGCCGGGATGGAGCTTCTCCAACCTTTTCACCGTTATGGTATGCTTTCCTTTCGGATTTATGGCTCTTGCCAACGTTCAAATCTATTCCAATGCAGGAGGGTCTGGCCTTTATGTTTGAGCTTGCATATCTCTTTGAGGACGCTCTTCGAGAATATGATGATATTGAGCAAATATATCTGGAAATAGGTGAGGTAGTGTTTCAAGCTGCATTTTGTATGTCCATATGCTAGACCATGGCCTGCTAAAGCAATTCATTTCTGATTTGCAGTAACTGGTCATGGCAGTTAATATTCCTTCCTCGAAGATGAGGGACTTTGGCGGAATGGACCCTGGGGACGACCGTGCAGCACTTCTCGAAGTGTCACGGAAGCAAGTCACACAGTTTACTGTCGACGATTATTTCCGTGAATTTGACTTCCGCCAGTACCTTTTTGCACGTCAGGCTTCGGTAGTTTTTCTAACCATTACTGTTGTTCCTTGCTAAAGATTAGTCTCTGCAGTTGCTGTTCAAGTTAAACCGTACAATTGATGTTGCTGGAAGAGGATTGTATTTCATTTACTCGTTCTCAAAAATTTTATCTATGCACGAGGTAATCTTTCTCCTTCTCTCTTGGAAATGATGGGATGTTTAATACAGCTTGTATTAAACAGAAAAACCTGCCATTTTGTATGCGGGAAATATGGGTAGTTTCAGCCTGCCTGTCACTAATAAAAGCGACAGTGGAATGTTTTACTCCTCGATCAGTGACGCCAGACGCTGAAAAGGAATTCTATCGCCTTCAAGCAGACTTGAACTCGCTTGCTAGAACAAAGGTAACATTTAAATGGTTTTGCGATGGCTTTTTTGGTAACCTTGAAGTTTAGTTGATGAGGCTATCCGAGATTCTTGGATACGGACCACTACATTCAACTTCGCCGCGCAGAAGTTTGTATTCAAGTGGTAGCCCCGCAAGCCCATCGGCAGCCGCTGCTGAGAAGCCAAAGAAACTAGATGACGCACATACTGATGCAGTGGCTGAAATACTAAAAATTGTCACCCACGAAGGCCTCAAAAAAGCATTATCATCACCTGAGGGATATGAGGTATGAATAATGTTTCCTTACCTGTACTCTGTTTTAAAGTGACACGCAGGCAATGTATCTTGAACTTACACGAGCAGCAGCTGACAACTACCATCGCTCTCGCAAAAGGCATGGTGTTGTCCTGGATGGTGAAGTAGCGGCATTACACCTTCGGACAGGGAATTTTGATTCTGCGGCGAAACTATACGAGAAAGTTTGTGCTCTCTATTCCGGTGAGAGATGGCATGCTTTGGTAGCTGAGGTCCTCCCACGTCTTGCCGAATGCCAGAAACAACTGGGCGACCTTGGGGGATATCTTTCTTCCTGCATAAAGCTCCTGTCACTGGATCGCGGATTGGTACCTGTTGAGCAAAGGAAGGCCCTTCAGTCCGAAGTTGTGAGACTCGCACACAGTGGACTGAAAGTTCCTCTTCCCGTGGACGTGTCAGCTTTGATCACGTTCTGCGGACAACCTGGACCACCATTGGAGCTCTTTGAAGGGGATCCAGGGACGCTGCCGGTTACAGTATGGAGTGGATTCACCGACGAGATTTCACTCCAATCCCTGAGCATGACGCTGTCTGCAACTTTCAGTCTTGATGAAAGTTCCAAGGTTTGAAATGCGTCATTCATGTGGTATTCTGATATGTGTTTCTGCAGACCATCAAGAGTGCAGATGGCCCTGTTCTGTCACCAGGAAAGAATACTATTGTGATGGTGGTGCAACCTCAAAAACCAGGATCATATGTTCTTGGAGCATTAACTGGACAACTTGGTCAAGTGGCGATACGTTCACATTCATGTTGCACCATCAGCGCCATTGGCTCGCTTGAAAATGATGACTATTTGAGCTCGGAGAGGCCCGTAAGACCCGTACTCCAGGTATGGCTTTTAAAAACATGTACAGGATCAAATTAAATTCCTGTGTGTCCTTGACAGGTTTCGGTTCCTCGACCCCTTGTCGAAATGAAGCCAGAAACGTCACGTACAGAACCAGAATTGTCAGGTCTTACGGAGCCGTTTCGTCTCAGCACTCGGGTCGTCGCAAACGAAAATGCGGGAGTCTTTCTGCTGCAGGTATTCCTCCATATCCCGCGTTTCATTCACTTGACAAGTTCTGCAGGTTACTTTGCTATCCCAAGTTAACGTCGGAGTTACAATCTTAGATGCCGCACTTAGCTTGCAAGGTGGCTTTCATCATGCCACTAGTAGCTCCGATCCGTTGTGGATGCTTCCGATCGCGATTTCTGGATATGCCGAATGCGCTCTCGTCTTCCTAATCAAATTAGACGACCACGAAAACGGCGGTGAGTAAAATCAATACTACTGCCATGCTCAAAACTTTTCTCTCAGATCTTCCCAATGGTGGTGGCTACGAAGAGGAACCAAGAGAAAGAAGCGCTCTGTCCGTTAGCTACAAGATATCTGGAAGCCAAGCATCCTCAACCTCAGGGGAAGGCAAGATCGACGAGCAAGACGTCCTGACTTTCAAAGGCTTCTTCCAGCTACAAGTGCCGGTCTCGGACCATCAAGTAGCAGTCGGGATGCTGCCACTACCAGGCCCGTGTCCACGAGTCGGCCAGCAAGTTATCCTCCAGTGGAGAATCGAGAGACTCAAGAAAGCGCAGTCGAGCGAGGTAAAGCTCAGCCATTTACCTTCTCTTTTCATTCATGGTTCTTTTGTAGATCGAGCAGCTTGCGTACGAAGTCAAGGCGAGCCCGGAGTCCTGGATGGTCGCGGGGAGGCGGAAAGGTTTTGTGTCACTGGCGATCCAATCCGGTACGAAGCTAGTCGTGTCGATTGCTTGCCTGCCTTTGGTTGCCGGGCATGTCCGCCCCCCATTGCTGGAACTTTGCGGGATTGATCACTCGCAAGTCAGCCATTGTCAGCCAGCTTCTCATCTCGTGTACATTCTGCCGCCTTCACCCTGTTATGCGTTTTGCCTCGAGGAGAAGCCACAGTCTTGAATGAAAAGCTTGCAACGATTTCATCGTTGTGCTTGTTTAGTTTCATTGCAACTCTAGAAATACAAATGTAAACAGATGCTCTGTGAGGTACTCTTTCGTGAAGCTTGTCAAATCCCATCCTTTGTTTGCGGGACAGGGGATTTGGGCAAATTCACGTAGGTACACAGAGGTTATGTTAACTAATGAGTGGTCAGTAGAACCCTAAAAGTTGAAGAAGCCGTTGACTTCCTCCTCGCTGTTGACGTAGTCAATGGGAGCCTTTTGACTAGGGCATGACGACTGCTCTTGACTGATTTCCTCGAGGAAATTCTCCAAGTCCGGCAGGGAGTCGTCTATCACCGATATGTCAAACCCGGAAAAGTCAAAGCCCTCGTCATCATCTGCAGTGCCGTCATCGTCATGCTCGCCACCCTCTTGCTCTTCCTCGTCACCCTCTTGCCCTTCCTCGCCACCTTCTTGCTCGTTGTCGCAGCTACCATAGCCATAGTCGCAGGTACCGTCAAACACGTAGACGTAGACGGCGCCCAAGAACGTAGCCCGTATTCTCACCCGCGTGCGCGTGAGGACATTGAGCTCGTATGACTTCTTCAGCAAATTGTCCATTTTCTTTTTGAAGGCGTGCCGCCGCTTGGAGAGATTGATGATAAACGCCAGCTTGAGCTTCTGTCTCCCCATTTAATCTCTCCCAAAGTATGGGAGCCTCTGGACCAAAGTTTTATATGCAATCTTTTTGGATAGGATTTCCTTTAACCTTAACAGCCACGTGGACGCTTATCTAATTTTAGACGTTTTAGGGTTTTCTAATTCAACTTAAATAACAATTAGCTATGGTTAATGTATTTTACAGTGCTCTGTTTTTAGGGTTCCTCCAATTTTAGGGTTTGTGTGCTCCCATGGGCGGGGAGCATGGCGCTGGGTCTTGGTACCTCTGCTACTTCTTGCACAGGCTGCTCGACTACCGCATTCCAGAGGTTGAGTCGCTAGCCAAGCTCTTTGGGTGCTCCGGGAAGCTGCAATGGAGGCAAGCGCCGAACCATCATCCCGACTCGCCATTCTACTTCGTGCGCCTCCCGTCGGAGGATATGGCGCGCAGCATCGCCAAGCGAAGTGCGTATCTTCTCTTGCTTTGGGCTTGCATTGCATCTCCCGATGGATTGAAACCGGTTGTTTTGCGCTAGGCGTGCTCGTGAAGGCCATTTTCGAGATTTGGGGCGAGGGGAGCACGTACGAGGAGCTCCGTGCGGCCGTGGAGGCGTTCCCCGAGGAGAAGAAGCGCCCCTACTTGGGAACCGAGGTGACTTTCAAGATCATTGTCGACACTTTCGGGAAGGTCATCAGCTCCGAGGAACAGATCAAGCTCATCAACAGCTTCGATTTCATTCCTTTCCAGGTACATTCTTTCCTCCAGTTTCATTCCATCGAACTTGTATCCATCGAACTTCTTCCAGGGTCGCGTCCAGCTGAGAGATCCTAAAGAGAAGTTCTGGTTCATGGAAACGGATGGCCGAGTTATCAACAATGGGATGCCAGCGCCGCTGGAGCCATCGGTGGATGGCACAAGGCTCTTCTTTGGACGTGAGATTGGGGGAGCTGACAGGAGCCTCGTTACCAAGTACGCATTGAGCACTCGAAAGTATCTTGGTCCTACAGCTATGGATGCTGAGATTGCGTGTCTCATGTCTAACCAGGCTCTAGTAGACACGGGCAAGTTTGTGTATGATCCCTTCGTCGGGACGGGCAGCATCCTCGTCGCGGCTGCTCACTATGGTGCCTTGACAATGGTAAAAAAGCCTATTTTTTCTCCTTCTCTTCTTCTTTTTCGCTTCTCATACTTTGATCTCTCGCAGGGTGCCGATATTGATCTACGAGTTATTCGCGATGGTCGTGGCCCGGATTGCAACGTTTGGAGTAACTTTAAACAGGTAAACACTGCGAGAGCTCAAGGACTTGCGTTCTTGTTTTGATCCTCGTTGCTTTCTTCAGTATGATTTGCCTCCGCCAGTGGGCTTGGTTCGAGCAGACAACAACGCAAGGCCATGGCGACCAAACTTGAGAGAGGTTTGTACACACTTCCTTCCTATCCCTCAAACTTCACTCAAACTCTCTTGTGATCTTTCCGCTCTTCCAGGTTTTCGACGCTATCATCTGCGACCCCCCGTATGGAATCCGAGCCGGGGGAAGAAAATCCGGAGGGAGGAAGCTCCTCAAAGGCATCATAGATCCATACATCATCCCGGACGACAAGCGCAAGGAGCACATCCCCTCCACCGCAGCCTACATCTTGGAGGAGTGCGTCCACGACTTACTCGATATGGCGGCGCAGCTCCTCGTCACCGGCGGCCGCTTGGTCTTCTTCTATCCCCTCTCGCGGGAGGAGGGCGCGGACAACAAGCTCCCGGATCATCCATGCTTCCAGCTCCTTTCTTCCAGCGAGCAAATCCTCAGCACGAAGTATAGCCGCTGCCTTCTCACAATGGAGAAGACGAGCGAGTACACGGACGATCTGGCTGCCCGGGCGCAGGAAACACACCTCGAGTTCAAGAAGAACCACGCAAAGCTGCTCGACGCCAAAGACAAGCTTCGTTCTTTGGTATTCACACCCAGCGGCGAAGTTTTGCAGAGAGTTATTCCCAAATACAGGGGAAAGTACGTATGATAGAAAGGTGGCAAGAGTTTAATGTATGATAGGCAATAGAAAGGTGATAGCAGAGTATATGCAAGCGAATCTACGCGGACGTTGTTTGCATTCGTAGCGATGTAACCGAGGAGAAGGTGCTTAAAGAGAGAGCGATCCAAGCGAGCGTGGATGCGATGGATACCTCTTGGTTTGACGGTAAGCTCCTCATGGGCAGCTCCCAGCTCCAGAAGATGGACACTCCACACTCTCGATCGTCTCCCTATAGATCCAATAACTTGTAAAGCTTTGTATCCAAACTGGAGATGAAGTGCTCGTACCTCTCATCGTCGTCGACTCCGTGCTGGATGGACAAAGGTAGCAACGCCTGGATGATGGTGGCAGCCATTCTCGCGGGACTGGCAACCATGCCCGGGCTCCTACTTCTCTACAGCGGCATCGCGAGGAAGAAGTGGGCCGTCAACACCGCCTTCCTGACCCTCTACGCCTTCACTGCCTCTCTCATCTGCTGGGTGACGATCTGCCACAACTTAGCCTTTGGATCACACCTCCTTCCCTTCTGGGGGACCCCTGGACCTGTTCTCTACACCAAGTTCCTTCTCAGCCGTAGCCACCACCCGGCTACTCACCAGGACCTCGACTTCCCTTCGGCAACCATGGTGGCCTTCCAGTTTGGCTTCGCGGCTAACTCCGTGGCCATTGTATCCTCTGCGGTCTCGGCTAGAATCACCTTTCAGGCCTGGGCGGTCTTTGTCCCACTGTGGCTCATTTTCTCCTACACTGTTGGAGCGTCCAGCATCTGGAGCGGTGGTTTTCTCTCGCGGTGGGGAGTCTTGGACTTTGCAGGAGGCTACGTTGTCCATCTCTCGGCAGGCGTAAGCGGCGCTGTTCTTGCTCACTGGGTATGTCAAACAGTACGTGGTTTAGTCGAAGACTCGAGAGAACTTGTACCTGCAGGTTGGTCCTCGGCATCCAGTCGATCGAGCACGGTATCCGCCAAATAATGTGATGCTCGTGCTCGGTGGAGCTGGCCTGGTCTGGATGGGATGGATCGGATTCGCTGGTGGAAGTGCCTTCCTTTCTCCACAACAGGCTTCGTTGGCTGTTGTAAATACCAATATCGCCGCTGCTACAAGCCTCTTAGTGTGGACTTCTCTCGACGTTCTCTACCACGGCCAGCCTTCGGTTCTTGGCGCTGTTCAAGGACTCATGACTGGTCTCGTTGCAATCTCTCCAGCGGCTGGTAAGCCAAAGATTTTCCACCTTTTAGTTTGCAACTGTTCTTTTTCTTTCTCTCGAAGGACTTGTCGAAGCATGGGCGTCGATGTGCATAGGATTGTGCTCTGGAAGTCTGCCTTGGCTGACTCGGCTGTGCCACCAGAAAACTACCGCCAAGTTTTGCGAAGAAGTGGATGATACTGCCGGTGCTGTTCATACTCACGGAATAGCAGCTCTGATAGGAGGCCTCCTTACCGGATTTTTTGCTCATCCCCGTCTAACAGCTTTGGTTTCCTCGGTATCCGGCTCGAAAGGCGTCATCTTTGGAAATTTCCAGCTAGTACTCAAGCAGCTTGCTGCAGCTTTGCTAGTAATTCTGTGGAACGTTGCTGTGACCACCCTCATCTGCGTCGTTGTGAAAAGACTGATGAAGCTAAGAATGTCTGATGACCAACTGCGCATTGGCGACGATGCTGTTCACGGAGAAGAGGCTTACGCTGTTTGGGAGGACGGTGAGAAAACAACACTTTGAACATAAGACTGTAAATAAATAATATTTGCACAAGAATCAGAAAGTTCTTACCTGGACTGGACACACACCCTAGCCGGCTGCTTTCTCATTCAAGCTGCAGCTTGCTTCGATATAAGCACAGTGGGGGCTCTCACTGCCATTTGCATGTCCTCAAACGAAAGGGCCAGCACGGGTTTGCTCGATAATATCTCAAGCATGTCAGCATCCAAATGGTCACTGCCAGGGATGTGCTCTGGAGCACTTATTGATGCTGGCTTTGAAGCAGCCACCCTGGAGGAATGATATTCTGTCTTCATCAAACAAACAAAAGCAAAGCACAAAACGAACCTGCAACTCAACTCGCAAGAGTATTTTAGAATATTTGGCTGCTGCCTGGTGTTGCCACTGAGAAACACTGTGAGAACTCACTGAAAAACTTACGTACAACACACCTGAAGCTGGGAAGGCAAAAGTTCAATGGCGGACCTTTCCTGGTCGCTTCATTCATTACTGAACAGAAAAGAAGAAAAGCATGTAAGGCCAAACAAAATAAATTGCAATGCTTCTTACAGCTGTGAGCCATAGATATATGACACCATGGATTAAAGCTTCCACGTGAAACAGCAAGCCCGTATGCTTCTTCCTCCTTGATGTCAGAATTAAAAAAGTTGAAACGATTCTGATGAGTTCCACCTTTGTTCCTCACAGAAATCACAGGCTGGGAAGAAGAAAATGAACAAACAAAAACCGGCACGAGAAAACGAAGAACGCTTACATGTGAAAAGCTTGCAAGCTGGCTGGGGAGTCCCACTTCCTACAAAGAATTCTGTAAGGAATCATGGCAACAAGCGCCCCAAATTCACTCACCATTCTTCCGTGCCTGCAGGCTCCCTTGTCGTTCACTAAAACTCTCGCTGCCCAGCTAAAAGCCATGACACAGTTTAAAACCCAAAGAGAAAGCATATGGTACTTACGCACAAGAAGTTGGCGGGTTCCAGACAATTCCAGCAATCACAACGAGCTGCAAGCGTTCCAAACGATCAGCGTCTTTCCAACACCCAAAGTTTTCTTCGCAGGAGAACTATATTTCTAATACCTGCTCAATCTCTGGATCGTCGACATTCCACTACCAGATTATATAGAAACGAAAACGATGGTTCACACAATGAGCACAGGAGTCAAGAATATCACCTCATCGAAAGGCCCGACTGGACTATCGTTGTAGTGCGCAAGGAAGAATCCACCCAGCGTGTATCTTCACAAAGACCAGATAAACAGATTTGGCGAAAAAAACAAAGAATTCGCACCCAAAAGCTTCCACAAGCTTCAATTCTCCGGGAATGTGCCTCCGCGCGGTCTCGGCCTTGACTAAATGCATCTGATACAGCGCCCTACGCACACAAACACACACAAATCCGTGAAAAGAAAGAAACACACCAGAATTCCTTCACCTTCCTGCGAAGCGCCATGGAGATCCGGCAGCGTAGCCGAGAATCGTCTTCTTCTCCTCAGCCGCCATTGCGAGGGAGGAGCGCCAGGCTCGCTGACGGCAAAATATAAACCCCACACACTATCCCAAAATCCAAAACAAACAGTATATTCTCTTAGCCGGTATATTCTGTCTCAATTTGAAAAGAAGCACATTCTGCTAGGATTTAGCGTATTCCGTTAATATAAGGGATATTCGCCTTCTTCTTCTTCTCGTCGTTTACTTCTCAAGCGAGGAGCCTCTTGAGATTGTAGGGCTCCGCGGCGCGGAGATCGCCAAACCAGAAGTAGCGAAAGAGGAAGAGATTTGCGGCCTCGGTGAGATGCACCGAGTCCCAGAAGAGATGTGTCGATGGAACCGGGCAAACGAACGATGAATTGTTGCAACCGCCAGCATGGAACAGTCCATCGCCACAGCAAGCCTCCCTCGAGTTCGTGAATCCTTGAAAATCATTCTCGTGAGCTCGCGACCATGAAGCGAAGATCAAAATCGAAACTTACCATTCTCTAGAGGGGAACGTACCGCATCCATGAGGAGGCCGTAAGGTTTGAGGAAAACCATGGCCAGCTCCGGGAGCTGGAAGAGCATCTTGTTCACAAGGTTGCGCAAGCTTTTGTTGAAGAACGCCGCCATCTCGTTGAGCGCTTGCAAGCAGCCAATCTTCTGGCGACGGGTGATCAATCCCACCTTGGCAACGTAGTAGCGAGCCGCCGGTGTACAGCCGATCGGTCCCACTCCAACCAGCACGATCTTCCTCGCTCCCTGGTTGTACAAAGTCTAGCAAGCGCAAAACCAAGAGCGAGGACAGATCAAAGCAATGCGAAAGCTTCTCTCGAAGAACTTTGGAGAAGAGAGTTTTTAGAGTGGGCTTACTTTGACAGTGGCCTCGTACTCTTCCATCATCATGCCCACGTAGTAGCGCCACGAGGATCCGATCCGGCGAAAGCTCGAGTTCGTGGGGAAGTAGAGGGCCTCCAGGTCGTTGCTCCCAATCGCCACTATAAACACCGAATCGCGCAGGATTGTCTTGGCTCGATCGTCTCCATATCGCTCCCGGAGAAGACCCACGCGCTCCGTGAACTGATCGATCTGCGTCTTGAAGCTCACGGCTCCCTGGAGAAGCACATATAAGCTCGATCCAAAGAGAGAGTTCTATACTACGACATCCAGCGATGGAAAACGAGATTCTGGAAGAACGTATACCGCGTACTCGCCGATCAAACGGCTCCCCGCGGACGCAAAGTTTGCTCCAATCTCAAGAACAGCGTCGGGATCCATGTAAGACCGGGTGAAAGGGAGGTTGATCCACTGCGCGAGGAAATCCGCGAGCGTCCTTCCATCCGAGAATCGCCCCGTGGAGACCTTGAAGTAAGTCTCTCCATACGGCGGGGAGAGCGCCGCGACCGAGGAATTGGGGGGGAGAAACTTTGCGCTACCAGCGTCGAGGATGGAGTCTCCAAACACGAACATGGCGGACGCCGGCTTCGTGGGCAACATGGGGGCGCCGGAGGCGATGCGAGCGTGGGACGCGAAGACGAGGAGCTCGAGCAAGATGGGCAGCACTGGCACGAAGCTATGCATCGTGGCTGAGATTTGGAGTCGAGGAGCCGGCGAATGCTCTCTATAAATTTGAGAGTTCTTGAGCATCGTCCCCATGCAGTCGTGATGACGAGTTTTTTTGCGAGGCTTTTTTGGTCCAGAGTCACGCTTCCGGTTTTTTATGTAAGATCGAAACACTCGCTTCATGCCAATCTTCTAGAAACATTCCATTCTATTGCAACTTCAAAAGGTGGTAAAAGCAATGGAAAGCTAAGTAAATAGGTGTATTGTTGAGAAGTTCTAGCAAAGTCCACTCCATGTTTCTTCCTATTGCCAGTGCCCATTATAGATATTATTATAAGACAGAATTGCTTACCATTTTTTGAGTTGGGTTTTAAATAACATAAAAATAATAAAAAGGATAATAAGTCATGACAAATAACCAATAAAAAAGAAATCATGGTGTATATATCTCAAGAAATGGTGAAGACAGAGCTCTATCTATCCCAAAAAGTTTTATTTCTTGCTGGATTTGTTAAAAAAATTAGTAAAATGTTAACATCTTAGCCATGGATTATTAGGATTATTAAAACCATTAAAGAATAATATTTAAAAATATTATTAAACACATAACATAAAAAATATTTTCAGTTATATTTTTAAAGGTACACATTAAATCATATAAATTAATCTTCAAATTTGAGAAATGGAACTGATGGCTATACTTCCCTTCTATTGCCAAAGGAATAAACAAGAAATAACTCTAATAAAGTGAGGAATGAGCATTGTTAGGTAATAAAAGGATAATATCTAAAGCAACATGTAATTTTGATACCTATTCACATATATTTTTATAAATGTGTCTCTTTACTAGCAAAATCTTTGCTTTATATTATTCTATTGAAAATAATCTACTTCGATTTTTTATAATGAGTATCAAAGTAAATAAAATATAAAATATCAAAATCTTTTTGTAAATTTTACAAACCATCTAAATAAAAATTAAAATAAAATAAAAATCACAAAACTAAAAATACTAATATAAAAGTATTTAATTTAGCCTATTAGGACATCAAAATATTGAATCCAGAATAAATCTATTCAATATAAAGTTATTATATAAAACTGAGTTTATAAATTTATATGAAAAGTATTGAAGTTTTTTCTTCTTTTTATACAATATAATACCCTACTAACTATGATAAACTTAACTATGAATTTACTAGTAATCTAGAAACAATATATGTTGAAAATACTTGTGCAATCCAACTACCACTCTCCGCGTCCAAATACACGAAACCAACAATGAGGCTTTTAAGGTCAATGTTTTCGCCAATCCTTCCGTCAAGCATGCCAATCACCTGCAAAATCAAAATCGTCAGCTTAAATATTCACATCCTTTTCTCTGAGATGAGGGACATATCCATTCTTGCAATGCTATATTTGTTAAAGCTAGCATAATAAGCTGCATCTTCGTACGAGGGTGGTTGCTCAAAGCTCAAGGGAAGACTCTTCCAAGTTGCCAAAGTTTGGAGGGTGGCACACGTTGAACGATTTGAGCCTTGTCACATTGCCTGGTGAAACGGTTAAGAGGTACAAGTGATCGTCCTGGAGCAGCATGCAGTTATTGGAATCGTTTATGGCCAATCTCGTCGCCCGCCTGGACTGGCACAGGAAAGTCCACACAAGAGATCCACGCCCCAGCCCAGGTGAACCAGCAAGCTGATCTTTAGGGTCACGACTACAACAAACCATGATCCAGAGGGCGCCGACTGAATAGCAGCAAAGACCATTTCGTGAATCGTGATCACCCTTCACCACTGGACAGCCCAGTTCTCGCCTGATCTGTAGCAGTGGATTCAGCACCACAAAGTACATAGAAAACGAGTTGTAGCTCAGAACCAAGCCTGCCGAGCAAATGCTCATACTGGCTTCCTTTGGAAGGGGGAGAGTGAACTCCTTCCAGGAGATGGCGTTGGGTGAGATGAGAAACTTGCCGATGTACCACTGCTGCGGCGGGCGCTGCTGCTGGATCGCTACATGCCAATCCCTGGAAATGGAGCGGAAGCGGCAGAGCGTGTCTTGTCTATCAAACCATCCCACAACAAATCTTGTTATGAACCTTATACTTATACGCAAAAGGTGGTTAAGAAGTTTATAAAGCAGCCTTTCAGCTGAAGTGCCAGCTGGCAAAGTGCAAGGTGCAAGCAACCAATGGGATAATATTGACGTATGGTTAATTCCCAGATCGAGGAGCTTGCAACTTCAAGACAGCACGCAATAAAATTTCCAACTTCTAGTATGTTTCACAGCAGAACTAGCTCTCTCATGTTTTTCTTCTTGACAACCTTGAAAACTCTGCCTCAATCCAATCCGGAAGCCGAGTTTTGTCCACTCACCCATTTCTTGTTCTTGGCATTGGGCTTGCGAGGATTCTTCCCAGAGAAATGCTCTTGTGCTTCCGACACCTTTGGCTGGCCATTCCACAGGAACTGCGTAACATCCTCCACCTTGGACAGCTTGAGCAACAGGGGTGTCAATCTCTCAAGCTCCTTGTCATCTGCTTCTCCTCTGAATGGCTTGATCTCGATGCCATTGTGCGGGCACAGCCTGAAGTGGAACCTCTCATTGTCCACCCACACTAGCCTCTTCAACTCATGCCTGACCTTTATCTTGCGCACATCCTTGATGAAACCCGCCCTCGTCCTGGTGCAATCCTCAATGCCGTAAACGTCGGTTATAAGCTTTGCACTCGTCCCAAACCCTGCCACCGATTGATCCAGGTGCCTGGAATCCGAGACGCTGAAGATGACAACGCAGTAGGCCATTGCCATCCTGCTCAAGAACGCCTCCAGCCCAGGCCTGTTCACAATAGTGCTCGCGTTCTTCCATACCAGCGTCTCGTTTAGGTCCAGCACCAAAACGGGTTTGCGCGCTTCCGCCATGCCCTGAAAGCCCTGTTTTTTAGGGCGTCGTTAAAAAAAAAAGCCCTCTTCCAAGAGAAATGGCATGAAGATTGTCCGCTACCGCTTTTTTTTTGCCCTTGGCCTTGACAAGATTCTTGGCAGACTGCACCTGTGCTTCCGCCACCTTTGGCTGGCCATTCCACAGGAACTGCGTCACGTCCTCCACCTTGGACAGCTCGAGCAAAAGAGGTGTCAATTTCTCAAGCTCCCTATCATCTGCTTCTCCTTTGAATGGCCTGATCTCGATGCCATTGTGCGGGCACAGCCTGAAGTTGAGGCGAATATCATCCACCCAGACTAGCCTCTTCATGTTGCACCTAGCAAGCTTGGACACATCCTTGACAAATCCCTGTCGGCACCTGGTGCAATCCTTGATGCTGTATACCTCGCTGATGAGATGCGCAAATGCCCCAAACCCAGCCACACACTCGTTAACATGCTTTGAGTCTGACGCGCTGAAGATTATGAGCTTGTATACCTGCGCCATCTTGCTGAGGAACGCTTCTAGGCCAGGCCTCTTGACGATCGTTGAGTTCTTCCTGCAAATCAGCGTGTCGTCTAGATCCAGCACCAGCACCCCCCTCTCCATTCCTTCCCGCAGCCCTAATCAGGAATCCTTCGGATCGCCACCGTCCGTGGCTTTACGCTTTAACTAAAACAATCCTATTGTCTTGCTGACGTGTTTTATATGTGCCACATCCTCAACCCGCCCATCTTGCGCTCTCTTTCTTGCGCCCAGGGCTTGTGCCACACGCGCCTAGGGCTTGTTCCAGGTCTCCAAGCTTTCCAGCCGATCGTCCTTCATTGCGATCAAAGCTCCGCAATGGCGCGGCGATGCAGCTCCTAGAGGACAAGATTTACCATCTCCATCTGTTTGGCGATTGTCCGTGTCAAGTTCTTCCTTCTCGCACCTAAGAAAAACTTTGGTACGTACTGTTGAATGCCGAACGATCGCAATGCAGGACGACAGGCAATACAAAACAAAGTAGTTGTTGCAAGATCAATAAATACCAACTCAATCATGGTTTCTGTTTCAGTCACAAAATTACTTGCTTAACACAGGCTTAATTTTATATAATTCAAAAGTTTAAAACACAATTAAAACTAGGTGATATTTAGAATATAACTAAATAATTTAACTAACATATGATGAAATCTTGTGTATCACAATAACCACATTAACTAATTTGCTAAGTTAAATGCTCATTTAGATTATATCCTCAACTCTCAAAGAAAAATTTTGAGTTTCTGATGTTTAAATTTCCTAAGCGGCCAGAGTTTCAATAAGAGGAGCGATTGTGAAAAGTTCGTAAACTGGTATTGCATACGAACTGAGATTGCAATCCTCATGTAGATTCCGCGGCTCGCCGCGCACTGGATCGATCGAGACCTCAAATCAATTCATGATAGTTTTTCATGTTACAAAATAACGCTCAGTTAAGTTTTCTAGGTTTCCAGATCAATGCAGCCAGTAAAGATTGTTTCCGCGCAGCTCGTTCGGCCATCACACCCATCACGCGTCACCACCAAAAGGTTTGAGCTCACAGGTTTCGACCGAATCATGCAATACGTCCCCTACCAGAAGCGAATACTCTTCTACAAATCTTTCGAGGAGGAGCAAGAAGATCTCGCTGTGGCGCTCCAGCAAAGCCTGGCCGAGGTATTGCTACCATTCTACCCATTAGCGGGACGATTGAGAAGCGGGAATGGAGTTTCAGAGCCGGCATTGGAGCTGGATTGCACAGATTTGGGCGTGAGATTCACCCAAGCCGTGACGAGCTCGCGTCTCAGCGAGCTGGGGGATTTCCAGCCTTGCGAATTTTGTGAATCCCTCTGTGCCGTGGAGTGTTCCCCAGAGTTTCCATGGACACCAGATACTCCACTTCTTTTTCTCCAGGCAAGGTTTTCTTTGGAGTTCTTTAGATTCTTTGCTGATATATATTTCTTCTTTCCACTCTACCTAGGTGACTAAGTTCGGATGTGGAGGCCTTAGCATTGGTATTTCTGGCAGCCACCAGATCATGGACGGTGTAAGTTTCTGGCATTTCTTAAACTCCTGGGCCGAGTTCTCAAGAACAGGGAAGATCGCGCACGCGCCCCAGGTGACTTTCGGCTACGAGGAGCGAGATCCAACTCAAGCCATCAAAGAAGTCCCGAGAAAGCCAAGCAAAAGCAGCGAGAGATCCCAGGAGCTGGGACTCAAGCACTACAAGATGGACAAGGATATGATCGAGAAGCTCAAGCGTGAAGCACCAGGCACTACAACTTTCGAGGTTGTGTGCGCTCACTTCTGGAAGAAAGTGGTGGTGGCCAAGGGGCTGGAAGGATCGAGCAGCTGCGACTTCATGGTTCTTGTGGATTGCCGCGGCCGGATCAAGTCACTCCCCTCCAAGTTCTACTTTGGAAACGCGATCTGGTCCTCGGTTGCGACTGCCACCGTCGACGATCTCGCAAGAAATCCCGTGTCGCATGCCGCGGCTCTTCTACACGATGCGATCACTAGATTCGACGCACACAAGGCAGAAGAGAAGTTCTATCAGCGTCGACGTCCACAAGCTCAGCAAGGATCGCAAGTGCTTGGATCCAAGCCTTGCTTCACTCTGGTGGCGGTGGAGTCGCCCAAGCAACCGGTTTTCGAGTGTGACTTTGGGTTTGGAAGGCCGGTGGGGATGAGCTTTGGAGCGAATGATCTTCATGACGGCAAGATCTATCTCTTTCCTCTGGCGCCCGGGTCGGGCAGTGGTGTTTCAGTCACTGTTGTTCTTGACAAGGAGTCTCTTGGAAGAATGCTCTGATTCATACGAGTTCTCTGCGATCTTTCATGAACCCGGCAGCTACTGAGTTGAGCCTCCAGACGCATATCAATCAGCTCAAGAAATCCAGCGAAAGTTTGCAACCTGCGAGGTACGCTTCTCTTCTTCAAAAGTGTGCCGAGCAAAAGTCCGCTGCTGCTGGCAAACTCGTCCACCAGCACATCCTTTCCTCTGGGTGTGGAGTGAATAGATATCTTCAAAACCATCTCATATTCATGTATGCAAAGTGTGGCTGCCTGCAAGATGCCGTGGAGGTTTTTGAATTGCTTCCATGTCCAAATGTTTTCTCGTGGACAGCGCTGATCACCGCTTATGCCAAGGAAGGGCATTTGCGGGAGGTGCTTGGGTTTTTCAGGAAGATGCAGCTAGATGGTACTAAGCCAGATGCTTTTGTTTTCAGCACAGTTCTTACAGCATGCTCTAGTGCTGGAGCTCTAAACGAAGGAAAAGCCATTCACGACTGTGTTGTTTTGGCTGGGATGGAAACACAAGTTGTGGGAAATGCAATCGTCAACTTATACGGGAAATGCGGGAGAGTGCATGAAGCTAAGGCTGTGTTTGAAAGGTTGCCAGAAAGAAACCTTGTGTCCTGGAATGCTCTCATTGCAGCAAATGCACAAAACGGGCATTGCAAGGATGCGATGCAAGTTTTCCAGTTGATGGATCTGGATGGTTCTGTGAGACCAAACGATGCTACCTTTGTCAGTGTTGTGGATGCCTGCTCGAACCTTTTGGATCTTCCCCGAGGAAAGTCCACCCACGAACGGATAATTCGTACGGGCTTTGATTCCTATCTCTTTGTCGGGAATTCGCTTGTGAACATGTACGGGAAGTGTGGGAGTGTTGACCATGCTAGGCTAGTATTTGAAAAGATGAGGTTGCGGGATGTTTTATCGTGGACTTCGTTGATCGCTGCGTATGCCTTAAACGGGCATCGCAGTGCTGCACTGGAATGGAACCAGAAGATGGACTTGGAGGGTATTCCTCCCAACGACATCACATTTGTAAGCATTTTATTTGCTTGCGGCCACTCGGGACTCGTCTATCAGGGGCGAGATTTTTTCGTGTCGATGGTGGAAGACCATTCCATTTTGCCAACAATGGAACACTATGGTTGCATGATCGATCTTCTTGCTCGTGCTGGGTGGCTGGAAGAGGCCACGCAGCTTATTAATTTGAGCCCATTTGGTCACAAATCGTTTGAGTGGCTAACACTTTTAGGAGCTTGCAAGATGCATGGAAACCAAGGCTTGGCTTCCCAAGTTGCAAAACGAGTGTTTGTGAAAGATCCCATGTCTGCATCGCCATATATGTTGCTCCTTCGAACTAAAACTTGCTGAATGGAAAAATAACTACCATTTTTATTATTAAGATCTAAACAAAGAGTGATGTTTCTTAAAGCAAATATTTGTAACTAGCTATACCTCAGAAACAAATCCCCTCGATTCATATAAAATGGTGGGTCATAATAATTTGTACACTTAACCAAAACTATACCAAGTAAACCAATGAGGTATAAGCAAGCTTAAGCTTAAGCCTGCTAAATAAAATCAGAAAATCGAGTAGCAAGAACATAATAATTAACAAAATCTTTTGGTCACCAATTCCACTATAAAATTTCAACATAGGAAAAATTGGACCATATTATTCTTTCTGCTAGCAAATGAGAGTAACAAGAGTATCAATACTATTAAATTATAAGAATTTCAACAAAAATCAGATCATATTCTTGATATATTTCCCTTAATGCTTCTAAAGCATTTTACTTTAGATTTGATTATATGAAGTTTATGAGAGTGAGGAGGCTGTGTACTTCATGTGACGTTGCAACCCACATTCGAAAGTGCGGAAGGCTGCGTGACTTTGAAGGAGGCAAGCACATCCACGACAATCTCATAGCTTCTTCAAGGCCAATTGATAGCTATCTCTCAAATCTTCTGATAGAAATGTATAGTAGATGTGGCAGTGTTACACAGGCATGGCTAGTCTTCAAACAAATCCATGACAAGAGCGTCTACTCCTGGACTGTTATCATCGCAGCATTTGCCCACAATGGGCATTTGCTTGAGGCATTTGTTCTCTTCTACAAAATGGACTTGGAGGGCGTTTTGCCGAACAAAGTCACCTTCGTCACAGTCCTGCGAGCATGCACCACCCTCGCACAGTGCGAGAAAATCTTCGCCCGGGTGAAACATCTCGGCTTGGAGCTAGACACCACCCTTGGAACCGCCTTTGTGAGCACATTCGCAAAGCTCGGGGACTTGGCCGCGGCTAGAGACGTTTTCGAGAATCTCGGCAGCTCCAGGAATGTGGTGTCGTGGACCGTGATGATCTGGGCTTACGCGCAGCAGGGTTTCATTCGAGCGGCCTTCGATCTCTACAAGAGAATGGACTGCGAGCCAAACGCTGTAACTTTCATGGCCGTGATGGATTCCTGTTTGCGTCCAGAGGACTTACCGCGAGCGGAGCAAATCCACGCACACATGGTTGCCTCCGGTTTTGAATCCGATGTTGTCTTGCAAGTTTGTCTCGTCACCATGTATGGGAAGTGTGGGAGCGTCGACAGCGCTTGGAGCATCTTCGAAAACTTGAAGGAGAGAAGCGTGGTTGCATGGAACTCCATGCTATCTGCGTTCGCCAGCAACGGGTGTTACGAGAGGAGCTTGAAACTCTACGAAAGAATGCTGCTAGAGGGGACAAAACCCGACAAGATCACTTACTTGGCTGTGCTTGATGCCTGCCAGAGCGTTTCCGAGGCCCGGAGGTACGCCGCTACCTTCGAGCTGGAGCTAGATATTGCTGCAAGAAATGCCGCGGTCAGTGCGTACGCGAGGTGTGGAAGCTTGAAAGAAGCCAAGGCTGCGTTTGATGCAATCCAATGGAAGAACAACGCTGTGACATGGAACGCCATGATCTCCGGCCTTGCACAGCACGGAGAGAGCAAGCAAGCTCTCGAGTGCTTTTGGAAAATGGAACTGGAAGGAGTGAGAGCAAACTCGGTCACTTACCTCGCAAGTCTAGAGGCATGCTCGAGCTTGAAAGATTTGACGAGAGGGAGACAACTCCACGCCAGGATCCTCCTGGAAAACATACACGAGGCAAACCTCAGCAATGCCGTGATCAACATGTATGGCAAGTGTGGAAGTCTAGACGAAGCAATGGACGAGTTTGTGAAAATGCCCGAGAGAGATGTGATCTCCTGGAACACAATGATAGCAACATACGCTCAACACGGCAGTGGAAGACAAGCACTAGAGTTTTTCAAGCAAATGGACCTGGAAGGATGGACTCCGGACAGAGCAACGTACCTAGGAGCGATCGACGCGTGCGGCAGCGTTCCATCTCTAGCTCTCGGAAAAACCATCCACTCCATCGTCGCCACTGCTGCTCCATGCCTGGAACAAGATCCGGGAGTCGCCACAGCGCTCGTCACCATGTACGCTCGGTGTGGAAGCCTGCACGACGCAAAGTCAGTGTTCTGGAGATCTCACTCGCGGAACCTCGTTACCTGGTCGAACTTGATCGCTGCGTGTGCTCAGCACGGCCGAGAGAACGAGGCCCTGGATCTCTTCCGCGAGATGCAGCTCCAGGGAACCAAGCCCGACGCTCTAACTTTCAGCACGCTCGTCGCGGCTTGCAGCCGGCGAGGAGTCGTGAAAGATGGCGTCTTCTACTTTGTGTCCATGGTGGAGGACTACAACATCCCGGCGAGCGAGGACCACTTTGGAGGGATGGTCGATTTGCTGGGACGAGCAGGCTGGCTGGAAGAGGCCGAGCAAGTGATGCGAAAAAATCCTTGCGCTTTGGCTCACGCTGTTTTGCTGGGAGCTTGTCACGTCCACGGCGATGTCGAGCGAGGGATTCGCGTCGCACAGAGCGCTCTCGAGTTGGATTGGAAGAACTCGGCATCGTATGTCACCATGTCTCACATGTACGCTGGCGCTGGATCACGGCAAGAGTTTCACGAGTTAGAGACCAGCTTATCAGAAGAACTTGGACCACTCACCTCTTGAAGAATCTTGTGCGCTGATAGTCGAAGAGATCGCAAGAACTCGAGAAGAAATGAGGATGAATGATCAATCAGCCATTCAAGGAAAAGAGATTTTCTACATCAGAGGAGAGCGACCTGATCGAGTCGAGCGGTGAATTTCTACTAGCTAGCGGCTACGTTTCCTTGCCTTCGCTTACGCGATGTCGGTGTCGTCGAAATCATCCTCGAAGCTGTTGAAGAAGTCGAGATCGCAGGGCTTGTTGTCGACGATGGCGTCGCCCAGCATCTCGATGCCGTCGCCGTCGATGTCCATGTCCATCGCGACGCTGCCGCCCACGCCCTGATCCTCGACATCGCCCGCCACATACACTGGGAATGGCTTCATCGTCCCTCCTAACCCTAGAACAAGATGGGATATTCCCACCGATAAGACGAATATACCCTTAGGGCAACGACCACTGGGATATTCCTCGCATAACATTTTTTAGGGCAACAAAGTTTGACTTGACCATTGACTAGGACTGTACAGGGCTATTGTCAATGGCTTTCTTTTGGCCCCTGGGAGTACGCTCGTGTTTCTCGAGCAAGAGTTCTGGCAAGCCTCGAATGGCGGTGATTTTCCTGGAGAGAAAACCAAGTGAGAAACACCACGATCGAGAAGATCTCTTACTTGGTCGCGTAGACTTCTCGCGCCTCGGCCTTCCACACCTTCAATCGCGCGGCGTTCTCTCTCCACCGCTTCACTCGCAAAACTTCGCGGCGAGCAGTGCGAGCCCGGTAGAACTCGATAAACTTCTTTCGATCGGCCTGGAAGTGCGCGCGCAACGATCAAATTCACGGAAGAGAAATCTAGTGAGCTTACATTGACATATCTCGTCTTTTGCAATCCACGCCACTGCCTGTTGAGATTTCTACGCGGCCTTGGCGGCGGCCGGGGCTTGATCACCGGATCGTTGGCCTCGAGCTTGGTCACTCCAGTGTAGAGTGTTGGAACTCTAAAAGGATCTGCCAGTGAAAGTCTCCATAAGAATGCCCAAGAGATCACCAGCAAGACATACCCACGTATTTGTTTCTTCGCTTGTCGCGGAACAAATGCCGCACCCACAGGCACGAGAATCGCAATGCCGGTGGATCAGCGCAGCCGGATCTCCCCGTGATCGCGGATGATCGCTGGAGTAGCGGCTTGAGGGCGCCCACGCACGCCCTGGCCATCGGTGCCCAAGAACCCTAAACCCTAAGAAACAAATGCGCCTCTCCTCGCGATGGCGCCTCTTGTTTCGCAGCGGCGCGAGGCGATTGAGCACGCAGGCGAGGGCGCCGATCGTTTTCAAGGTGAGCGAACCCGTGCCCGTGATCTATCCATCGCTCAGGAACCGCTGGAAGCCGCTGGAAGTGGTGGCTCCATTCGAGCTTCCCGAAGAGGCGCAATTCTCTGGCGATGGAAGCGATGAAGAAGATGAAGATGAGGAAGAAGAGGAGGAGCAGCATAGATCTAGGCGAGGGAGACAGGCAAAGGATCAAAGGCAAATGCAGGGAAGGGTAAAGCATCACAAAAGAGAAGAAGAGTTTCACGAAGAGGAGGAAGAAGGCGATACGCAAGAGGAAGAAGAAGATCAAGGGATCGTAGAAATAGAAGAAGATCACGACGAAGAAGAACGTAGCGACGAAGACGACGATGATCTCGTCATGAATTCCGAGGAGGAAGCCGACTACCAAGAGCTCGCTCGAATGGTTGACGAGGAGGATCGAGAAGAGGCCGGGGCCGCGCAGGCAGCCAAAGCTAGAGCTCGCGATCGTCACCGCAGTCGAGAGGAACCACAGGATCAAGCTCTCGTTCTCCAAAAACCTCCCACGAGATCACCGGTGGTGGAAGATCAAGAACAGGAGCAGAAGAGAGAGCAAAGTTCCAGCAGGGAATCGAGTGACCACCATAGCGGTTCCAAGAGACTCGAGCAGATCATCCGGGAGCTCGAGCAACAGGACGTGAAGTTCGACTCGGCGGCGTATGGATCGCTCCTCCAGTGGTGCGGAAACTCCAAATCCCTCGATCTGGGATCCCGCGTCTTGGATCACATGATCAAGACGAAGCAAACGCTGGACAGATACCTCCTCAACATGCTCGTCGAGATGTACGGCAAATGCGGCGCCGTCGGACAGGCCCGACAGACATTCGACCGGATATCGCGGAAGAATGTCTTCTCGTGGACAATCATGATCACGGCCTATGCCCAGAACGGGCACAGCGCCGAGGCGATCAAGCTCCTGGCGGCCATGGATCTCGACGGCGAGCCTCCAAACGTGGTGACGTTCGTCAACGCGCTCGCCGCTTGCTCGAGCTCGCGATCGCTCCACGCCGGCCGGATCATCCACGAGAGCTTGGCGGCGAGAAATCTCGACTCCAATCTCATCGCCCAGACCGCGCTGCTCGACATGTATAGCAAGTGCTCGAGCTTGCAAGAGGCGATCCGGGTGTTCTCCGCGATCAAGAACAAGGACACGGTGTCGTACAACGCCATGATCTCCGCGCTCTCTCGCCAGGGGTACGGCAAGGAATCGCTGGAATTGTTCCAGAGAATGGAGCTCGAGGGGTTCCGGCCGGACGAGGTGACGTACGGCAGCGTCCTCAACGCTTGCGAGCGGCTTGGCGCGCTATCGTACGGAGGCTCCGTACACCGCCGGATTCGTGGGACCGCGCTGGAGTCGGACGTGGTGGTGGCCACCGCGCTGGTCGGGCTGTACGGCCGGTGTGGCCAGCTGGATTCTGCGCGGGGAATGTTCGAGGCGATGGGGCAGAAGGGGGTGGTGGCGTGGACGCTCATGATCTCTTCCCTGGCCCAGAATGGGCGAGGCGATGAGGCGCTGGATCTCTTCCGGAGGATGGAATGCGCCGGGGTGGCCCCCGACGAGGTGACGCTGGCGAGCGCCTTGCTGGCGTGTGGTGGCCGCCGCGTGGAGGAGGGGCGGCGGATATTCGACGCCCTGGGGAGGGTATATCCGGTGTCCGCCTCGGCGGAACACTACGGTTGCATGGTGGAGGTTCTAGGGCGGGCGGGGAAGCTCGAGGAGGCCGAGGGTTTGATCCAGGGAATGCCGCGCAAGGCCAGCGGCGCGATCTGGATGGCGCTGCTGGCGGCTTGCAATCGGCGCGGCGATCTGGAGCGGGGGATTCGTGCTGCGAATCGAGCACAGCAGCTCGATCCCGGGAGCTTTGCGGCGTCCATGGCGATGCTCGCGGAGCTGTATGGAGCGGCGGGGCGGTGGGAGGATGCTGCCAGGGTCAGGAAGGCTGTGGAATCGAGGAATGCGAGGAGGGAGCCCGGCGGGCGGAGCTGGATCGAGGTGAACAACAGGGTGCACGAGTTTGGGGAGGATGATGATCGTCTGCAAGGCCCTCGGCTGGACAAGATCCGGGGCGAGCTCCAGCGATTGAGCTCGCTAGCCGTCGAGGAAGGGGGGATTTGCAAGGACGAGAATGCCAGGGCTCACATTCTTGGCTGCTGCCACAGCGAGAAGGTGGCGATTGGGTTTGGGATTGTGTCCACGCCTGCTGGGCAATTGATAAGGATCGTCAAGAATCTAAGGGCTTGCCATGATTGCCATGCGTTTGCCAAGTTTGTGTCTAGAAGGATACAGAGGGAAATAAGTGTGCGGGATCCGTATGGCTTGCATTGCTTCCACACTAATGGCTCTTGCTCTTGTGAAATTTGATAGAAGAAGAAACGAGCAGTCTTGTGATCTCGTTTTGATGGAAAACTCACAATGCCTGGGCCAAAAACCTAATAACAAGCCCTACTATGCTAAAAAGGTGGACATTAATGGAATTACCACACATTACTCATGTATTTGGGCAATGTGTGAGACAGGCACACCGAATTATGTGATTGGAGATGACAGAGTTATCTCCCGAGCTCCTGGGCCAAGCTCTGCTGATTTGCTTGCTCCAAATGAAGTAGCAACACTACACGCTAGAGAAACAAGATAGGAATTGTGAAAAGTTTGTCCTGTGAATTTTTTAATTTGGAGTTCTAACATTGAACGTAATTTACAATCACTATGACATGAATCATGAATGTAAGACACAATGCATGAATTTTAAAATTGGGTTTCTGGGTGATTTGTACCATTGGATTAACTCAAATTTTAAGAATTGCATTGAACAATAAAAAACCGTTGGATTGAATTATTTATAACAATTATTATATATCTGCATGCTACTTGCTTGCTTTGTTGGCTGTGCTGTTACTCACTGCACCTGAGCTTTGAGTTTATAAATTGCCACTTTTGCTAGTGAGCTACAATCATTTTCAAAGTCCTATTCTACTCCTTGTAGCATCTTTGGCAAATTTGGCTTTGTTTGCCAGGCTCAACCATTGGATTGAATGATTTATAACAATCATAAATTGCCAGACATCAGTTTGCTGATGTTTGATTAAGTGTTTGGAGTAGTCCCTGAAATGCTCATTTAACAGGTTGCTCCATTTGCTTTTTAAAACTTTATTATGAACCAAAAACTGGGCAAAGTTAAAGATGAGCCTCACCTTCTTGGTTAAATTCCCCTAGCCTACTCTATTAAGCTTGTGAGAGTTTATTAAAAGATCAGAATTCATAAGCATCTAATTAAAGAGATAAAACAAAATGACAATTAAATTGAAAAATCCAGTCACAATATAGATGATTTTCTCAAGAGAAAACTCGTCTCTTGAAATAGCCATGCTCCAAGGCAGCTCTGGTAGTGATGAGATCAAAACAGCCAAAGAAATTATCTGAAGAAATACAAAACAAATAACACAAAAAGTGGAAAAGAAGAAAAAAAAAACCAAAGTCGTATGTATCACAGACGCTTAAGCATCACTTCTGATCAAATCCAGATAAACCATATTTGATGCTCACCTGACAAAAGGATGTTGGTGGCTGCCACAATCAATCCCTTTGAGAAAAAAATGCCTGGAAAGAGCACTAGGGCAGAGGACCACAATGCTTTGCAAGAAAGCAGAAGGCCTAAAAGGGTTAATTTAACATACTACTTTAGTGAATATATTAGCCATGAGAATGTAGCTTGTAGCTTTCTTCTCATCTACCCTCAGCAGAGATTCAAAAGCAAACCTCCCAATTTCCACATTCTGCCACTTGTGACATGCAGCCAAAAGAGAAGTCCACGTAACCACGGTTGGCTCCAATGGCATAGACTTCACCATTGCCACGGCAGCATCCAGCTCATTTGCCCTCCCCAGCATATCCACCATACAATGGTAGTGCTCTCTCCCAGCCTTGATCCCATACCTCGCCACCATTTCCTGGAAATATTTCCTTCCACTGGCCACCTCGCCCGCATGGCTACACGCTGTGAGAACCGAGAGCAACGTAACACCGTCTGGCTCCACTCCACTCTCACGCATCCTCTCCAAATTCTCCACAACACGACCTGTGAATCCCTGTGACGCATAGCCAGCGATCAAAGCGCTCCAAATCTTGACAGAGCTACTGCCGCCGCTGCTGCTAGTGACGATCGAATCGAAAACTTCCTGAGCAGCGGCCAAGTTCCCGGACTTCGCGTAGAAATCCACTAGCGAGTTTGCGAGGAACTTGTCACTCTCGAGGCCCTGCCTGCAAATCCGTGCGTGGATTTCTCTGCCGGTCTCGAGCGATGCTAGCTTCCCGCAAGCTACCAGCGCAGCTCCAAGTGTTCTTCCGGGGATTGGATTTAACTCTAGCAGCTCTTGGAGGGCTGCAAAGAGCTCCAGTGCGAGCTCGGCTTCTCCATTTCCTGCGTAGCCATGTAGCAGTGAGTTCCACGAGATCAAGCTATGGCTTACCATCTTGTCAAACACCGCTCGAGCATCAACCATGCTTCCACACTTTGCGTACATATCCATCAAAGCGCCGGCTACAAAACCATCACGCTCGAATCCACTGCTTGCAACGTGAGAGTGAATCTCCATACCTCTTTCCAGGCACTTGACTTTGACGATCTTTCCAAAAGCTTCAACGCCATCTTCGTCGGCAGCCAAGCTCGCGCAGGCCATCGATGCAGCGGCGTAAGTTCGAGCGTCTCGCGAGCACTTCATTCGCGAGTAGAGCTCCAAAGCGCGCTCGCTTTCGCCGTTCTCCGTGTAGCCGAGGATCATACTCGTCCAGGACACGGCGTCTTGCTGGTTCATGCTGTCAAACACTGCCTTAGCATCCACCAAGCTTCCACAAGTGGAGTACATACCGATCATAGCGTTTGATACGTAGATGTTTGAGTCGTGTAAGTTCTTGGCTGCCTCGCTGTGGAGCAATCTTCCTCGCTCGAGCCACTGGAGCTTTTTATCCGATTCTTCTCTCGCTGCTAAACTCGTAGCTGCCGTGATCGCCGCGACGAATGCTCTGGCATCAGGATCAAAGCCTCTGAGAGCTACCATTCTCGCGAACAGATCTAGCCCGAGCTCGGCCTCTTCATTTTCCACACAGCCAAGTATGAGCGACGTCCAGGAGACCACTGAGTGCTGCTTCATTCTGTCAAACACCGCCCTCGAGTCCCGTAAACTTCCACACCTGGCATAGAAGTCGACCAGGCTGTTCTCGACAAAGATGTCGTTGTCGTCGTCTTCATCGCAGTTGCTGCTTCTCAAGAACTTCGAGTGTATTTCCATCCCTTTTATCAGGCAACCGAGCTTGACAAACTTATCGTCGACTTCCAGGCCTTGCTCCTTGCTTGCCGAACTAGCCAAAGCCATGATCACCGCGAGAAAAGTCCGAGAATCTGGAACGCAGCCTTGCTGATCGAGCATACTGCCGAAGAGCTCCAAAACCATTTTTTCCTCTCCGTGAGTGGCATAGCCGAGTAGCAAAGCGTTCCAACAAGCTGTGCTACGAAGACAAGAACTCGTCCCCGTCCCTTCAAACACTTCTCGAGCGTCATCCAAACTCCCACACTTGGAGTACATACTGATCAAGCTGCTGGCAACGTAAGCGTTGGAGGCAAGCCCACTCTCGATCGCCTCCAAATGGAGCTCCTTACCAGTCACTACATCCCTGGAAGCGCTGCAAGATCTTAGCGAGGATAGCAACCTGGAAATGCGACGTTCTTCCTGTTCTTGAGAGCTAAAACTCGTCGTGATCGCGAAACTGTGCTGTGCCAGGGAGTTTTCGCCGAGCCTGGATTGAACCCATCGAGGGCAGTAGAGCGATCCAATCCACAAACTCTCCCCAGTCTCCACATTCTTGAAATCTGGAAGATTTTGCCACTAAAAACTAGGCATTGCGATGGAGCAAGAAGAACAGGTCTTACATCTTTCTTAGCTCTGTTGTCCCGCCACACTCCTGGATTCCGGAAGAGATCGAGCCACTTGCGCTCCTCTTGCAAGATGCGATCTCCATCGCCAGGAAAACAGCAATGGTTGCGCCAAGCGATCCTCCGGTAGAGCATCAAAGACAAGCCCGCCCTAATTTCCAAAATACCGGTATATTCTAAACAGAATATGCTTAGCGAATAGAGCGGTATATTCTAAATCTAGACGGAATATCCTTATTTACAAAAAAAGAAAGTTTCGTATATTCGATCTAAAAGCCTAGTAAAATTTCTTGACCCTTGGTTTCATATAGAAACTTGGTCTTGTAATGCACAGACATGTCGAGGCTCCACATCATGATCCCGGGCAATCTTCCACTCGTTTCATTGACGATCCTGTGAACTCCCGCAAAGAAATCATCCCCCTGGATGCCTCGATCGCGCACCTGGAGACTCACCAGCGTCTTGTCCACGCCGAAGATCTCCGCTTTCCGGTTGTAGTTGGCCACGAACTTGTCCACCGAGGGCGCATTCCTGGTCGTATAGAACTGATAGTTGACATAATCGATCGTGGAGTTGTAGCTCTGGAAGAGTTCGATGTACTGCGGATCGATGTTCTCGAATGGAGCGATGGTGGCGATGGTGATGATCTTGTCAGCTTTGAGCCTGGTGATAAGCTCGCCAATGCAATACGCGAAGGTGGTGTTCTCGCTGTGGAAGCTCTCATAATCGATGTCGATCCCATCAAGCGAGTAAGTGCGGACGATCTTGGCGATGGAGTTGTGGGCATTTTTTATCCAGGCTTCCGGATCTTTCGGATCATACCAGAAGAGGATTTTATCTTTCCCGGCCCGGGTATAGACACTCCAGCCCCCCAAACTCATGAGAACTTTGACGTTGCTTCGCGAGGATTTGATCTCCCGGACAGACTCTGGAGTGAGATCTTCGGACCACACCTGGCTGAAGATCCCGTTTCGCGGCTTGCCATCTTCGTCGGCATCGACGGCGAAGCTGAGGATGAAGTAGAAATCTACAGCCGCCTCGATTGGAACCTCGGCGAATGTCACAGAGTATCCCTCGGCTCCAAGGTACTCTGCGAAGATCTTTCTCTTGGCTTGCGGTGGAACCGTCGAATTATCTGCAAAGGTCGAACGTTTCTATCCACTTTCCATTTCTACGAATCGATTTCTTACCTTGAATTGAAGCTGAGGATCCAAGAACAAGCAAAAGCAAAGCGCCCACAACATAAGAAATCGTCATCGCCATGGCTACTGCTCAAACAAATCTGGGATTTTCTTCTTCTCCTCGGGGAATTTCGAGTTCTTCGTCACTGGTTCTAAGTACTCTGCCACGAAAGCGTGTGGCAATGTTTCTATGCGAGCCGACCAACGCTAAAACCAAAGCGCGGAACTATTTGGATGAACTTGCTCGATCCGGGCGAATCCCAGCCGTCAGCAAACTTTTAAACAGGGCCGTTGGATCTTACAAGTTTCAAATGGTTTCAGCCCTAACGAATATCTCCCAGCTGCACGTAGCATATTCCTAATCTACGGTCTCCTCACAACCCCAATTTTTATTGGCGATGGCTTCCTCCACAGATGGCGCTGCCGGGCGCGGCGATGGCGATGGAGACGATTCTAAGAGCAGCGCTGCCGTTCTTCCCGATCATTTCGTCCCGGAGAGCACGAATCTCCCAGCTTACTCTTGCGTGATCAAGGGGGTGGGCGATGCGATGTCGGGCGCCGTCATGGGCAGCGTCTTTGGTTTTGGTATGTTCTTGCGGTTTCTTTCCAGCTTGCTCGAGAATGTGAGCGATCGAGGATGTCTTGTGGCAGGCACTGGGCTGTTCCAGAAGAAGGGTTTCAAGGGAGCTCTCCACTCTGGTGCTTCATCCGCCAAGGTACCATAAACTCTTCTCTTTCCGGAAGACAATTCCAATGCTTCTCGCTTCTCCAGACCTTCGCGATTCTATCCGGCATACATGGATTTGTGACGACTCTCCTGATCCAAATCCGTGGAAAGAAAGATGGTATGCTGCTCTTTTCTCGGAATTTTTTTTCTAAACTTTCTTGCAGCGATCAATGCTGGAATCGCTGGTTGTGCCACCGGCATTGCTCTCAGCGCTCCAGGTTCGCATTTCTATCAAACATAGATCTTATAGAACTTAAAACTTCTTTGCTCCATCGCCAGGGAATCCAGCAGCGCTCTTGCAAGGCTGCGCAACGTTTGGGGTGTTCTCCTACTTTGTGGAAAGGATGAACACCACCCAGCCAGCGATCGCAGCGACGCTAACCGGCAAGAAAAAATCCAGGGACAAAAATCGCGGCAACGAGCTCCATGGATTCCCGGTGCTGCCGCCATTCACTCTCGCTCCAGCTTTCATGGACGGCTACGACGCTCTAAATCTCCCCAAATTGCAGCTACTGGGCTTCGGCAACGAGCGCAGCAGCGCAAAGTTTTTGTAAAACTCTCGAGTGTAAAGATGAGCTCTTTTAAGATTTTGCTTCAATCGCAGCCGTTGAATCTAAAACCAATCTCGGCCGCTGATCTAAGCCAATCGCAGTCGTTCGTTTGTTAGTATGATTTTAGGGCTCTTGACGGCTTCGCCATTTAGGGCTTGTCAGTAGGGTTTTTGAGGCGGAGGAGAAATCTCGGCGCCATGGGGCACACCGCTGTGTGGAACTCGCATCCGAAGAAGTATGGACCTGGATCTAGGCAGTGGTAAGGATTCTCTCGATCTTCTTCTTCTCTAGCGCGAAGGAATTTGATCGATGTTTTGCCCTGGATTTCCAGCCGGGTCTGTGGGAATGGCCACGGCCTCATTCGCAAATACGGGATAATGTGCTGCAGACAGTGCTTCAAGACTTACGCCAAGGACATTGGCTTCATCAAGGTGCGTGGCGAATTTCTCTCTCGTTTTGCTCTTGCCGGGACTAAAATCTTTGCGCCTTTCGTGTTCTTCCAGTACCGGTAGAGTGAAATCGAGCTCCAGGAAGTTCTCAATCTAGGAAAAATGGATCCGCGAGAGAGGCGATCGAAATTTTGACAAGAAAAAAAAAACCATGTAGCTTGAGTTCTTCCCGGAATGAAATTGTTCTCTGTTTTTCCTTGATCGAACCGAGTGTTTTAAAGTTTTTACTGCGTTGGGAAGGTCACATTCTACTGTCTCGTCACGAGATTTAATCTCTGTTACAGTTTAAACGCGTGGCAGAGCTGGCACCGTCGAGATGAGCTGTGATCGACGGTGAGTGGTAGATGGGGCTATGGCTGCTCGTGGATGAATAGCACTCCGCGAGATCGATCGATCGATTTAGCAACTTAGCTCCCGATCGAGGCGATCGCCGGGAAAAAGCGAAGAATGGAGGCATCCGCGACAGTAATGGTTCATACAAAGGCTCGGGAATTCAGATGCTAGGCGCCATCGCGACACAGGATTCCTCTTCCTCCTCCTCCTCCTCCTCCTCCTTGATTCTTCCTTCTAGATGTAGGACGCGATATTTCGATCCATCCATCCATGAAGAGCGCATTTATGGTGAGCCAGCACCGATTGATCACGCTGTGCGTCGCGATAATCTGCCTCCTCCTCACGGCGCTCTACGGCTCGCTCCCGATCCAGATCACGCTAGGCAGGATCGCCAAGAGCATACGCTCCGAGTCTAGGCTGGGGATCTCCAGGACGAGCGGCAAGAACGCCAAGCTCAAGGTTTTCATGTACGAGCTCCCCAGGAAGTACAATTTCGGGCTCTTCAACAGGGATGGCCCGGCGCAAGAGATCCCGTGGAAGAATCTCAGCAATCTCCCCGGGCCGCACACCCAGGGATTGAAGAAGCAGCACAGCGTCGAGTACTGGATGACGCTGGATTTGCTCGACGAGGGGGGGCGAGAATTCCGAGCCGCGCAGCGAGTGAGCGATCCCGGCGAGGCGGATGTGTTCTTCGTGCCATATTTCGCGTCGCTGAGCTTCAATGTGTTTGGGGTGAGCATGAGGGATCCAGAGACCGAGCACGACAAGAAGTTACAGGTAAGATCTCTCGCGCTTTGGATTTTTCTTCCCTTCCTTGTCTTGACCGATCTACCAAAAGCTTTAGAACTTCTTAGAGTTTTGGAACTTCTCAGTGGTTTTCTTCGCCCAAAGTTTCTCTAGAGCGATTGATCGAGCGATGGTTTGATTCACAGGTGGGGATGATCGAGTATCTGAGCAAATCACCGTGGTACCAGAGGTCGGGGGGCCGAGATCACGTACTCGTACTCCACCACCCAAACGCGTTCCGGTTCCTCAAGGACCGCCTCAACTTGTCGCTCTTGGTGGTGGCGGACTTTGGGCGATTTCCCAAGGGTGTCGCGGCGCTTCACAAGGACGTCGTGGCGCCTTACAGCCATATGGTCCCGACTTACAATGGCGATGATGGGACCGATCCATTCGAGGAGAGAACAACGCTGCTCTTCTTCCAAGGACGAGTCAAGCGCAAGGATGTGAGTGAATTCCTTTCTTTTTTCGCAGCGCCCGCTTAGAATATGATTCTTTCCTCCTTTTGGTCAGGATGGTGTCGTGAGGACTCAGCTGGCGGCCATTCTGGAGAACCAGCCGCGCGTCCACTTCGAGGAAGGAATCGCCACGAACTTCACTGTAGAACAAGTAAGAAGAAAAACTCGAGAGATTTCTTTCAATAAGCTGGAAGGAAGGAGGAACTCTTACTTTGCTTTGCTTTTGTTTGCGCAGGCCATGCAAGGCATGCGGAGCTCCAGGTTTTGTTTGCACCCAGCCGGCGACACGCCTTCCTCGTGCAGGCTCTTTGATGCGATTGTAAGTCACTGCGTCCCTGTGATCGTCAGCGACAAAATAGAGTTACCATTCGAGGACGAGCTCGACTACTCCGAGTTTAGCCTCTTCTTCTCGGTGGACGAGGCGGTCAGGCCGGGATTCCTCCTCGGGGCCCTGGAAAAGTTCTCGAAGAGAAGGTGGATGAAAATGTGGAGGCGGCTCAAGCAAGTCACCAGGCACTTTGAGTATCAACACCCCTCTCAAAGGGACGATGCTGTCAACATGCTGTGGAGCCAGATCCACAAGAAAGTTCCGGCGATGAAGCTAGCAATGCACAGAGCCAAACGACTTAAGATCCAAGACTGGTGGAAGTGTAAAAGGTTATAATACCAACCAGAGAAACTTACACAGAACGTCGTAAGGACAGGAACTACAGATTCTACAAGCTCATGGCTGAAAGCTTGGAAGTCACGTCCATGCTTCCTGGATCCGAGACAGGGCTCTCCCCGAGTGAAGGGGAACAAAGAACGAGGCCTGCAAAGGAAGAACTTGTATCAAACCGAGCGAGCTATAAGCGTACCTGAAGTTCGAAAGGGACTGAGTGGAGGAAGGGCGATTGGAGAGTGGATCTCTCGATCGCTGGAGCTTTCCGGGGGCCGCAGAAGCTTGCACGTCTTCGGAGGAGAGAGAGTTGTGGACGAAGACCTGGACGCATTGGAGAAGAGTCGGGGATACTTGTTGAGAATGTCCGCCGGCTGGGGCGTTGCGAGCTCCACCGACGATGGACTCTGGGCCGATCGAAGAAGAAACGATGGCGTCGATAGGCAGGACGAGGAGCTGCTCACACTTGGTCGACGAAGACGGACTGATCGGGGTGGCGAAGGCATGGCCGGAGTGATTGTCTCGGGGGTGTTCGCGAACGAGACTCGCTTGGTGCTGTTGGAAGTGGATGGCGTCGCTGCTTGAGATCCAAAACGGACCTTCTTCAAGTTGGAAGAGCTCGGGTTTCGCTTGCTCGCGGACGAGAGCTCGGGGGTGAAGTGCAAAACTTTCCTGGAATCATCTCGAGCTCCGGGAACCAGCGGCGAATCGCTCAGGCCGAGCATTTTCTCGACGGTGGGAACGATGGGAATGAGATCGTCGTTGGTCACGTCTTCTCGGCCGAGTCTACTCTCCACGGTTCTCTCTGGACGCTTTGCCACCTCCAAGAAAAATCGGTGCCAGTCCTACATTTAAAGAGAAACCTTGTGAAATTTTCTTCTTTTTCTTGGGGAATTTGCGTACCTGGAGCGTGTCCTCGACGCTAGACATCGCTCGCGTGAAATTATCGATCTCCTCCACGGACAGCTTCTCGGAGAGCTTCTTCTTGTGGATTCCAGTAACCAGCGAGTCGATCTGCCAGAAATTTCGAGCTCCAAGACTGAATGGAATGGGGGAATTCTTGCTTACCCTCTCGATCAGCCGAGCCACGGAGCTGTGGACGACATGGAGCCGCCTCAAAGGGCTGGACGATTTCTTGCCTCCCGCATCCGGCTGCTTGTTGGTGATGACATCGAGAGGATTGCGCTTCTTTGGATGTGGAGTCCCCTTGTACTGCGATCGCTTCATAGCTCGCCCCTTCGCCGCGAAATCTCTGCGCGTAGCGCCCAAGAGCCCTAGAAAAATGCTAGAGAGGTCGGACACGGACCGTCGATCTTAGCGGGCCATTGCAACGTCTACTTTCAGTGGTTTAAAAGTAGCGCCGTACGCTCCATCCGTACTGTGGTGCCGATCTAACGGACAAGGAAGCTCCGGCGGGAATCCCGTTGGGTTCGTTGAATCTAGGGTTTGGGCGATGGAGGGATTAGGGCTCGGGGATCGTGTCTCGCGCGATCCAGATCGGCCGCGCTGATGCCGCTGGAGGCGCGCTAAATGGAGCAGCGGCGCGGATCCGTGATCGATATGGCGCGCTCCGTCTCGGCGTCGTGGACGGGAATGCCGCCCCTGTTTCTGCTGCGATCGGAGGATATGTCGCTCGTCCGGATGGTGATTCCAGTAGAATCGGCGCACGACACTGTTGCCTACCTCGGGCAGCTCGGCATGCTCCAATTTCGCGATGTGAGTGAACAGATTTCGTTTTCCTCGATCTAGTATTCGATCTTTTCTTCTTCGCAGTTAAATCCTGGAAAAAGTCCCACTCAACGGATCTACGCAAACCAGGTACTATAGATTTTTTTCTGTGTGTAGAAAGGAGATATTTTTGGAGCTCATTGAAAGCTCTCCAGGTAAAACGATGCGGTGAAATGGGTCGGCAGCTCAGATATTTCAAGAGTCAAATAGAGAGCGCAGGCATTCTAATAGCGGCAAGGTCAACGATTGAGAAGGACGTCGATCTGGATGAATTGGAGGTAAGCTTTCCAGCTGCATTTTCTACGACTTTTATCATTCTTGCTGTTTTCATGCAGGTGAAACTTTCAGAGTATGAAACTGAGCTCAAGGAAATAGCATCAAACAGCGCGAGGCTATTTCGGAGTCATGCGGAGCTGACAGAGTTTCAACTGGTTTTGTTGAAGGTAGTAACTTTGCTGGCGCTTTGGAAACAGTTCGTTTCTTATGCTTGTTTCATTTCACAAGGCTGGTAGATTTTTTACCTCCGGACGTGCAGAGGCAGCATTTGCACAACGGGAGTACGACGATTTCGAGGGGTCTATGGATAGTCCCCTCCTCCTTATAGAGCAAGAGATGCAAACCGATCCGACGAAAGGGCAGCTTGGATACGTAACTGGATTGATACCCAAACTTAAGACTATACAGTTCGAACGCATTTTGTTCCGAGCAACCAGAGGCAACATGGTCTTCAAGTCGTCAGTCGTCGAAAGGCCTGTGACCGATCCTGCAACCGGTGAGAAGGTAACGGAAAACTTTTTTCTACTCGGTGTTAAAGATAGTATTCATCTACAGGTTGAAAAGTCTGTGTTCGTCGTGTTCTTTTCTGGAGAAAGAACACAGGCTAAGATCGTTAAAATCTGCGATGCATTTGGTGCTAGCCGCTATCCTTATCCCGAGGAGCCTAGTTTACAGAGACAAATGAGATCGGAGGTGTATCCTTTTCCAGTTTTTGGTGTTTGTGAATGTAATGAGGGAGTGTCTTACAGGTCGCAGGAAGATTGTCTGAGCTGAAGTCCACATTGGATGCGGGTACCAGTCATCGCGATACAGTTTTAGCAGGGATTAGCTACCAACTAGACTTTTGGATTTTGATGGTGAGGTTCGTCCATCTCAATTTGCTTCTCTAATTCGTTTTCTGTGGTAGGTTCAAAGAGAGAAGGCTGTGTATCATATCATGAATAAGTTTAACATGGACGTTACTAGAAAGTGTTTAGTAGCTGAAGCATGGTGTCCAACCGAGAATAAAACTCAGGTATGTTGAACTTGTGGGCTTTATAAGCTGACTTTATATGTGAAAAGCAGGTTCAAGAAGCATTAATGCGCGCAACAGTCGACAGCAACTCACAAGTCGGCACCATTTTTCAGGAGATTAGAACAAAGGATTTACCGCCAACATTCTTCAAGACTAACAAAATTACAGGGGCTTTCCAAGGAATCGTCGATGCTTATGGGTAACAGCAAGCTCTTTCTGGCTTTCACGTTTCGTTCTTACTGTGTTAACTGTCAGTGTAGGGTGGCGAGATACAAGGAAGCAAATCCTGCTGTGTATACAATAGTTACTTTTCCGTTTCTTTTCGCTGTGATGTTTGGGGATTGGGGGCACGGGATTGTTCTTCTCTTGGCAACGCTTTACCTCATTCTGAATGAAGGGAAACTTGGCAGCCAGGTACCTTGACGCTTTGTTTTCATTTACTAGTAAAGCTGGGAGAACTTTGAAAGTTTTCACTGCTAGTAAAATTTATCATTCGCATTGATCCCTTCCAGCATGGTGCATACAGAAATTGGGCGACATAATGGGAATGGCGTTTGGAGGCAGATATGTGATCTTGCTGATGTCGATCTTCTCGATATATACGGGGTTTATCTACAACGAGTTTTTCTCGGTGCCGTTTCGAATATTTGGAGAGTCTGCGTACGTTTGCAGGGATCCTTCGTGCAAGTAAGTCTCTATTTGCATTTGGTAAAGGTTTTGTGTTTTTGGATTAACTGAATTGTTGCGTAGGGACTCACGTACAGCGGGTTTGATAAAACGACCTGGCTATACATATCCGTTTGGATTCGATCCCGTATGGCATGGCTCTAGATCGGAACTACCATTTTTGAACTCCGTGAAGATGAAGATGTCCATTCTTCTCGGTGTTGTGCATATGAACTTGGGTCTGGCTTTGAGCTATTACAACGCCAGCTACTTTAACGAGCCACTTGATATCTGGTAAGTGTGCCATTCATTTCCATACTGCATTACCGAAACGATCAAGTAACTCAACCTTTCCAGGTATCAGTTTGTTCCGCAGATCCTGTTCCTTGGCTCCTTATTTGGATACCTGTCGCTGCTTATTATAATCAAGTGGTGCTCTGGTTCCCAAGCGGACTTGTACCACGTGATGATTTATATGTTCTTAAGCCCAACGGATGATCTTGGGCCAAACCAGCTTTTTTCTGGACAAACGGAGGTTCAGGTAAGGTTCTTTTTAATTATTTTTCGAGTTTAACATCTCTTTTTATTCAAGTGCTTTCTGCTATTAATTGCTGTCGTGGCGGTTCCAACAATGCTTTTGCCGAAGCCATTGGCTTTGAAAAAACGACATGAAGAGGTATTGCACTCTTTCTTGAGTGATGACTTTACAATATGGTTTTACAGAGAACGCACGGGCGTTCTTATGGCATATTGAATGCTGGCTCGGATGGTGAATCCGTTGACAACGAGCACGACCACCACCACGGCGAGGAAGAATTCGACTTTGGTGAGACCTTCGTCCACCAAATGATAGAAACCATTGAGTTCGTGCTAGGTGCTGTGTCGAACACAGCTTCCTATCTCCGGCTGTGGGCTCTCAGGTAAACCAACTTTGTTTTCGTTTGTTTCGTGCTCCTGACGTGTTTAGCTTTCCACAGCCTCGCTCATGCCCAACTCTCGGCCGTGTTTTACGATAAAGTCTTGATCCTGGCATGGAGGTATGTGGTCTTTCTCCACTTTTTTTGCTTTTATGAAGCGAACTCTTTTGAATTGATGCAGTTACCACAACACCATGATTCTCATCATCGGTGGCTTCGTCTTCATCTGTGCAACCGTGGGGGTGTTGCTAATCATGGAGACGCTCAGCGCATTCCTCCATGCGCTTCGTCTTCACTGGGTAGAGTTCCAAGGCAAGTTTTACGGGGGCGATGGCTACCAGTTTGAGCCATTTTCATTTGCAACACTCGAAGAAGACGATCAAGGTTGAAATCAAACATATCAAACGTTTTTGTAGCTACATTGTTAGATATAGATGGCTATATACATTGTGTAAATGCGAACTCTTTCTTCTAAGACTGGTTGAGGAACACTGCTGTGTCAAAATCGCTGTCCATTTGCATGTTGTTAGTATCGTTTTGTTGCGCAACAAAGCCTCCATTGCTATACAAACTTCCACCTCCATTTTCATCTCCATTGCTATACCCATTTCCATCTCCATGTACACGGTGGCTATACAAACCATGGAAGATTTGCTGGTGGTCATTCCTGGGAGGAAACATCGAATCTAGCTGACCATTCGGGTGATCGTCCAAGTGACCATGATCATTGTGGTGATTCCCTGCGTGACCATTTACATAATTGCCTAAGTGACCATTCGCGTGATCGCCCAGGTTTAAGAGCTGGAAGTGATCAGGAAGAACTTCAGCACTGGACGTGAAAAATCCACCACTACTTGCATCGTCCGTGAAGAACATCCCATCTTGATCTTGGCCTTCAGCTTCTGCAAACATCCTGTCAACTTCATCGTCACCAAAGCTATCCTCGCTGCTGCTGCTGTTCGAGGCAATCACTGACTCCACCGTGATCTTTGGTGGGAGTTTTTGTGGAGCGCTGGGATCGGACGAGTAGAAGAAGTGCTTCTTACCAGAGTCATAGATGACCGTGACTTCCACCTTAGCGCCACACAAGACCTGAAGCTCGATTGCCTTCTTGAACAAACCTTCGGTTCTCTTGCGGAATGTTTGTGTCCGCGGGTTGTTCTTCACAAGATACTTGATATCAATCTTTCTCCTGCCCATCCCTCTTCTCTGCATTTACCAACTTTTCTTTTCTTTTTAAAAACCTTATAAGAATAAGCCGGATATGTCTCTTTTGTTATGTATGGTCAATTATTTTATTTGATTTTATACTGCATTACAAAATCATTAGTTATATTTTTGCCATTCAATATAGCCTAGGATTTTCATAGCTTTTGGTCTTTGTTGATGGGATTTAGTTGTTTGGTTCCGCAACTACCATCTCTTTCTCCCATGCTAGACAACACTTTGCATTGCTTGGCAAACAAACTCTTGTTGTTCCACATATAACCAAGGGTCACAGAAGGCATTTATTCATTTCCCTCCTAACAATTTCAAACACTTTTTAACTCTTTTTTCAAAGTTTTTAAATTCATTGTTTTCTTGATAGCTTCGTCCACCATGGCCATCTCAGCTGTGACCAACGCAAAACTTAGTCGGGAAGTCGACCAATTAACATTATTATGATTTAAAGTAAATGTTAACCTTATTTCGGGTTGGTTAGGGTTCTTAGCTACAGCAATGGGGGATTACGAGGAAAAGGCCCAGGAATACGAGAAGAAGGCCGAGAAGAAGCTCAAGGGCTGGAATCTCTTGGGTGGCAAGTATGACGACGCTGCCGAGTATCTGGAGAAGGCCGCCAATAACTACAAGCTTGCCAAATCATGTAAGAAGTTTTTTTTGTTCTTCTTGTCACTGTGATTCCTCGATCAGGGGATAGAGGAGCCGAATGCTACCTCAGGCTTGCAGAAGTTAGCATGAAGGTAGAATAAAGTTTAAGTTCGTTCCAGGGAGCTGCGATAAAAGATAAGTTTTTTTTTGAACTAGATGGAGAGCAAGCCCGAAGCAGCACAATCTTATGTGGAAGCTGCGAAATGCTACATGAAGAAAAGACCAAAAGGTAACCTCAGAAAAAAAAAGAGGAAGAAGAGCATGTCGTTTTTTTTTCTTGAGAGCTTCTTGCGTTAACTTAGAGGCCGTGAAGATGCTCAATATGGCAACCAAGCTTTTCATGGAGCTTGGAAGATTGTCCGTGGCGGCCAAGCATTTCAAGGTTAATCGCTGACATTCTTCTCATGAGAACGTAAGGAAAGAGCTCGGGTTTGATCTTCTCTATTGACACTGGCCTTGTAAAAACTTTAAAAACCAGGACATTGCGGAGATATATGAGAAGCAAGAGGATTTGGAGTTTGCAGTCCAATTTTACGAGAGAGCAGCGGATTTATACCAGGGCGAGGAGGTGAACACCACAAGCAACCAATGCAAATTGAGAATTGCAGAGCTCTCAGCTCAACTGGAGCAGTAAGAACTTCACAAAATTTCTTTTATCGTTTCTTTGCTCCCTCTAACTATGTCTCTTTCAGATATCCAAGAGCTATCGAAATCTTTGAGGCCATTGCCAAAAGCTCCATGGATAACAATTTGACAAAGTACAGCGTCAAAGGCTACTTGCTCAATGCGGGGCTGTGTCAAATGTGTGGTGCTGACCCGATTGCCGTGAGCAATGCTCTCGAGAGATACCAGGTATGTATGTTCATTTAATCCTTCTCTCATTTCGCCATGGAACACAACGTTCCTTCGATATCCAGGACTTGGATCCAACGTTTCAAGACACACGGGAGTGCAAGTTCCTCAAGGTTTGTGAAGATTCAACGAATCCTCCATAGCTTTTTTTTTGTTGGATTATTTGCAGGAGCTGGCCGAGACGATCGAGCAAGAAGATGCGACCAAGTTCACGGACGCTGTCAAGGAGTATGACAGCATTAGCCGGCTGGTAAGAGCTCTCTCTCTCTCTCTCTCTCTCTCATATTTTGTGCCATATCATAGGATCCATGGAAAACAACGATGCTCTTACGTGCAAAGAAAGCGTTGAAAGCAAAAGAGGAAGAGGAAGAAGAGTTAACATAGAACTATTTTCCTTGTTAAACAGTTAGGACTTTTTAGCCCTAATACTTGCTCCAAAGCCAAGGCGCACATTCAGCAAGATATACCAACCTGCGCCTTCATCTTGCAGCTTCGCATTGTCAATAGTAGTAGAAGAAGTTCTTTTCTCCTGTGTTGATGTTAACAAGTCGCAATTTGAATACTGTACAATTGGTGGTCCATGACATTGATGATATGGACAACACAACAAATGTTTCATGGTCAACATCACAACTAGTGGAAGAACGGAATTGGACCTATTCCTCACCGTTTAAAGTGGCTGCCTTATAAGTACCCTGATGCTTGCGGGGTTCCACAAAGGTTGAATGCCTGGAGCTATGTACGTGCCGACAGGGAGTTTGAGATGCACGACAAGAACAAAGACAGCCTCATATCTCTTCTTTACCGAGGCTCTCAGTAAGTGCTTGCTGTCTTTGCGGACGATGCAAGTAGTGGTGACAGCATTTTCAGCATAGATCATTTTAGCAAATTGCTTCACCTAGGCTTTGAAAACTAGTCTCGTATGCCTCTAAAACTGGGTGGTGTAAAACTCGTGCAATCGGGGGGGGGGGGGCTGGCTCTGGCGAACTTGATGCACGTCAATTGGAGAGCTAGTGGGCAGAATGCGTTAGGTTTTACCATCCTCAAAACTTGGAAGGCAACAGAGAACTCTGGCGTTAGACCCTAAGCCCTAGGGCTCGGAAATCTGCACCGTTGGATTTTAATCACTTGAAATTCCGAGCTTCGGTGAGCTAGGGTTTTGGTCTGACGCAGATCTAAGGGGGTTTATAGGGTTTTAGCAGCGATGGAGTGGGTATCTGGAGGTCCAGGGAGCCGAGGGCGATGGAGCTCGGCCACAGTGTGGAGCATTTCATCACTCGCAGGCGCTCTTCGCGGCTGCGGTCGGGCAACACATCACTGGTGAGATTTCCGAGGTGAATTCTCCGAATTGACGCGAGGACTTCGCGTGATCCGGAAATTTCAGTAAGAATGTGAGAGGGTTGGCTGATGGTGGTGAATTTTCTTGCAGAGTTCGATGCTCTCACGGGCTGTAAGCTCTCAATATGAGCTTCAATATTGGAGCTTCCGTCGTGCGTATGGCATATAGTCCTGCTGGCGGGCATGTAATTGTCGCAGTTCTAGAGGTATGATACAGCTCTTGGCATAGATCTTTTGCATGAATTGGATTCTTTTTTTTTTCCTCCCAGGATTGGAGCATTGAGTTGTGGGTGGGATCTAGATACCGAGCACACGCATTTTCTTTATTCTCCAGCCAAGAAAACAGACAGGATCCCAGAAAAGATGGACATATACATTACTCTGGCACCACTTCGACCGTGGCTGTTCTTTGGAACGTATGTAGTCTTTGTCTTGTATCAAGATAAACTTTTGATGCGTCACGTTTGATTGTAGTTGTTTACCTGTTTGCTTCTGGATGCTAAATGTTCATTAAACTTGGCAGCACTCCAGAGGGATCAAATCCAGTATCAGCTCTTCCCTGGCATTCTATGTTGCGGTTACTTGTGACTCTTTCAAAGGATGCCGTGGTGCAGGTGTGGAGGATGCGTGCGAACTTCTTCAAGTCTGCAAGTAACATAATACTGGTTATTCAATATACGGGTAGGCGTTGAAAGTTTGGATGTTGCTAAGGTTCTGGCTCAATGTAGTGGTGACACTACATACCCTGTCCCGAGGATCACTGATTTTCCGAAGCTGAATAGCAACAATATTGTTTACGGTACGCTATATAATGGATTTCTTATGTGAAGCCGAATTTTCTTATAATAGAGCAACAGTAGGGAAGAGGAAGCGAAAAGAAGAGCATCAGCTCTGTCGGGAAGCAGTTATCTCTGTGCTACAGAGTGGGGCTCTCCAGGTTGGATTTAGCATTTGTAGGCATCCAGTAAAGCTCTTGACCTCCTCCTGGTCAGTTGCGAGAGAAGCGGATTTGCTCGAGTGCTCGACTTGCCAAGTATGCGTCCACTCCTAGCTTATCTTCCGGGGTGATTTGTTTCCCTCCTGGACATCGTTTTGGCTATCTCATTGCCTGCCAGGCGATGGCTTCTCCTTCTCTGTCTGGATCAGAAGCTAGAACCATCCCCTGTCCCTTGAGTGCTGTTTTGATCGGCTGGCGAGTACTTCCAACACCTCACATTTCTGGCCTTCAACCCTCCAGCTTGCAGCTCCTGTGTATGCATAATATGCGTCTTCGCAATTGACAACTTCCACCTGAGCGAGAGAAGAGAAGCGTTGTTTTTTCTCCCTGTGCGAATGGAAAACATCTAACGAGGAAGATCTTACCTGTGATGTCAGTAGCTTAGCAATGCCGTCATCCTTGGAGGCGGCCATTGCTTGGAGTGCAGTACGTCGTCCTCCCGTCAAAGGTTTCCTCCTATCAGCTTTGCCATCGTTGCTGACTGCAAGACTTTGTTAACTTCCACCTGGAGCTGTGCATGCAAACGAGTGACACAAGTGTTGATTCCCAAGCAGCGTTTCTCACCTCTAGAAGTGATCGCACCTTCGTGAAAACGCACAGAAATCATCTGCCATCACGGTGTCTAGTTTTGGCCACCACGCCTCAAACACGCTCTCGGCTTTGGAGCCCGTCTGGTAGAGCTGCGTCCTTTGCCAGGTGTGGAACAACGTCTGGCAGTTTCTTCTTTTAGAGCTATCATAGCCCCCCTGCAGGAAAACTGATCAGAAACGACGGAAGATCCAAACGAAACAAGCTTGCTCACCCCAGGTATAATCTGTCCTTTGAAATGTCCAGATAGAAGTTGGACAGATCAAGCACCGCATACCGTTGCACCAACTGCATTCAAGTGGAGACACACAGAGTTAATAACTTGAACGGAAAGCTTGTATAGCAACCTGGAAGAATTTTCCAAACTGGTACTCGTCTAGGCTGTCCTTGAGGGTATCCATTACGCTTGCGAGCTGGAAGAGAGCGTACTTATCTATCATCATACTCGACCTGTGCTAACTTGAGCTTGGTCTCGTATGTCACCATAGCTCACCACGTAGTTCTGTTCTAGGTACTTCTCTATTGTTTTGGCCTTGGCAGGAGACTCCACCACGGCCACCACCTTTCCCATGAGAGCAGCCTGTTTTCTTGTTCTATCTTCTCTTTGGAAGAATTGATGGCAGTTGCAGCATTACTTCAGCCTTTTTCTTGTGTCTCCAGGATTTTGCTCAGCCTCGGATGTCTGCTGGCTTTTGGTTTTGACATCCACTCCTTTCCTTCCAAACTGGTGCTTGATCAGCCGCTAGCATCTCAAACCAAAGCTGGATCTCAAGTGCATATCTGGAGGGCAGTCAGACGGAACAAGAAACGAGCAAAATATACTCGTTGATCGTTTGTGATCCATTGAAGGATAAATCTCTTGGAGTAAAGCTTGAGGATAATTGATCTCAAGGTATTGAAGGCCCTCCAAGTAGTATCACAATGTCATGGGAACGGAATGGAGTTCATCAAAGGAATCCCACCAAACATTTTCAAAACCGATATTACATTTAGAAGAACTTACTTGGTGGTGGAAATCTCCAGCAGCCTTTAAAAACTACGTCGCACGGAAGATGAGCTGCTTTGCATTATTGGAAACGTATGTTCATCGTCTTGCTTGAGCATGCCTGAGGAGAATCAGAGGAGAAAAACAGTCCAACATGTAAAGAAAAGAAAAATTGCAAAAGCACACACCTTCTGCAATCCTGCTGTGCCCAAAGGTAGAGCAAGTTGTGGAGCTCTTCCGTGAGTCACCTGTCCCTCACCAGTTTCCCTGCTTCGAAGTTCTCGGCACCGATGCAACCTTCAATGTGAGAACGTCCATCGCTCGTCATGTTTTGTAATCACCTGATTCATCTGTGATCTTTTGAGAACTCCCAAGTATATGAACACTAGGTCGATCCAGTTCTTGCATTCTGGAGCTGCAACTTTCGTTGCTTTCCATTTTCTTTCATTCCTGCTTTGCGGCATTGGTAGTGTCATCACAGTGCCTTCTGCTTGGATCTGGCATTTTTTTTATATTTCTCTGGTATAGGTCTCCCCCTAGAGATTCGTCACATTCTTAGCCTCATTTTCTACTCCTAGCAGAAGAATAAGCACGTTTTTGCCATCGCTCCTGGCCCGAAAATCCCACACAATATCCAACCTGAGCCAATGGAAGCCAGAAATGTTGCCAAGGACGAGCTTGAGAGCTCCCATTCTACTCGTTACTAGTCGATGATTTGGATTTGATGCGGAGTTTTACCAATTCACCCAAACTTGGAGGAATCACTCCTGTCAATTGGTTAGATGACAGATCAAGGAAGGCATTTGATGGATCTAAATATCAAAATTGTAGTTCTCTTCCTTTGACCATAAGCATTAATGGTGACCGAACCATAATTAATCTTTCCTGGTCATATCTTAATATTCCTGTCCATTGAAGAATATCATCATCATGTTTAAATGCATCTAATTGGTTTATAGACCCTGAAAGACATCCTTCAAACTTGTTGCGGGAAAGGTCAAGGATGCGAAGGTGGGTCATATTCCACAACCAATTAGGTATTGGTCCATGGAATCTGTTTCCACCAATGCTTAGCACTGTGATATCTTTGAAATGTGAAAGAAATGAAGGAATTTTCCCAGAAAAATTGTTATCACTGATGATGATGTACTTTATTTCTTGTGATAGACTTTTTGGTAGCTCACCTTCAAATTTGTTATGTGAGAGTGAAACAAATCGAAGACTTGTCATGTTTTTTAACACATCTGCTGCAAGCTTTCCACTCAAAGAGTTGAAAAAGAAATAGATTAGTGCAGTTCTTGAGCCAATTTGGTAGACCCCCAACTAATCTGTTACCGCTCACATCCAAGGCTTCCAAATTACATGAAGATCCAGGACTAATTCTTGGTATTTCCCCAGTGAGCATGTTTTTTGACAATTCTAGAATTTGCAGGTCCCTTGAAATGGGTGGCATATGTCCGTTGAATTTGTTCTGTGATAGATCTAAAATTTTAATTGAAGTTGTTGTCAAGAAATTTGTTAAGGTGCCATTTAAGCTGTTGTTATGCAAGTCAAGATGTTCCAGATTCGATAGATTCGATGTATAGCACCAGTCAAAAAGTTGTTACCCAAATAAAGGAAACGTAAATTTGATATATGCCCCAAGGTCGTTGGTATATTACCTGTGAACCTGTTATTGCGGCTCGTTAGTCCTCCCATTTGTCCTAAGCTGACTGGTATGCTGCCACAGAACCAGTTGCACTTGAGATTTAAACTCTGGAGATTACTTGAATATGATGGAATATCACCTGATAGAAAGTTGTTGGACAAATCCAGAACTCTAAATAGAACACCAAGTTGTGGTGGTAATGAGCCTGTCAAGGAGCAATGGCTTAGAGTAAGCTTCTCCAAATGAGTCAAGTTCCATATTTCTTTTGGGATAGTACCATTCAAACCACTCAAAGACAAAAATTTGAGAAGAGGTAGAAGCGTGAGTGACAATGGTATAAAACCTTTAATAATGTTATCAGTGTCAGTGTCGATGTATATCTCCTCCAAATTTCAACGTGACGTAGGGTTTTTAGCTGCCCAATTGACCTGGGTATTCCTCCAATAGCAATGTCAGCCAAAATAAATTCAAGCGATGAGAAATTGCCAATAAATTCTGGAATTTCGGTTGACAAATGCAATTCTTTCAGTTTCTTCAGCATTCCAAACTCTTTTGGTAGAGGGCCAATCAGCTTATTCATAGAGAGGTCAAGCACCTCCAGATTTTTCAACCTGGATACTTCCGGCTTGATTATTCCTTCCAGATTGAGATGGAGCAAATTGAGCATTATAACGTGACCAGTAACCTCACTGCAGGTCACTCCTTCACTGTGATTTGATAAACCTCCTTTAAACGCAAGCAAAGCCTGGAGCTCATACATTTCCCATGCCTGTATACAAGCTGAAATGCAGAGCATTACATAAGCACCAAGAACAAGAGCCCCTCCCATGCCTGCAATGAACTAAATCTCTTCTCTCTTCTTTTCCCCAAAGCTCTGCTCGAAATGCTTTCCATTTTATGTCGAGCAACCTTGGCGTGTCAAAAACGCATGGGCAGGAAAGTGCTCGTGCAGTCTTCGTCTAGCGGCAGTCTTCGTGGTCGAAAATCCATGCTCGTGAGGAACAAAGCCCACTTGGATATAGGGATAGGACTTTCAAACTATTGTGAAAAAACTGGCTTTGGAAACATTAGTGATTCGCAAAGCCATTTGTTTTACATCATGTGAGAGGAGGAAGAAAAAAATGACGTTCTCTCAGGTGACTTACTCACCTTGCGACGATCTTCCTTCATTTCACAAAAATGTGCAGCACTCCAACTTTTGATCCTTTGGGACATAAATCGAGTAGCCTTCTTCCAGATGTAA